ATCCCTGGCAAGTCTTATAGAAGGTGGTGATCAGGTCGAAATACTGAAACGTTGGTTGTGACCATGTCCAAATACCCCCCCCTCCCGGTAGTGTACCTCTAGCTATAACTATGATACGTACCTAGGTACCTATGACATATGTAGGTAATTCAACTACTACTTAGTAATACATGTAGGTACGATAGGTACCTAGTACTAATTGAAACTTCGTACAATCCCATCATCGTCTATTCTATGCTAAAACGACAACGGCTAACAGAATCGTGAAGACCAGCAGGACTGCTGATGAGACTACGCCGCCCACTCGCTCAGCACTGCTTGGGGCTCTCGTTGATACAGTCGAATTGCTCCCATTTCCTGCAGTTGTACTATTGGCACTGCCTTCGACAATAGCAATCCGACCTTCGAGCTCAAAATCGATTGGGCTATGCTTCCCCATATAGTCTTCCAACACCTCTTCCATTGTATTTAAGGCAATTACATCCTCAACTGGTAACACAAGATTATCGCCTCCGCCAGTTATGAAATCCGCTGTAACGATCTTATATTGAGTATTCGCATCAACGGACTTGTTGCCGATCGTAAGTCGGACAAGACGTTGACCAACGGCATTGTTGGGGTTATACTCGACCTTGATGCCGCGGCTGACCTGGAAGAAACTGGTAACTTCTTTCTGATTGAATTGGTTGACTTTACTGACGAGGCCTTCGAAGATCTTCCAAAGATCTGCGCCGCTATAACTAACTTCGACCACGGCGTTGCCGAATGGGAATGACGTTATCACTTGTCCGCGCGTGATATCTCCCGCATCGATAGTGGCGCGAATGCCGCCTGCATTCACGAGTGCGAAAGCCGCATCGCTGCCGGCATCAAGACGATATTGAAGAATTGCGCTAGGGATGTTAGCATGTTGCGGATATAACGACATACCCGATTAAACGATGATTTAAAAGATGGTAAAAAAAAAAAAAAAAACTTACTCGGTAACCAAATCGCCCAAAGTGCATTCCTGCTTCTGACAAGTGGTTTGGTCGAGCACAATTTTAGTGCTACCAACTTTTTCGGAAGCGTATGCCTCGAATGGTTTTCTCCACTCGTCAACCTGTGTCTGAAGACCTTCGTCTTGCTTGGTGGCGTTCGTCAAGTGGATTGGGGCGCCGTGGTAGGCCAGAATTTTGCCCTCCGTGTTATACGTAACATCGATATAGCCCAAGTACTCCCCCCATCTATAGGCTGTGACGATGAATACCTCATCCCCATCCTTGTTTGTCTCAATAGTAGGGTAAGGGCCTTTAGCACCCTCCATATCTCCAAGAAGCGTATGACTGTGACCGCCCATGATGAGATGCAATCCAGTCGTCTCCTGGGCTAGAAGTTTGTCCTGGTCATACCCGATATGGGTGATAGCCGCAATACGGGTGATATTTGTTGTGCTACGAATCTCGTCGATCGAAGCCTGAACAGCAGCAATGGCATCCGTGAATTTGGTACCGTTGCCCGGATCGCTAATACTGGCTGTCGACTCAGTCGTTACACCAATGACAGCCAATTGGTATTCCTCGAAAATGTGATATGGCTTGATAGTGGAGTTTAGCTTCTCGTTGTCTGAGACAATGTTCGCGGATATGACAGGAAATGTTAAATTCTTGATAAAATCTCCTAGCTGATCATCACCACCATCAAACTCGTGGTTTCCAAGAGTCATGGCATCGAATCCTAGCTGGTTGAGAGTATCCGCAATCTTTTCTCCGCCATAGAAAGTGTAGAATAAAGTTCCTTGGAACTCATCGCCCACATTTAACCATAGGCTGTCGTTATGCTCTGGCCGCGTATCTTCGATGATCGTCTTAACACGTGCGTATCCTCCATAACAGCCCTTAGAGGAATTTGTACAGTCGGTGCCTGATGAGGCGAATTGGTCTAGATGTGCGTGAACGTCATTGATGTGGTAAAATGAGATATTATAATTGCCGTCTGCGTCAATGAACCGCTTCGATAAGCGTTTGCTGTAAAGCGAGTCCTCCGCCGAAGCCAACCAAACCAAACTGTTGGCGACGAAGGAGAGGACAAGAAAAGAGGTAATGCGAATCATCTTGATAAAGCTCAGCCACCTAGCAAGGTCACCAATGGCGTCGCTTTACAGCACACAAAACCAACTAGCAACGTAGCGATAATCTCTCAAATTCTCGGTCACAAATCGCTAACGGATTATTCTTATTCGCACGAGGGATTCGGGGCGAATGCTGACTTTATGTAGCGAGCCGGGTTCACGATAGGCACCTACGGATATCACTCAAGGCTTGGCGCAGCTCCAGTGTTTGCCGAACTTCCTTCCCAATTCGATCGTGATGACCGGAGCGGCGGTACGCCACGGTAATATAGCGATTAATAACTCTTCTACACTGTTATGAGATATGTACAAGCACCACCCACTCAGTTATCAGTTGTGACAAGATCCGAGTTGACCGGAATCATATTGGCACCTGGGCAGCTTAACTCGATCAGCTAGGTACGAGCAATGTAAAGCCTTGGCGGAAAGCTCCAATCGTTCTCGAACTGCGAATCTTATTGGCACGTGGGAGGTCAAGCTTCGAAGACGTGCATGTGGATGGCATCAGACAGCCTTGGCGCATCCAAGGGTCCCTTCGCAGCGTACTCGGCACTCTCCATTAGGTAGCATCCTGCGAACCTAAGACTCTTACGAATTTTAGTTGATGATAACCTCCCACGTGCATTTAGCAATGGCTATCTACCTAACTAACTAGGTAGATTTCTGAGAAGCATCCTCAGATGGCCAAGACTGATGGAATCCTTAACATCCGTTGATACCAGGTACGCAGCTAAACCCTCCCCCTTCCCCCCCCAAAAAAAAAAAATATCAAAAAAATAAAAAAATCGAGATAACTGAATCTTTATGAGTATGTTGCACAGGATAGTCATCATATTCTAAATCCGTAAATAAGCCATATATAGGTACAGACTTACGGCCAGTTATTTTCGATGTAAAAAGGCTTATTGTACCTAACTATTCAAAGTTACAAATAGTGAGCCATTTGTAGAATTTGATTACCTACCTCCTAGATACATAAGTCGATACTTACCTACTAGGTACACATCATCTTACGATCAATAATAAGTATATGAAAGTCGAAATTGGTAATCAGAATGGCCCTGAGCTACGATTGTCGCGTGCCCGGTTGCCTTATACAGTGAGACATTACATCGGAAATGTCGCTGGACTCAGGCTAGATCTTGACAAGATGACGTGAGATCAACAAACTAGCCTCGGAAGAATCGTGAAGTCCACGATATTCTAACTTCGAGAACTCCTTTATAATCAGGTAAGCAGAGAGAGTATGTGGACACTTCAATTGACTGCTCTCTTGGTAAGATCGAGTTGCGATGAGGTAGGATCTACGATATGCAGTGCCGGGCGCCGACTTGTCGGCGAACATACTTGGTTTTATGAATGGCTGAAATATGAATGAGCATGATATATTACGTCACAGGCTGCGCGATCAGATAAACAGTGCGGTATGATCGGCGGACGGAAGAGGTTTTGAGGCTGAAACAGTTTAGGACTAGAAAGGAAGAATGATTCAATAGCCGCCGGTCATCACGGCTGGCGCTACGTAGGTGGCTTGGCCCTTTTCTGATTTTACCGCGCGTTAACGATGCTGAAGATTGAAGATCTTCTGTACATGTCTATTCCTAGAAAGATTTAGGATGAAGCATTGTTCGCGTTTCTGCGGCATTGGGAGTTGCGTGTCTTGGCGAAAGAGAATGAAGCCCTTGTGAAGATCATTATATCTCAGACAGCTTGGAGAAATCTATCATATGAAAGGCCAACTATGTTCATGCAGTAAGTGCTACATACATACCTAGGTAGGTAGAGTTAGGTAATAGATAGGTGGTTAAAAGAAGAAAGGAGTGATCTGTGTTGATTGACCCAAGCTGCCAAGTCGTCCATAATAGGGGCAGTTTGTAGAAATCAGATGAACAGATGTAAGAATAATATTAATATTAATGCAGACGTGAATCCCGATGGGTAAAATTCGGGCTTTGGAGATTGGTATCACAAAATTAGCTTACCCGGGGTTTCTCCCACGGGTGCATTTATGATTTACCTAAGACCAATGATCTACTAGCCGAGTCAAAATTCTGGAACGCCGTTGTTTTTGTAAAAGCCGACTGCAAAGATTGGAGAACAAATGCGCCTGTTGAAACGATTAGAAGGGGGCGCAGCTCTTTCGTAATACATGATTGTTCTGGGTGTTTTACCTGGATAAAGGACGGTGTAATTTACTGGAGCCAAGTGATTATTGAATCGGCGGTGGCTCTTCCATACGATCATATGGCACAGCTGGCAGTCTGAATCATATCACGTCAAAAGAAATTAGGTGGTTCGTTGTCATCATCATTCTGATCTTCTCGATATTTGTCGGTATCTGAGATGGAATGTTCATGTTTAAACCATGTTCACTATGCTCAAACTGGCAGACTGGATGCTGCAGCTTACAGCTACGTACCTAAATAGGTAGGCGCTAAGCAGACTATTCCAGGTTCCTGCATTGGCTTGCAGGATGGATCAATTGACCCTCACCCATCCATTTGTACCCCGCGAATGGCGCGTACCTACATAGAGATTCGTAGATGTATGGATGTACAATCCTTCGAAAATGGTAGGTCGTTGCAGGCTACTGATAGGCATATGCATCTCGGTAACCAATAGCCACCCTTGACCGAAGTTCGTAATGTCGTCGACTCGTCACTACTTTCTCGTTTGCTCCTCAATTAACAATGTGTACCATGTACGGACTGGCGGACAATGCAACTTGGAATTATTGGTGAATATACTTCGTACAATAGGATACTTCGTACACAATGGATATTAGGTATTTTTAGAGTTTCTGGCTCTGTTCCCACCCTTTCTTTCCTTTCTTGTTCGATGGGGACAAAGGGGGGAAGGGGGGGGAACTCGTGTTTCTCAATCGTTTATTGGACTAGAGTATCTCGGTACACGTATAATTATGCACTAAGAAGAAGCTAAGAAAATAATCGATAAGATAATGGCAATTTATCCAGCACCTCCCTGGTAACCTCGTACGCGACCCTCCACTCAACCATCAACTCTACCCTCCTGCCCTCCTTTTTTTTCTTCTTCTATTCAGTACATCCATACTATGTACATCCATACTACATGCATTGTTACGAAGTGGTTGGAGATTGCCCACTTCTAACCTCCTATTAGTTGCTTGGATTGCTTGGTTGCCACCTTGGCCTGGCTTGGATCTTGCATTGATAAAAAATATCCTGGTCGCTCAAAAGGTCTAAAACCTGTTTAACCTTTCTTTGCTTCTGGTTTTTCTAATTCTATTCTTCATCCTTTCTCTCGCTTTTCAGACAAATAGTCAATCCAATAAGAGTCACTGGGTAGACTCTCAACGAAAGCAACCTTTCTTACATTCGCTCATAAATATCATAAATCGTCGTGTCGTGCTGGTGCTGTATCGTGATACAGCTAGCTATTAGCTGCATTCTACCTGCATCAAAAGTTGTCGGGAGTCTCTCGTCCGAACCGCCAGAATTAGAATATCATAAACGGACTATTCCGCATACTCCTTTCCCCTGGATCTACAACGTACGCGTCTAGCCAGATCCGATTCTCCACCACGATCCACCGGCTTTACAGCTAGCTCACTATCCCAAGACGCCAACAGCTCCAGGTTCGAGACGGATAGTCACTTAAACCCTAAAGCTCCCTATAGAACTGGCAATCTAACATTATCTGCTTCCCCAACAATTCCCAGCCGACCGAAATTTATTTTTATTCGTTTGAATTGCATATTTTATCTTTTGGTGGCAGGACTTCCATATAACATTGTGTCGCCTATCCCATACAGACGACTATTCGATCGAGGAATTCCCTAGAGAAACAGCATCAATATGAATTTCACCAAAAAGTTTGACCGCGCCTTCCAATGGGCCGGCGAGAAGATGGGCCATGAGGCCAAGACGAGCCAGTCTGACGAATTCAGAAGTCTAGAGACGGAGATGGCTTTACGACACGATGGTATGATACTATCACCAATGACTATCACCCACAAATTCCTAACTCGTATATTCGTGTAGGCTACGAGCGTCTACAGAAATCTATGAACACCTACGTTAAATCGCTTTCTCGTCGGGGTGAGACCTACGAAGACAAGGAGAAGGGTCTACCTGTTAGCTATCTGGGCCGGACGATGATAGCCCATGGAGAGGATTTCGAACCAGAGTCCGAATTTGGCAATTGTTTAATTGGTAAGCGTATTCTAAAGAGAAAATAGTGAACAGCCGCTAACCCGGTAATTGCAATATAGCAATGGGTAGAGCCAACGAACGCGTTGCTGGCATTCAGGAAACATACATTGCGCACGCTACATCTTACTGGCTAGAAGGTTTGGAACGATCATTAGCTATGATGAAAGAATATCAAGTTTGTCACCCTTGACTGGTAGATGGAAACGTTCCAGGCTAATGTGAGGATTATTTAGTCCGCTCGCAAGAAGCTCGAGAGTCGAAGACTCACATATGACTCGAGCATGATCAAGATGCAAAAAGCTAAAAAGGAGGATTTTAAATTGGAAGATGAACTTCGAACTGCGAAAGCTAAATATGAAGAGTCGTCTGAAGATGTGCTTCGACGCATGCAAGATATTAAGGAGGCAGAGGCAGACTCTGTTCGCGATCTTACGAGTTTTCTAGATTGTGAGCTAGATTACTACGAACGTTGTGCCGAAGAGCTCCGACGTGTGAAGCAAGAATGGGTAGCTGGCCAGGGTCAATCAAACGGCTCTCGTCCCTCCGACCCCGGTGCCTCCCGTCGATTACCAACGAGGAGTAGAAGCAACACAGCCCACTCTTTCTCGGGACGGAATGATCGCACCGAACAATGGGCCAGCCGACAGGATATTTCCGAACAGGACGAACTTACTGCTGAGCCTGTGCGTATGCCTATACGCTCAAGCCCCTATCGTGGCAACGGGTCAACGACGCCTGAGGTACCATTAAGGCCAACTATCAGCCGTACTTCTACTCATAGCGGAGCCTTCGAAGGCCCATCTTCGAGGCAATCATCGTACCGTGAGCCTCCACCGCTACCTGAAACGATACGTAAAACTCAAGTTGCGCCGCCTCCCAATGTTGGATCTCTTCGCAATAATCTACGTCCAGTAAACAGAATTCAGACGAACCAGAATCTGAGTCCCGATGCCTATGCGGATGATTACGATACAGCGACCAGCAGCGGAAGCCCCGAGTATGACCGTAGCGAAAGCCCAGCAACGAGCTATGGCAGTCTAAGCCGCAGTGCTAGTAATAACGGCTTACGCGCAGCGGCAACGGTACCAGCCACAAAGAAGGCCCCTCCACCACCTCCACCAAGCAGAGCTAAGAAGCCGCCACCACCAGTTCCCGCGAGACGGGAATTGGGATACTGAGATTGCGACACAGTAATATTTTAATATGTCGCATTACGTTTAAAATGACAAGGCACTTAGGCCTTTATCGTGGGTATACAAATAGACGTGGGAGGGTACATCGCGTGTAATTGCATAATCCGGGTGGGTTTCGTTGTCGAGGGAAACAAGCTACATTCTCGTGTCGGATCGATAGGTAATCTGGCTGCGTGGGCGTTGGGCGCATTTGTATGTTCATAGAGCACGTCGTGAACGTCTGTTTTAAGACGATTGGACGAGGGAAGATATCGGACTGGCTCCTTTGTTTTACTTTTGCTCCGTGTTTGTTGTAATTTGATGTGACTGGATCCGACATCAATGTCAATTTTATCTGTTGGTGATGTTTTGATCGGCTATTTACATGTTCCACTGCATTGGTACCTACCTGGGTATTGATATTAAATATACCTATTGTACGACATGTTGTATAGCGGTTTGGTAGAGTTAGGCTCAACGACATCTTATTAAAAAGAACATCATCAACGATACCAACTATAGATCTCTATCAAAACATGTGTTTTATTTGTCTTTTTGGACCAGGCAATGCGATCTATTAAGCACCTAGGCACAGAGTATTTATCGCCTACCTAGGTAGGTACCTAGCCTAAAGTAAGTATGTACTTGGGCATTCACTGTCAAGAAACCCATTTCACACCAAATTTACCTAGCCTCCTTCCTCACGGCCTTATATCTGTATAATCTCACGCCAGCAGTGCGATATGTTTTAACTCACTATCTTAAGTCAGCATATCCCTCTCCAAGTATCAACATCGAGAAAGACAAGACCACCCACGGAGAAAGGGAAGGGAAAGGCTGTAACTTACTTCTGCACCTGCTGCCCAACCTTCATAGCCTCATACTCGACCTCCTCGCCCTCGTCCCTCCCCAAATCGAAATTCTTTGCACGCACGGCCTTCGCCTGAACTGCTAGCGCGGGGATAGGCGCGAGGTCGTAATCGCTGCTAAGATGCCAGAAGAAAGTACTGCTGATGCGTACTAACGGCCTGTCGGGAAAATTGTCGCGGCGCGCGGCGACGGTCTCGAGCGTCGCGTCGTTGACCACGACTTCGTGGTACCCGGCCTTGACGAGCCCGCCTGTTAGGTGCTCGAACTGCTTGCCGGCTTGCACGAGTAGGTAGCTCCCGGCTTGCCCTGGTGTGGGCCGTGGGATGCTGACGGCGATGCGGCGGCCTGTGTTGCGCGCCCAGATGTGCAGGCCTGGGTATCGCGAGCGCCCATGGATGGTGAGGAAGTTGAGGTCCGTGTGGAAGCCCGCGAGGATGGTGTCTTTGGCACCATATTTTTCGAGGTCGGAGGCCGTTGGGGCGAGGAGGTGGGGGCTAGGTGCGGTCGGTGTGAGTTTTGTCGAATGGGGGTGGTCAGGGGCTTAGGGAGCTGCATGAAAAAAAAGCATATGTGGACAGGACTAAAACTTACCCGTATCGCCCAGCATCGGTGAAGGTTGAGGCAGGAAGTCCCATACCGACTGAAGCCATTTCTGCAAGTCCTGAGACACTTTCGAATTCATGTCGGGTCAGCTACGTCACTTTTTACTGCCGCTCGTTTTCGGATTAAGATGACTATGAGCAAGCGATAATTACTCACGCGCTCTTCATGCTCTTTCCCCATGTCTCCATGATCGGCGTCCACCTTTCCCTGATGTTCGAGGTTTCTGGTATCACATTCTCTGCATTCAACCCCGGAAATTGTGTGGCATATGGTGTCGGCTCGCCCATCTTCCAGAAGAAGCGGCACTTGGGATCTGGCTGGTGACCACCGATATCAAGGGGTCTTTCGGTAGACGCCAACCGCTCGATGACACGTAGGCACGGTTCATCAACCGCGCACTTCGGTTTCTCCGTGTTTTCCAAGGTGACACCAACCTGGTAGCCGAGTTCGGGTCGCTCATCATGCTTCAGCGTCTCATCCGGCTGCGCAAAATAGTCTTCGAGCAAGTCAAGGAACACCTCGTTATCCGACTCCGACACCCGCGAGTCGTGAAGTACCAGCGCCCCGTACGTGATTAACGCATAGGCAGCACGTCGACTTTCCTCTTGGACAGCAGTGCTAGAGAGAGGGTTGTTGAGGTAAATATCTAGGTCGATGACGGGGAGGTCCATCGATGGTTCCTCTGCCGCTACGAGCTCGGCCATTTGCGGGATTCTGTGCTGTGAGTTTTCACTTTTATCTCCGATTGAGAATATCTTATCTAGGCGAGCTAAAAAGACGTCGATTCTAATACTTAACAAGAGCTAGAGGTTGAACATATCAAAGATAGTGTTGTCTTTAGGTTTTATATCACATGGCGAAGTAGCATCAGCTGAGGTTCTTATCGTTCGTTCATGCCTACTTACTAACTGGATGGAGCATGCGGACCAATTGGAATAAACTGATTTGTTACTACCGGTTCTTGGGCAAAGATTTGTACCTGCCCCTTTAGCTGGAAATCGCCGGGTATAGCCGGTTTCCGTTACTGGTCATATCCTCTGATAATGGAGACTCTTGAACAAAAACATCACAATTGCAACCTCCTTAAACTCTTTTTATTTTATTTTTTCTATAAATTGCTTTCTGACTTTTCTCGAGAACCAGAACCTTCATAGATCTCATAGCGTGGATAAAGATCTACAAGGCACTAGTGATAAAAGATCATGGCGAAGCCTTACCCACATCGGCTATGCATGTAAAGATATAGAGAATACTGACCAACTCTATCACATGTTGCTAATCTTTCCTAACTAATACGGTTGATTAGGTAGGTACCTATAGCCAAGGATAAATTTTCGTTTCTACAAAAGACTTATCTTGGTTAATCACGAAGATACTAAGACGCCAATTGGATTACAACGGGGTAGAAAAAGAATACTGAGGGAAGTTGGGCCAATGCACATAGAGAAAATAGATCCTACATCAGTTACCTACGATTTCACTGTAAGAAATAGACTTCCAGATAATATCACCAAGAATAAAACGAACGGTATATTGAAGCTCTGAATAATCTCTGTTGGTTTTAATCGTAGAACAATTTGCAAAATTACCAGAGCTTCATCCTCTTGTAGTGAAGAAGTTGACAGTATGAGATTGGAAGGTCGGCTGGCTTTGAGCCTCAGTCTACTTTCCAGTCATGGCAAGGTGACAGGATCGCCAATTTCATACCGGTAGATTCGATACCTTGCATGTTAGTCTTGGGAATTTAGTAGGCATCATCTTACGCGATACTCAATTAAGGAAACGTAAATTCGGTTATTCAACTGGTCCTTCCCATTTTGAAGACTAGGTAGGTAATACATATCTCAAGACTACAGCAACGCCCAGTACCGAACTGAGTTCTAGAACACCCCACGGGGTCCACACGCCCCACCGTTGCTTATTTCTCGCCTGGAACACGCGAGCGGAGCGCTCTCCACTTACTCTTACTCATTTCTCATTCATCTCTATCATGCGTATAAACTCCAATTGATTACCTGATAATCGACGAAGATGCCATTTTCAAGAACCAGGACGGGCTGCTTTACTTGTAGGGAAGATGGATATAAGTGCGACGAACAAAAGCCGTTCTGCGGGAGATGTACTCGACTTAGCAAGACGTGCAAAGGTTACGGAGTACGGCTCAAATGGCAAACTCCCCAAAGCACTCCGAAGTCAAAGGCTTCTAAAAGTAAACGACAGCAGAGAAATCGTTCTAATGATAAGACCATAACGGCACCTCTCGCACCTCTCGCACCTCTCACTCCTCTTACACCTACTACACCCTCCATGCCTTTTAGTGAGTCTCAGAGTCCAATCATAAAACTCGACCCATCTTGCATTGTTCCGAACGATGTAAGCCCGATAAATCGATACCTCCTTAATCATTGGTCGACGACATTATCCACGATGGTGTCCATGGTATCGGCCCCTAAGAATCCGTTTCTTATCCACCTCACCCCAATGATCTCTCACTCGACAGCCCTTCGCTCTGTCTTGTGCTCTATAGCTGCTAGCCACTTGGCTATATTGCGACATGAGGATTCACTCCAAACATTGGCTACTCGCTACCGGCTCGTCGGCGTGTCTTCGCTGCGACGAACCATCCAGACTGATAATCCGGAGTTATCACTCGCTACCATCCTAATGTTACAGGTATCCGACCGACTCTTCACTATGGATTCAGGAGTCGACCACTTATCTGGAGCGAAGGCAATTATCAATCAAGGCGACCTCGTCGTGCGCAATAGTTCCAGTGCCTCCTTTCTCCTCAGCTTATGTTCTTATCACGATATTCTAGCCTCCGTCTCCCGAGGCAAGAGCCCGGTCTTTGAATTTGATGGGAAGTTTCCCATGGAAGGAATGGAATCCATGAACGAACTTACTTCTGTGCTACAACTTGTTGGCCAGATCAGCAGGATGCGCGATCAAGAGAATGATGACCTCGACGCACGGGGTCGCGAGATTGAGGAAATCCTTAATGCTCTTGATAAGTCTGATGACGCGATAGGGGATGTCGGGCACACTGTACAGGCGTATAAACATGCTGCATTCATATATCTCTACCGAGTTTGGCACAACCAAGGTGCACCTCATCCTCGCGCGTTAAAACATGCCAAGAGCTGCCTTGACCACCTCAGCATCGTCCCAGTCACCTCATCGCTCGTGTCAGCTCAGGTTTGGCCGCTCTGGACTGCTGGCTGCGAATCTATCGATAGTGACCAGCGCAAATTCGTGCGAGATAGAGTCGAGGCGATGTATGAAGCCCGCCATCTGCCTTCGTTGCGACGGATTGAGCAAGACATCGAAGAGGTCTGGAAAATCAAGGACGAGCAGCGAAACTTGATCGGAGTTGACAACGTGGATTGCATCAAAGTCATATTGCGCAATCGGCAAAGGGAGGCTGACCTTACTTAATGACCGCGCTTTACAATTCTAGAAGAAGGGCATTTCCCTACACAAGTTTCTTAGGCTTTATTCCGAGAACGATAGGGTCCACGCGCCGACGCCTGTTCCACAATGCTCTGGTTGCAAGGAAAGGCCCCAGATCAGTTGTCTAGGTACCTAGTAGTACACTACGTGGAAAGTTTTCATAAGCTGCCGGATAACATTTTTGGCTTTATCTTATTAACTTCTGCCGAGGAAATGTCACTGATATTGACAATACAGCGTATCTGTCACGCACACTGAGTTACGGACTATAACAGTTTATACCTCTTGCAGATATTTTGCGAATTCCTTTGTTGGTTTCGCAATATATTGCTGTATGATTCAAGACACGTCGAAGGCAGTAAGAATGTAAGTGTGCTTGTAAATTTATTCATATGTGCACACCGGCCTAACTGTCGTAAGCTCAATTTTCTCCTCTTGTTACCCATGATGATATGTTCAGCTTCATGGGATGGTGGACGGTCCTCCTTTCTGTCTTCGGGGGCATTTCGGGGACATTTTCGCGTTCAACAGGTTACCTGGGCAATCTGATGCTCCTCTTCTCCGACCTGCCAACTTCTAGTCACGCCATAGGACCTGGTCGATTCTGGGGGATAGTGCCGTGCTAAAGTCATCATAGTTACATCGGCCTGCCGCAAATCCTAAATGCAATTGTAGTGCCATTTAATAAAGTCATATACCATGCCTTTACGGCCTTAGCTTCGATCCTGGCTACTCGGAAGCTACGGTAATCAAATTCCAGCGACCAAACTAAATGCAGACCAAATGCAGACCACATGCAGACCACATGCATAGAGCATTTCAATCCCTCCGAGTTTTTGATACATACGTGCTCTATCTAAATTTGATCGAATAAGAGCGGAATAGCTATTGTCGAATGATACGGCGAAGGCGCGGCAAAGGTATTGGCCCGGCGCAGAACCGGGTTATCTATAGTAGAACTCCTGAATCGCGTCGAATGATTCATTTAAAGAATTGCCATCTGTCTGGAAAACTTAACTGTTGAGATAAATTCTAGGGTTACTTTGCATCATGACTACCATGAGCACGGATGTGAAAGCGCGGAGAAAGCCTCGAAAATATGACATCTTGCTTCTTGGTGCCACAGGCTACACCGGGTCATTGACTGCAGAACATATTGTCCGACACCTCCCGGCGGATCTGAAATGGGCAATTGCCGGGAGATCGAAGTCTAAACTGGAGGTCCTTGCTAGGAAACTCAAGGATCTAGAACCTGAGCGCCTGCAGCCAGGTGAGTAGCCATTATGCGTTGTACTCGACGATATTTGCCACACCAGGCTAGCTAACTGGGGATGGATCTTTAGAAATTGAGGCGATCTCATTTGACGACGGCGGGCAACTCGATTCGGTCGTTAAAAATAGCAAGGTATGCATCAGTGTAGTCCTGTACTGGAGGGTTGGGGAAGCGGTCGTGAAGTCTTGCGTCGAAAATGGCACGGACTATATTGATGTGTAAGTCGGCCCGCGTACGAATACGTCGAACCTCAAACCAGCTAACCCTTTTTCGTTAGGGCAGGAGACATACCACTACTTCATACATTTGTCGAGCAGTATCATGATGCAGCGGTAAATGCTGGGGTCGCCGTGAGTGCTAGTCATCCTTTCACTATAGTATCTATTCATGTTACTGATCTGCACAAATACCAGCTTATCCATCTCTGTGGAGTCTTCACTGGACCCCATGATCTTCTCACATGGACCATTGTCAGAGAATTGGCTCGGAAAACATCGCGAAAGACGAAGGAGGTGATCCTATCTGTTACAGAGTTGAGGTAAGCATCGTACTTTGCATTCTTTTTATATCCATGGATCCTAGCGCATGCTCACCGGCATCCATGAATTAGACTTTCCCCAAGCGGCGGCACTGCTGATTCGTTGATGGCTGAGAGTACCTACGAACCCCGAGCTATTGAGCAAGCTAGGCAGCCCTGGGTATTGTCACCTGTCGAGGGGGTGCCAGCCTCGGATTCAACAGATTTCCTAGGCTTGCGCCGAGACCCAGTGCTTGGCTTACTATCGGCATCGTCATTCAGTGCCGCCGAAAATCGAGCTTTGGTACATAGGACGTGGGGTCTACTCAAGGGAACCAACCAGGAGTACGGTCTACGCTTCCAGTATAACGAGTACAACAAGGTATCGTCTACTGCGGCTGGAGTATTTAGCATGTTAACCACTGCATTCCTCAATTCCATTACGAAATTCGATACCTTGAAGCGAATCGCAAGATTGTTCCTCCCTACCCCTGGCGATGGACCCGATGTTGAGAAGGAACGGCATTCGCGAGTGAAGTTTGAAGCTGTGGCTATCGCGGAGTCTGCCGACGATGGGGAAGCCCCTCGCGCATACGCAAGTTTTTCGTATCCATCAGGCGGATACTTTACTACCGCACTTTTTCTAGCTCAGGGGGCCGCATCGTTACTTTATACTAGGAATTTAGAAAGCCAAGTCGTTGGTGGTTGCCTCACCCCAGCTTTCCTAGGGGATGATCTCCTAGACAGGATCCAAGCTGCGGGCGCAACGTTTCACGTAAATTTAGTCTGAGGATACGTACAGTTAATTCTTCAATTGCAGATCATAAACTACCTAGTAGGGGAGAAGTATTCGAATATCTATAGCTCCTTATTTGGCAGATTTCTGACTCATTTTACTCTCGACCTTCGCGATGGCGGCTACCAGTTCATCTGGCATACTAAGAAAAGGACTATGCCCAGCCTTCAAATTTACGGTGATGGGATCAGGTCCTAAAAATTGTGTTGCCATCTCCCGTTGGACCTGCATAGGCAACGCCTTGTCGTCGTCGCAGAAGATATACGCACAAGGAACGCCTTCGGCCCAAGGCTCATAGTTTGAAACCCCACCAAATAAAGCTGCGGATGTGGACGAGACTTCTTTAGCCCATTTCAGCCCGCTCTCTTCGTCTAGGTCGTTGTATAGAGCGTCTGGCAGTTTATCCTCGTGTAAGAAGATCTGTTCACCCTGTAAGGTAATTATTAGCTGCGAAATTGGACGTACGAGATAGAGTGTGATATACGTACTTGCATATCCATCCAAGGCAGAGGAGGACCGCCTGGCCGCTGGGCCAATGACTTGCCCTTCGAAATCATGAACGCCGAGAGAAAAATAACGCCACTGACGTTATCGAAACCCACTGTCGCATTACTACCAGAAACCCCACCCGAAGAGTGACACAAGATGATGACTTTTCTACCAGCGTCTCTGAACTTAGCGAGGACGGACTGTATGGCGGCGACGTCTTCTGGTAATCCGGGAAGAGGTGTCGCAGTGCTTCCTATGGAGGGCAGCTTGACATGCTTAGCAGGATAGCCTGCTGCATGAAGTTTCTCCAGAATTACATCGTACGCGCTGGCATTCATCCATGAGCCTTGAGCGATAACAATGGCCGGCTTCTGAGACATGTCTACCTAGGTAGGTACAATATGGAAGAGTTGAATGAACTTGTGTTGGGCATTACTTGGTTGCTGGATGGGGTCGATTATTTAGGCCTCAAGTTCGATATATGGAGGAGATAGAATCTGACTACCTAGGTATTATATTATACCTAGGTACTATCTACATTTGCCTGCCTACATACATCCTGCCTACCTACCCAGTATCTACTAGGTACGTGATATCAGGCTATGTAATTTTTGGTAAGCAGTGTACCATTGCTAGCGATTGGTTTACTAATACTTATGACTAACGTGTATTAATCCTACCTACCTAGAAGGTAGGTAGTAATTATTCAACGCTGTGAAACCAGAATTACCAATGGATATCGCCCGGACTTTATCACCTTAACCCCATCGAGGTTCTATCATCGACTGTAATATCTCAGCCCTATACTCAAAATCAACCGAAGCCTTGAGTTCAGCTCGTATCCACATCTCGTATCCGGGTAAGCATTCTCGGGACAGCCCCCTGAGCCGAATATTAACTCCGCCTAGGCCACTAACTATACCAAGTCGGGGTCAGAGCCAAGAGTAAAAAGCGGTCGAAGCAGCGAGGCCGAGGGCGACGGCCGCCGACCCGCGAACCGTCGATCCCGACGACGGAGATTCGCTTCCTTGCTCGACTGTCTTGGCTCGGACGCACGATAGCTGGACCGTAGGCGAGGATCCGTCGGGAGCTTTCGCGCGCGTGTTCCAGCCCCATAGCGTCAGGACTGGCCAGGCTTGTCGCGTAGCATTGCTCCATGCCGTCTTGTCTCCTGCGTCGTGGCTTGATGAGGCCGTAACGTATATTTCCGTTCCATTCGCGGAGGTAAGCGGGAATTCTGACATCGCGTAAATATGTTTTTGTCTTGTTTTGAATGGGGAAATGAATTGGGAAATGCTAGGCACTAACGTTGGACTTCGAAATTAGCTGTATTGACGGAACCGCCGCAGCTCGATGGCGTCGACGGCGGGGTCCCGTAGCAGTCCGTATTTCCGGGAAACTTGTCGGCATAAGCCTTCTGCAGATCGGTAATACACTGAGACGAGAGATAGCCACAAGTGCCATTGTCTGTCGTCGACGCATCCTCTTGCGGTCCGTTGGGTATCACGGCCACACATATCTTCCACGTGGTCTCGTCGACTGCGGATTGGTTCGCGAAAGCAGATTGGATGCTCTCGGGTCCCTTAAGAAATATACTGGTCCCGGTAAATGTCTTCCCGGTGGCGTTGCTGGAATCGATGGTTTGGGAGTCTGGCAAGTCGCTGCTAACATTCACCGACAGAGTCCATCCGTCAACTTTCTGGCTTGGCCACTTTTGCGATATGTCGAACCCAGTGACCGAGTAGGACCCGGTTGCGTTTGGCGAAGCGAGATTCCGTTCCCAGGTCGGCCTGTCGAACTGCACGGCGTTACCGGTGACCAACGTCCCGCCTCCAGGCCACCCTACGAGGGCCGTAGCCCCGGCGAAAAGGTCAAATACACAGAACGCGTTCGTAACTCTAGATAACATACGCATTATCCCTGACGATATCCCCTTTCGTGTGGGGTATGTTTATGAAAGGTCTCTCGGGACTTTATATTTTGCGGAGACGGAGACGGACTGATGACCTATATACTAGGTAGGTAGGTAGGTAGGTACCTAGTAGACAGAGGGAAAGTTTGGAGATTCCTACTTTGAATTAAGTGGATAATACGAGCCCGTAGTCACGACGTAGCACGATGACGCATCCTGATCTCTAAAATATGTGCATCTTGGATCCGCCTTCGGGTGGTGCCTGTGATTAATATCCTTGCTGTTATGATCATCCCTCATGACCGCCGACTCCAAAGCATTGGTTGGTGGAGGATCTCGGGAATTTATGCGGGGGATGCGATATTGTTTCATGTTTTCTCTTGACTTATCCCTGATTAATTATCTAAGCTACGCAGACATGCAATTCGATTGGCTGGTCGGACTATTTGTATTCGATATTCTGAGTGGTGTACAGCTGTTCTTCAAGCCACAAGATTTGGGATGTCTCGGTACTCTAGTCATGAGTCCCTTATGGGTGGCACAAGGAGAAACCCTCGCATAGTTCCTCGGTGCCCTTATTCGTCGGAGCCCTCTTAAACTACATACTAGGTAGTATGGGGATGAATAAGGGGCTTCGCCATCAAATGTACTTTAAAATACGTCTACCTATCGTTAAGATCTCGCTAGAATTCTCCCTCTCCCGTTTTAAGGCATGTCGTCACTTTGTCAATTGTTGGATAGTATTTGCCAACCTCTGGATAGATTCGATAATTTCATCTTCCTCGTTCCATGCCCAGCATAGTCTAGTCCCCCGGTTCCAACTTGCGTTTGCCCTCTTCATGCTCTCGGGGTCTCCGTTCACGACGAAAATTTCACCCGGCGCGATGTTCAAGCCATATTTATCCCCACCAACTCGGACGATATCAGCAGCTGGTGGAAAGGTTTCCTTGTCCGGATAGTCCAAATACATGAAAAACCCCCCTGCCAGTTTAGTCTTGATGTGGTTCCCTTTATCGTCTCGGGCAGAAGTTTCGTAAGGTGACCCGGTAGATATCTTGATTCCAAGTGGGTAAAGGTGAGTCTTGATAGCATTCACTAGAATATTGTATCGTTTCCGGTATATTGGAATTAATGTATTTTGCACATGGTCTTCTAGAATACCGGACACGAGCATGTGATCGATCAAGTAACATGTATATTGACTTTGACAGCCACCAGAATGCGTCGCTCCACTGAAACCCGAGTTATAAGAATCTCATCGAGACTGTTTGAGAGAACATTTCACTTACGCTTGAGACAAGCCGTAGACGAAACTTGGAGTCGCTTCACACCAACCGACTCGCAGGCCAGGAGCGGCTAGCTTTGAGAATGACCCATTACTTACTGTATTGCCCCATTCATCCGTGTAACCCATCTGTCTGTCGATGTCCGCCAACCTCGGAGGGATCTCCATATCCTTATGTGGGATATTGTCGTCGGCCGGCCAAGCGAGAAAGTCGTAGACATCGTCTGCGATCAAAAGGATATCGTACTTACGTGCTAGCTCCACCAAGGCTTTGCGATGATGCAGTGACATCGTTTTGCCGCTCGGGTTAGATAGTGTCGGCACCACATATAAAGCGTACTTGTAAAGCTTTCTATATCCAAGGCTTTCGGGTTTGGTGGCTGGCGCCCCGGAAATTTGAGCACCATCGACGTACTTGCACTCTTCCTTCTCTAACTGGCGTCGCAGAAACTCAAGGTCGATGCCCTCGTCGTCCTCAGGAACTCCTTGCATTTTCGGACCGAAACCTGCGTCCAAAAAGGAGTTAATGGCAAGGAAGTAGGCAGGCTCTACGAGAAACATGCGACGCGTGTACAGGGGATCGGTAAATTTCTGTAGAATTGCTGTAAGTCCTCCCGAGGCACCATTCGTGATTATGATGCGGTCTTGGGTAATGGGACCAGGCGCAGGCCGATATTTCTGGCTGAGCCATGTAGCGACATGTTCGCGAATTTCGTCTTCGCCGTGATCGGGGCCGTATGTTAAAGCCCAGTCCGATTTTTCGCGCTGTAATAGCACAACTTGAGAGGCGGCCGCTAACTTGTCCGCCGCCTGTAGACGCGGCGACGGACGACCAATTAAAAGGTTGATTGGACTTAACGTCGAAGGTCCTTTCAATCCCACGATTGAAATATCTGAGCTCATCTTCGAGTAAGATATGAAGTTTACGTTAAATGAACGTCTCCTGGTTTGTCCAGATAGTGAAAGTGCAACTTTGGGGAAACGGTAAAGATGAGTATGGTAAAGACGACAACGACTAAAGCAAGCCACAGAGGAGCAAAGTCGGCTTTCGATGCATTGCATCTCCGAGTTACGGACCCCGAATTTGAGCTACTTGGCTATTCAAGTTAGTTCGGTGAGAAAAGGCGCAACGGTAACATACGACAAGGACGTCATCATATACCTACTTCCAGGATTCCAAGTTGAAATGATTTATACTGGGTAGGTAGGTACCTTTGTAGGCACTCTTCGAATATTAATCAAGACCATTACCTTAGGTATGTGGCATGTAACCGTAGAGTTAAGTGATCTTATCATGAGGTTACAGAATAGATCTCTTAGGAGTTACAGGTACCTAGTACCTACATCTGGTCGAACACTTCAGGGGTAACCCACCTAAAGAGACCCTATAAAGTAACCCCTATTCTTGGTATATTAATGCGCATCAGTTGATATTAATCAGAGTCCGGATTGTCCCTCCCACACGGTTAGTTACCTAGACACCTATCTATGCGCAACCTGATAACCCGCACAATGTGACCATCAATTTCCTTGGATGTCTTGCGGTTTGACGCTTGCATTTACATGTACCTACCTACCTATTAGATAGGTATCTACCTAGGTACACATGTTTATATATATGCCCTTTTAAAGATCAATCTTGCATAGAATAAGCGCTACCGGCTCACTGAACAGGCAATTCGAATTAAGCCGGTGGTGCTTATTCTTTTGCTATTCTTTTGCTATTCTTTTGCTTGTGATGAGAATAGTTACCATCTGATTTTCTATTGTTTTTGGTCGAGAGGACTATTTGTCAAGTGGATTACCTCCAATTAATTAGAGGCTATTAATTGGTAGCCTTCGTCATAGGAAACTTAGTTCTAGTTTCCGAACAGGAAAAACATCGGATACCTCGCCTTGATCGAGCATTTCCTAAGTCGTCTTCGTGGCTCAGTTGGCTAGAGCGTTGGTCTCATAGAAATATGACCTAATCTTCAAAAGATTGGGATATCCAAAGGTCGTGAGTTCGAGCCTCACCGAGGACAGTTAGCTTTTTATTTTGTCTTTGGGTTCCAAGGTTCCTATTGTTTCAATTTATTTTTTAATGGCAATACCATTATTTTTTATTATTGTTTATGAGGTGTAGTAATTGGTTTTACGAACCGTATGATAAATTCAGATGGCACTCGGCATTAAATATTGTCTATTCTTTCATTCTTTTATTCAGCTCATAACCACCTACCTATCGCCTGGTATAGGTCATTGCACCCCCCCCCAAACCTAAGCATACCTCGCTTTATCTTTCCCACCTTTATCTTGTTGTGCTTGTTGCTCAGGAGTGGGCGAAGGTAACGGCGACGGTATCGGTGTAGATGCTAAGTCGCCGGGTGTAGGTTGACTTCCAAGTTGATCCATAACTCTGCTGTCAGCGCCCTTCCCTTCGGCAGCCTTTAGCACTTCCATTAGCTGTCTCCCACCCTCGGGCCATAATACTGGTCCCTTGGAATTGCTCTTTCGACTATTATCAGGAACCTCGTTTCTCAAGATTTTCTCTACCGCGATTTTGTTTACCCCGTAGAACTCAGCGTTGGCGTCTGGCCTCTGAACTACTACTGTACCGTCGACTTGCACGCCACCGTATAAGCCACGGCTCTTCATGTAGCTCCAGACGGGTTTGACGCTCTTCCCTACCGCGGCCTCGATACTGGTTCCCGCGCCTATGGGGCCGGCGACGACTGCTATTTCTCCTCCTAAGCTCACGCGCGGCTTCGCGAAAGCATCCACAGCTGCTTCAGTATTGAGTACGCACACGCAATCGTAAATGTCGAGCCCAGCCATGAGTCCTGCGCCTAATGTGTGAACTAAGAACCCGGCTGGAGGTGACCAGCTGCCGTCCGGTAGGCGCGCAACGACAAGTCCGGAACCGCCTGCGCCCGAAATATGGAACCCCGTACGGAAGGTCGTGAAGATAGCAAGGCCCTTAGCGTTAACGATCGCTGCTTGTGGGATCTTGACCAAGACCTTGGGCTTGCTGCTGGGTCCGCCCGAGCTTATACTGCTGCTCGATGATTTTATTGGTCCGCTTTCTTGAAATCCATCTTCTGTAGAACACCGGACATGTTAGCGCCACTTCTCTCAATGGAAACTTTCCAGATTTCCCCTCGAGAAGCATATATGAAATCGGGATACAAGGGGAAACGTACTACAGAAACTCTTTAAGATACGCGCTGCCTTGTCGCATTCTTTATCCATGCTCGTGGGCCAGAATGCCTCAGACCCAAGCATGTTCGTTAACTTGTTAATCGGCGCACCAGCTTTGACTCCCCATTGGTAAAGTTTGCGTCCAAAGCCTGACTTTGAAGGCTCAGACGTCTCACCGGTACCGGTAGCGGTATGAGGAATAGAGGCCCCCGTGGCGGGAGGAGGTTGCGCGACTTGTGGGGGATCAGGACGAGGTGGAAGAACTGGAATCTTCTCGTCAGAGTACGTAAAGCCAGCGCTACCCCCACTTTCCTCATACGTAGGCGGCGGCGCATTTGGATCTATATTAGACAGATGTGCCTGGCTTGGAGGAGGGCCAGGCGGCGGGGGCGGGTAGTACTGCTGTTTCGCATTTGATGGTGGTGGTCCTGGGGGAGGAGGTGGGAATTGTGCTTGTTGATGTTGATTAGGTGGTGTTGGATAGGACTGTGGAATATCGCCGACGAGCTCGGCGTAGAAAGTATGAGGATCCCCAGATTGGGGTGAATGGCTCGGATGTCCGCTCATCGTAAAAAGGCTTAAATAATAACTATTAGTTACAACATTCAAGTGTAATTAATAAGTTTCAGTATTCTTAAAATACTATAGCGAAGTGAAAGTCGACGGGTAACGATGGGATCCTAATTTTGAAGAAAGTAAATAAATAAAAAGGAGGGAAAAGGTCGTAGAATTATATGACTCCGAGGTCTGGAGTAGAGCGACACCGACTAATAGAGCGCAAATGGTAATTGTTATAGAAGATTGGTAGCTTGATCAAAGCTCCACGTACGACGGTGGCTCAGATAATTAGATTTGCCTTGTAAGATTCTAATTGGATGGCAAACAGTTTAGGGGTAAGTGTTAGATACTTCCAACGTTTATGTCGGGCAGCCATGAGAAACGATCTGATATAATGGCGGGGGTGACGACTTCCCAGGTTTGATGTCATCGCCACACGCGAAGGTACCTTCCTAAGGTAGGCGCAGCTGCCTGTTAGCCTGGGTTCATAGATTTAGTCTATAACTGGATCCAACCCATTTCAATGCTAAATTCATTACCTGCATGCATTTAGTTAGTGCGCTATGTAGGTGACTTCCTAGCTCCGTCTAGAGGTTACCTCTCGTATTAATGTAGTTCTAGAACGACACCTAGTTGGTATGATCACAGCCTTTAGGACACAATAATAGGTAAGTACCTAGGTAGATAATCGGAAAATAAAGAGGTCAAGGTATTCTCAGGGAGATGCACTTGTCCAGCAGGGAAACTATAATGTGTAAATAAAGTCCCAGGGACCCCTATTTTCATCTATTCCGATCTCGAGCACGAATATTCGCCGTGGTCGACTCCTAGCCCTCAACGACCCTAGAATACACGCAATACACTACAAGTACAGACCCTCAGGCTCTCCTTCTTGCTTCGTACGAAGAACTCTTTCTCTCGCTGCCCTGAAGTCTGCCATCTGTACACGCATACGACGTTCACGTAGAGCCATCAAACCGGCTTCAGAGCAAATCGCTTTGATGTCGGCTCCGGAGAGGTCATCCTTTTGGCTAATAAACTCATCGAGGTCGACATCCTCGTTCAGGCTCATCTTGCTGGTGTGAAGGTTGAAGATCTTGCGCTTTGTGTTCTGATCAGGATTTTCGAAGAGGATCTTTCGATCGATTCGTCCAGGTCGGATCAACGCGGGGTCGAGCGTCTCGATCTTGTTAGTTGCCATAATCACCTTGACGTCACCACGGTCGTCAAAACCGTCGAGCTGATTGAGCAGCTCCAGCATGGTTCGTTGAACCTCACGCTCGCCTCCGGATGTCGAATCGTAACGTTTCGTACCAATCGCATCAATCTCGTCGATAAAGACAATTGAAGGGGCATTTTCGGCTGCGACCTATCATATAATTAGCATAGGAATAGATCATAAAGCGTGTACCGTGATCATACCTGGAAAAGCTGCCTGACAAGTCGCGGGCCATCGCCCAGATACTTCTGTATTAGTTCGCTTCCGACGATACGCAAGAAGGTGGCCGAAGTCTGGTTGGCGACAGCCTTTGCCAGCAATGTCTTTCCAGTTCCCGGGGCACCGTAGAGGATGACACCCTTGGGAGGCTTGATACCCATCTCTTCATACAGCTCGGGATGCAGAAGTGGTAGCTCAACCGATTCCCTTACTTCCTGGATCTGCTGCTCCAATCCGCCAATATCGGCGTAAGACTCGGTTGGTGCTTTATCAAGCTTCATGACATTGACAGCCGGGTCTGTATCATCCGTGAGCACACCAACGATTGAAACGCTCTTGTGGTGTAGCAAGACAGAAGCACCGGGCTCGAGTAAGTCTTTGTCAACAAAACTCATGATGCTGACATAGTATTCGGGGCCAGTAGTACTGGAAACGATAGCGTGGTCATCATCAATCATCTCCTCGAGTGTGCCGACACCCATCGGGCTGCCGCGCGTGTCATCGACCCGTCCGCGTTCATCGGCCATCCGGTCGGGAGCATCAAGATCGGGGGCGGGGCCAGTGTTATCCTTTGCGGCCTTTGCTTTTCTTAAGCGCTCCTGGTTCTCAACAAATTCCTCCTCGAGAAGTAAGTGATCGTGAATGCGCTGCATTCGGAGCAGGCGAAGCTTGCATCGACTAGTTGGGTAGACGGCAGGGAGCTTAGCTGCAGCAGAAGAGCCAGCAGCCTTTCTTTTCTTGCGCCCGATACGGGTCGTTGGACGAGGTGGTGGCTCGTACTTTGGTTTATCCTTCTGTTGACGAAAATCGCATTAGAAATTTGGACGTAATGAAATAAGCAGCTAAGGCTAAGGAATATATATAATTCAAACCCATCAGAATATCTATTAACATACCTTCTTATCCTTTTCGTCTCGGCCTTCTCGGCCATCGCCCATTCCAGATTGGTTTTGACCCTATGCGTAACGTTAGCACGGCATAAACAAACGAGTGATCTTTATATTTAGGCAAGCTTACCATTTTGACAAGCTACTTGCCCAGGCCGGGTTAAGAATTGGATGAGGTAATAGGCGATGAGCTTTATGGCTGATGGGCAATTAGGAATAACAAGTTAGATAAAAAACGTAAATTTCCATAAGTTGGCGGAGGGTGGACGATGAAGTTAGGTTGAGAGTAAGCGGATGGATGGATGATGAATAAGTTAGAAGTTGAGGCGAACGATTGAAGCTTCGTTGATAGTTCAAGGTTCTAACTTCCAAGGTCTAGCGCTACCTAGAGAAATCAGGCGCCCAAGGGAAACGCGTGCATGCAAAGCTTACATAATGCACAATTTGTGATACTGAATACAGTACCATGGCACAGTGCACACTGTAAATGATCTATGGACGATAGATCGGAATGTACCGGGGTACTTATCCCGATCAGCCCGGGAAAATACCTTGGTACTGCTTACCTAAATTCGGCGCATGTGGCCAGTGCATGTGCAATTACTGGCGTGCCCACCTGGCAGTGGTTGCCAGTTTTGAAGTTTGCGGTATTACAACGGTGGAATTGACTTTTGATAGACGAAGCTTGACCTTTTTTCCCTCTCGTCATAGTCGTGAACAAATCAAACTCTCCCCCTTCTACTACCTTACACCAACACTCGCCGCTCTTAATCTATCGGAAGCTACCCTTAAGCTTCCTATAGATCAATTGCTGCAAGATGCAAGCCATATCGAGACATTTGCGGCCAGGCGCTGCCTCTCTGCGCCAACTTTCCCGACGAGCCTACAGCTCCTCGACATCTCCTTACTCCCAGACGATCGATAATTTGCGCATTAACGGCGACACAAAGGTTATCTACCAAGGGTTTACTGGAAAGCAGGGAACGTAAGCGCTAGCCATTCTCACCTTAGATTTATAGATTTATAGATATCGTCGTCGGGAGACTCGAGTTAATATTATTATTATCTTGACGTAACCTGAAACTTGGAAAAGACTCACATGCTAATAATACCGGGTTCTCTACAGTTTTCACGCCCAACAAGCTATCGAATATGGTAAATGCGTCCAATATCCGACACCGTAAAATCTTTACGATCATCGCTTCACATGTGAAGGAACAAATATCTAACAGCTATCTCTAAATAGGCACTAAGGTTGTTGGAGGTACAAATCCTAAGAAGGCTGGCCAAGAGCATCTCGGTCTCCCTGTCTTCGGCAATGTCAGTGAAGCTGTGAAGGCGACTGGCGCAAATGCTACCGCTATTTTTGTGCCGTAAGTGCTGAGTTACCAATGTGAAACATGGAGAGCTCCTTGAGCTGGAGATACTGATCAAAATTCATTCTTAGTCCCCCCCTAGCCGCTGCTGGTATCGAAGAAGCTATCACTGCCGAAATCCCCCTCGTCGTTTGTATTACCGAGGGCATTCCTCAGCATGGTGAGTTCCTCGGCTTACTCTTACTCCCATCCCAGCTTTCATTATTTCTGACCAAGTCCCGAAGACATGGTTCGCATTACCGATATACTCAAGTCGCAGTCCAAAACCCGTCTCGTTGGCCCTAACTGCCCTGGAATTATCGCCCCCGGCCAGTGCAAAATTGGCATCATGCCCGGCTTCATCCACAAGCGTGGCCGCATTGGTATCGTCTCTCGTTCCGGAACACTGACTTACGAGGCCGTCAACCAGACCACCCAGGCCGGCCTTGGACAATCCCTCGTTGTTGGTATTGGCGGTGATCCATTCAGTGGAACTAACTTCATCGACTGCCTCAACGTTTTCTTGAAAGATGAGGAAACAGACGGCATTATCATGATTGGAGAGATTGGTGGATCTGCCGAGGAGGATGCCGCGGATTTCCTTAAGGCAAACAACACGGTCAACGGTGGTAAGCCCGTTGTCAGCTTCATCGCCGGTATCAGCGCACCCCCAGGACGACGGATGGGTCACGCCGGTGCCATTGTGTCCGGCGGGAAGGGTGGTGCGGACTCTAAGATCAAGGCCTTGGAAGCGGCTGGCGTGGTAGTAGAGCGCTCACCTGCGGGTCTGGGACGTGCTATGAGGGAGGCTTTTGTTAAACGGGATCTACTATAAATAACATGTCTCCTATATGGATAGAAAGAGGCGGTTGACTAGATATATTACAGCCTTGACGAGCTTAAACGGCCGGGAGACTTGTAATGCTGTATCCATGTGGAAGCACATATCGAAGCACGAGTGCCGGTGGTAAGCTGGACTGCATTTTTGCCAGGAAAGCATCCTGTGTGTTTTTACTTAACTCTACGATAGACGGATGGCGGATGGCGGATAGTGCATTGTATCTTGTTATATTTGTCTCCCCGACAAACTCAAAGTCACACCATTGAATGCTCTTCAAAACTCTTGTGTCCTGTGTCAAGTCTACTCTGACGGAGTTAATGTCTGCAAAAGCTTTAAGATACGCCACATTAAAAGCGAGATATGTGAGAGTAAACTTTCAGAATTATTCAAAACTTTAAACAACAATGAACAAGGATTTAAATGCCATTATTTAAGAGAAATATTCCACAACAATTTGATAGGAATTATGTTATATAGGTACTTACCTAGGTACCTAAGTTGTAGTAACCCCTGTTCTCACATTATGAGGCAAAAAAGAAGAAAACGATGACAAGTGGCACAATTGTAAAACCCCCAAAAGAATTAATAAAGAACGACAGAAGTTAGTTATCTATATTAATGAATGTTGATCTTTGCTCCCAGGAGGTAGAACCTTAATGATTTTTGATTTTTTTTTCCTTTTTAGAAATATTTTCATGGCAGCAATTACCAAACCTTCGGTAACTCCACTATAGCTAGCTCCCAATAATTCGCCTAGTAAGACAAAGGAACCGGGTTGTCCATATAATCATGCACCTTAGACTGTGTCCATTCTCCCGTCTTGCCAATGGACTTGACGATACCGGTAGTTGAGCCTCCTCCAAGAAGCACGGTGAAGATACCACGCAGGGGGAAACTCCCATAGCTTGGATAGCTCAGGTCGAACGGCGGGGCAGAAGCGAAGATGTCCTCTACGGACGGGTGCGTAGTAATCTCAGCTGGCGTAATCTCCAGAATCTGCGGGTTGATGTTATGGTAGTCTGAGGCAATGGCGGGATCCCCGAAGATATAAGTGCCGCCACTGCCCCAGTGGTCTGTCTCCAAGTCATTGACAATTTCAGTACGAGCCGGGATGCGGCTTGCTGGGATCTGCCACGGCGCCACGGGGACTTGAAGTTCTAGACTCAGGGCGCCACAGAAGTCGTAGAACCGATCCCATTCATATGGGCCGTAACAATAACCGGGTCCGTAGGCTCTCTGTGTGAAGTCATCTGCTTCGTAGCGGTCGATGGCTAAGAAGTCGGGGCGATAGTCGCCGCTGTATACTCCAAGAGTCTTGACGTAATCGGCAGTTTCCTTGGCCATCTCAGCTGGACCGGTCGGGTCATCCTTCTTATAAATCCAGTCCGACTTCCCAACACCCCAGAGATTGGTTTGCCACCCGAATGTCGCCTTAGGGGCAACAGTTCGTATCAACCAGTTAACAGCAACGACATATCCTTTCAGAGTATCGGTGACGCTGTCGGGAATTTCGGCGTCGACTTTTCGGTATTTTAGGGCATCCTGTAGCGGTTCTCTTACGACCATGTCGTATTCAGGCTTGATCATCTCACCGGTAGGTCCTTTCTGACACTCCCCGAGGAAGTCCGGGTTGACAATGTAGCCAACAGGTACGGATTGTGTAGCCGTACTATTGGCTATACTCATGGATAATATCAAATTCCCGAAACTGTACATGAGAGCATCCTTGTTCTGGAGATGCGTGAAGTCATCGCCTTGGGATAGATTAACCGTGTACGAGATCATGATTGGTAGTACCGGATGTTTGAGCTCGCTCGCCGCAGCTTCCGCGAGCTGAATCGTCTTTCTAGTAGCCGGGTCATCTTCTAAGTAGCGGTCTGAGTCGCCAGCACCATCATTCCCAGCATACTTGAAAGCTGCGTATGCATCAGCTGCGACGAAATCGCTTCCGGAGAGATCATACAAATCGGTAAGCCCGCCGTAGCTGAGAATATCTGGGAATCCCCTGACGGCTAGGCTTGCCCCTTTCTGAGTCGTGAGCTGCAGAACAGTGCTTCCATCGCTGTTCACGGTGAGCGTAGCAGGAGCTTGGACGCCGTAAACAGTCGAATCTATAATGAAACCGTCAGCTTTGACAATGTAATCACCGGGGGCGACTGGTACGTCAAACTTGGCAGAGTTTGAGGCAATGCTGATTTGTTGCTTATAGATGACATCCTGGCTTGTTGAAGCGAAGCGTATGGGTATAGACACGTCAGATCCTGTGGCATCTGTTTGTATCTCGACGGGTAGAACCACGAAACCAGTGGTGTCGACATTCTCTGCCTTGATATCGTTTTGGTTGATGGAGACCCGAATAAGGCTTTGTGAAAGTTGTACGTTTTGAGCAGCGCTATACTTTACATCATTGAGAGTAATTTGAGCGCTGATATCGACGCTTCCCGAGACGGGAAGCCGTCGCAATTTCTTCGTGCCATTCGGACTCAAGAAGTCATCGAACCATGTAGCGTTGTTGTCGTCAACCACTTTGACATGAAGCCGTTCTGTGGTGATTGGCTGCGAGAGAGCCCCGATGCTGACATCAAGGGCAGAGTATTTCTGGACCACACCATAAGTCACGCCTATGTCTGTGTTCCCTCCTACTTGGACTTCTACTTGGCTTGGTGAAGCTAGAGCGGAGGCCACTGTGGTTTCGTCCGAGGTGGCTAGGTCAGCAGCCTTGACATCGTACTTGTAAGCTTCTACTGTGTATGACTCCGTCGTGCCCGGCGCTGAGGCAAGTATAGTATCTTCTGTACCATCCCTCTCAAGGTACACGACTTGCTGAGCATCCGTTAGCGCCGGGTCAGGGGTTGTCGCAACCTTGACTATGACAGTTCCGCTTGGTAAACTTTCGGCGTAAAGCTTGAATGAGTTTTTGAAGGTGTCAAGGTCAGTCGTCAAGTCACCAACAATACCGAAAGTGAGGTGGTCGTCATGTACGAATGTGTGCGGCTCGGTAAAATGAACCTGTGCCGTGACATCGTTCACGTCTTCGCTGGGTTTACTAGGATATACCTGTGATTTTGTCGCCTCGTAGGAAGTAAGGGATACATCGCAAGTAATCTTACCCGTCGCCTTGGGTGACTTGAACTTGAGACCCAATAATTTCTGGATAGTCACAGAGGTATCATCATCGTAACGAATGTTACTGACGACAAGTGTTCCATACCAAATATCGGGGCTAGGGGAGTCAACGTCGCAGATGATGTTTCGAGACATGACGAAGTGGAAAGGACGACAGTTTAGCTGCGATGATGATATAGGTACTGGTTTATCTGATTAATAGTAAAAGTTTCCGAGTCGTGCTGCTGCTTGGGTGGAGACATAGATTTAACAAAAAACACAGAGGGAGCCAGTTGTTTATATATTTGAATCTGTCCTTATGATATCGTGTGGTCGCTGGAATCGAATACCGTAGTAATTACCCTCCATCCTATAGAGCGGTCTATGATTTGACCAAAATTCTCGAAACTGTTTTCCTAGTGCTGCATTGATAGGTCGTAGCTCACAAGACGCGGATGTATTTTTCCCGTCATCCGTATAATGAAGCCATCGTCACCCAACATTACCGGTGGAAACAATAAGCGTGAAAGTATTGGTTACCTGAGATATAGTTAGGAAAGAGGTGGACGATTAAGTAGATTAAACAGTAAACATTGGTGAGCTAGAAGAAACGTTTCCTCATATCCTGATTCTGGTCAAAACAGTGCGGCATGGTTTCCTATGCCACCAAGAAGATCACAGGTTCTGAATATCTGAATCTCACTCATATTCTCCACCCATCCTCACGGTTACGGCAGCAACCCGCTGCACAGCAGCTGTGACGAAGCTATTCGGGAAGGTATCTGTCATGGCATATGTGAATGTCGTGGCGGATTTGACGCACTATGGGTACAATTGTCTAACATCGGTGAAGCTTGGCACAAAAAAAGTTTCAGCTGTAGGTAATTGACGGTAGCAGACGAGATCTGTAGGTTGCCAGTGGTATATTACTTACATGCGATTGACCGCCGTAATATGTTCCTGTGACTCAGCCAATTCTACGACTGGACCGCTTTTATATTGCTGGGTTATTCAGACGTAATGAATACTGGGTACGCAATTCAAGAAGAGATATGGGCGAAAACGGACAGACAGGGGATTCGGGAACGGACACTTCGGCGGTATGCCGAGGTCACACGGCAGCCGTTCTGGACGAAAGAAACGCCATAAGACGGTGTTTTCAGCTGGTGGCGATACGCCTAGAGCAGCCACAGCGTCGTCTGCTTGGAAATACATTTGCCTACTTCTAGGTATTCTTCGTTGCGAAATGACATCGTAAAACTTATACCTGCGTGACTTTGTAGGTAGGTAGGTACAGAATCGTGTTATGTACGTAACCTAATAGATAGGTAGGTATTTCTTCAGAGTCTTGAGTTGACCCCCTAGTTACCCGGTCTCGATATAGGTACTCTATGTACTAAACTTGGCATTAGACTTACGGAGTACTCGGTTTGACCATTCTCATCTGCACGTATTTATAAATTACCTAATGTTGAAATGAATTTTGGTAGAAATGCATGCGTGCGATATGTTACTGATGCCGTAAGGTAGGATCTGTGTCTGGGTCCGAGGAGATTGCCCCTCAGGAAGAAGTCAGCCATCGTGATTTTGAAGCCGGCGTAGGAAGAACGACATTAGGATCAGCATTCCAAACCCATAACATCGATACCTACTTCCTCGTGGATGGGCTACACAGGAAGAAAGCTGCTAAAAGACGCAGGATCAATCTTGGCCACCATTTCGCCATGTCATGGAGACGTGTCAGTTCTGGGAAGTCATGTCCATGTCTCATTTTCCAGCTCCTAACTTAATCTGCATATTTCATATTGGCTTACAAAGATCTAAGACAGAAAAGGTAAATTTGGCGACCAATGCCAATGCTAGCAGAGGAATTATGTCAGATTGTCCTCTCGACGGTCTTTGCAGATATTCATAAGATCATAAAAACCTTGGAAGTGAGGCGACGCTATCGCTATATACGTCACTCTGTTGTATGATATTAGGTATAATGAAAGTGATCTGTAACGTCATTAATGGTGCTTACTACCTAGGTAGGTAAGCTTAGGATTTATCAAATCAAATGAGTATGTCGTCAGTCTATTTTGTTAGAGATCTAATAAAATAAAAGCCCTCTCATATTATGTTACCAAGCTTAAAGCTGTGGAATATCTCATCAATCACCTACTGTCAAGTTAATATCTGATTCAACGTCAGGGGTTAGACCTGTAGTTAACGACTATAGCAACAGGTTTCTAACATCGTTTGGGGTGTTACATCGGATGCAAGAAATGTCAACGAGTCAACTAAGCGCGATGTTCCTAAACGGTACCACCAGTCTCCTTGTCATACCTCATTTAACTCTCTCTGTGATAGCGTTAGGAGAAAAGGCACTATAGAATATGATATGAACAAAAGAGGGACGCGCAAAAATTTCATCCGGGCTCAGTTGGCTTGAAAATGTGCTAGTAGCATCAGTGGTGCTAACAACAGCGGACCAGAACTCAATTGCCGATGTCCTGCTCTAAGCGAGGCGCGTGCCATAGCGTCTATCGTACTTAGGGGCGACGGCGACGAGTCCCAATATAGTTAGCATTATATAGTACTATGATTTGATAGAGAGTTGACAAGGGGACGGCAGTGATAGAAGGGCATTATGTAAAGCGAGACCTGAGACTCACCGGAGAACTTAAACGATTTTTTATATTTTATTTAGGAGTAGAAAAAGAGTTGCATCATATATGTCATCAATCTTTTTTTTTTTTTTAGTTTTTTTTTTTTTTAGAAATATACAACAGATCATTGGCCTTACGCCGAGGATGAATGGTCTTAAGGAGTGACCCCGAATTTTCAGGCTCACACCCCCGCAGCGGATCCCTGGGTGTATATTACCTAGAAGGTAGCCATATAATATAACTGCCGTGTAAAAATCTGGGGTCTCCGCATTCTTTCTCCAGGTCAAGAGTTGGGGTAGTGGGTGTTCAAATCCACACCTCAAGCTGAGAGCCAGGATTGTTACACATTCAGGATGAACTAATAGGGTTAATGTTACACTGTACCACAGAGTATGGATAATCTGGGACTTATCAAAGCATGTATGCCTACCTACCTAGCAGGTATATAAGGTATCCATTTAGGCGCTGGTCGAGGGAGTTGTGAACCAATGTTATGACGTGCGTCTGGCAATTTTAAACTTGCTTCTCATTCCCCGACGGGCTTTTTCTTCACACTTTAGAATCTACCACCACATATCACCATGTCTCTTGAAGAGGCCGAAAAGCCCTCAGTAGGTTTCGTCGAGGAACAGAAACGGGATGTGAGCCATAAGGAAGCCCTCGAAATCGTCCCAATTGAGCAAGAGGCGACCCAAGAAGCCTACCACGTCCATCTCAGTTGGCGATCATGGGTATGGCTACAGCCGATTGTTGCTTGCTTTGCTTAAATAAGACACTGACATATTGAGAATCATGTAGCTGGTGGTATTCATAACGTGCTTCGCGTTAGTATATCTGCATACTAGTCGATCTGTGCCCAATCTCTCATACTGACGATAGTTTATAGCGTCATGGCCCAGGTATTTGTAGTGGTAGCTGCCGGTTCCGTTATCGCATTCATCGTTCGTGATCTCGGGAATGGCTCCATTGCTGGTTGGGTAATTCAGGTACTTACTCTTCCTCTCCTTACCAAATATCCATGTAATATGTCCAAAGCTAATGAAGATCCTCCAGGGCCCTCTACTCATGCAATCTGTATTATCGCCGATAGTTGGTCGCCTATCCGACGTTTTAGATAGGAAGTTCCTTGCCACGGTGCCACCCCTGATCGCGTTTGTAGGCGCCATCGTGTCTGCCAAGGCAACGTCAATGGGCATGCTCATTGGGGGTGGAATCCTCATTGGCGTGACTTTGGCTACAATATCCATTGTCCAAGCAATCCCTGCCGAGATCCTGCCGTTGAAATACCGCGCTCTTGCTAATGGCTTCGCATTCGTTGGAGGTGCTCTGGGGGGACTGTAGGTACAATCAATCGGTTTATCAAGGGGTTGAGCTGATGTAAATAGGATCGGGTCTCTCGGTGCCGGCGCAGTCACTAACGTTAACGTTGGTGGATGGCGATACATCTTCTGGATCCAAGCCGCTTTTCACGGTATCACATCGGTGGGGCTCTTCTGCTTCTACTGGCCGCCCAAACATGTTGAATATCCTAGAATGTCTTTGAGAGACTATATTTGGGCTTGCGATCCTGTCGGTTCTACACTCTTCGTCGGTAGTGCAACGCTAATGCTTCTTGCGCTTGACTGGGCTGGAGGAGCATACAGCTGGTCGAACCCCCACGTTGCTGTACCACTCAGTTTAGGTTTAGTGATGCTGATTGGTTTTGCTCTATACGGTATGGATAGCCTCCTATTCATAGCCCGCCTCTGTTTGATACGATGATCATGATCGCTTAGCTAATAATTGTAGAATGGAGGGGACGTTCCGACGGCCTGGTTGCACACGTTTTCTTCCGGCAGAACGCCAACTTCGCATATTCGGTCTTCTCCTTCGCCGTCGAGGGCTGGATCTTCTACAGTGCTGTTAACTCAGTCGTACCACAGATCGTGCTCAATCTGGGATTCGAGAGCGACGCTTGGCGTATTTCGGTCCGCCAGTTGAGCTACCAGCTTCCCGTTCTATTCGCTTCCATTCCAATTACCTGGTACGCGACTCGATATAAAGATTTGCAAATACCCTTGCTTGTAACTTTCACTGTATTTCTAATCGTGTAAGTTCCCGATGACTCTCAACCATTGACTCTCAACCATTGCAGGTCTAAAAGGGTAGCCTTGATAGCCAGAAATACTGACATACAATCCGCAACGTATAGAACAATATGCTACGCAACCATCCAGCCATCATGGAGCTCCGCGCAAATCGGCTTCAACGTGCTAGCGGGCATCGGCCAAGCAGGACCACTTACACTCCTCGTCGCCTGTATCCAATTCACTGCGCCTCACGCCTTTCTTTCGACTGCAACAGGCCTAGCATTCTCCGCCCGCGCTATCGGCGGTGCCTTCGGCTCGGCTGTCTTGAACGCAATTATTAACGGCCGGCTTGCTAGCCACTACGCGATAGGTGTTGGTAACGCAGCCATGGATGCGGGTTTACCGGAGAGCAGTGTACCCGCACTGCTAGAAGCTCTGGAAGCTGGTCAAATTGGGTCTGGGGTTAACGCCGCTACCACAGCAGTTTGGACAGCGGCTGTTGACGCTAGTAGATGGGAATTTGCTCAGGCATATAGGCTTGCATGGGCAAGTGTCATTCCGTTCGTCGTCTTAGCCATTGTCGCCGTTGCACTATTGAAGGGAGTCAAGGATTTGATGACAGAGAAGGTAGAAGCTACTGTAGAACACGTTAAGCACGACGGGAGCGCGTGAAGATCGATTTGAAGGCGTATACGGTCGGGTAAAGCACTATGGATGAACCAGAATATACCAGGTACGGCAAGGTATCTATTTTGCAAATGCATAGACGACCTTAAATATATTCTTGTTGAACGCGCCATTGATTTACTACCGGATATGTTTCCTTCGTGGCGTGTGTTGTAAATTGTGCAAGAGACGTGACGATATGTGGGCGAATGCGTTAAGAACGAGTCCTGTGCGTTCAACATTTATCTTGGGGGCGACCATCGAGCCACTTGCTCATGTAAGGTCCGTCTAACCAATACCCAAGTTTTTTGTAATAGCTTCGCACTCCAACGCCACTAATGACGCTTATTTTGTCGCTTCCATGCTCGTCACGTGCGATACGTTCTGCTTCTTCCATAAGGAGAGTACCGAAGCCCTGGTGTTGAAATTTCTTAGGGTCCCTGGCGTGTACCGGTACGGCGGTTCCGTAGACGTGAAGTTCCCTAACCAGACTTGTCTGCTGGCCGGTTAATTCTTCGCGGAAGGTATATTTCTCGGTACATTTTCTCAGGCGAAGCAAAGCAACCAAGATGTCTTGTTTGGGATCTTCGTAAGCTAGGAATGTCTCCCATCCGGCATTGGCAGTGTAGTCACGACGAACTAGTTCGATCTGACTTGGCCGGATCTTGTGCTTGACCTCATTGATGCCGACCTCGCGTGTTCTCACATCACGGCAGGTCGTACCGAAGTCTTTCATTCGTGCAAGAGCCAATTCCCTTAAATTTCCATTCTCAACACCGGATGTAACTAGCGGCATTGGAATATCTCTCTGAACCCGATAGATCCTGGTCCAAGGGGGGACTAGTGCTAAGATCCTCGCGACGATGTCAATTAAATCATTTGGAGTATAGTTCTTGTAACGGCCTGTCCTCCATAACTCATAGAGACCTGTGCCGCGAATAACTAATGTAGGATATATCTTCAATCCGTCAGTTCGAAATGCCGGATTTTCGAAGTATTCTCTAAATTGATCTAGATCACGTTCCATGCCCACATTCGGTAAATCGGGCATCATATGTGAAACGACCTTGTATCCAGCATCCTTAGCAAGGCAGAATGTTTCCGCGACTGCCGCAACGGTATGCCCTCTATTGGTATCTCGTGCGACATCCTCGTATAATGATTGCACACCAATTTCCAAACGTGTACATCCATAGCGAAGCATATCAGTAAGATGCGGTTGAAGGCAGTAATCTGGTCGAGTTTCGATAGTAATACCAACACACTTCACGTTACTCATCTCGCCAGCCTCGACTGCTTCATCGACGTTTGTCGTCTGGTACCCACTTAGAGCATTGTGAAGTTGGGAAATGAACTCTTCCCGATAAGGAATAGGGAGCGACATGAATGTACCGCCCATGATAATATATTCGACCTTATCGACCGAGTGACCGAGAGATTTTAACTGGTCGACACGACCTCGAGCTTGTTCAAAAGGATCGTATCGGGCGCGAATAGCGCGCATGGAGGTTGGTTCGTAGCCTGTATAAGATTGTGTGCTGTATTCGAAGTCGGAGTCGGGACCACCTGGGCAGTAGACACAGATGTTGCCAGTGAACGCGATATGAGGGCATCTGTGAGGTTTACACATGACAGCTACAACTGCAATACCAGAAGAAGTGCCTGAGCTGTCAGTTAGTATAACGAAAACAAGCCCCTTCATATTTTATACCGACGTACGAATAGGCTTTGCGATGAGTTTGGGTAGGATATATTTCTTATAGTGTTCGGGGACGGCGGCGATAATGGCAGTCAGCGGGGGCATGCTAGCGATCTTGTGCTTCCTCGAAAATTTAGAGCGTAGGCTGTTGAGATTAATATCTCTCTTGGGATTCTTGGGATTCTTGGATGCCTCATGGTCTTCGATGAGAGCATTCGCAATGTCAGCGCAACATCGCAAGAATCGCTCGTTCTCTGGCGGAAGGTTGGCATCCTTCTTTCGAACTGTCGCCGTTATCGTAGTCGTAGCCATTTTGTAGGGTGCATGTAGTTGGATGTGTTTTTGGTCGATAATTTTTCGATGTATACTAGGTAATTTATGATGCGATGTTTCCGGATGAATTTGAGGATGGGTATAAACGACGATTAAGGTGTGCAAGTTTATGAAATTGAAAGTTGACGTAAATGATAATTGCAAATAGGGAAAAAAAAGTGTATTGTAGTGGGGGTGGGAATCATAGATGAAATTGAGCCAATGAAAAATAATAGAATGACCAAAAGTGGGGATTTACATGTATCCGTGATACCCCGCCGTCCCGCTGTATCTTATCCCGTAGAGATTATATAAGCATGCATATAGGTACCTCAACATACTACTAGAGGTATTGTTTATAGGCATGATCTCATCAGATCGCCATTCCCATTTATGCCTAGACGCAATCCTTGGCCCCTTCCAAGGTTACAGTCATTAGAAGCTACGTACGGTACCAGACATAGACTTGCTGGCAATCGCGGGGTTGCAGCGATCGGGAAGTCAGCTGCCAGACACTTGTTCGATCATTTTCTTTCACCATTCTACAACTTTTTATCGCTCCAACTCTTACTATTCTGACTGGCCGCAAGGGTTGCTCAAGACTAGTCACCATTTATTCATGCATTCTGAGTTGTCACATCAACGTCTAAGACGGTTAGTTTTCGCAAAGAGCTGATAATTCTCTATTTTCCTTATTTCATTCAGCCTCACTATTTCTCTCTTACCGTCTGCGCCGCCCAAATCCGCCTACCCAAGATCTAGGTGCATTAGCTACCCTCCTCGGTATTAAGCTAGGTTGATCAGATACCCAGTAGGCACCTAAGAATATCTTAGGTGTTAACAGTATTAAACCTTACATCCATCCCTTCGCTGAACGTCTATCCCACTTCCCAGGCCGAGATCCAATTTGCCTAGCCTAATACGATCGATATCGTGAACCATACCGCGAAACATATCTTACGCGAACCGACACTCGCAATTTTCGATACTTTGTTCCTTACCCGACACTCGATACTCAATACTAAATATTAACGCTCAGGCAATACCAAAATTGATTTACCATGGCATCTAGCAGAGCACGTCGAGTCGCCAAGGAGTTGGCTGATATTGAAGCTGATGCGAGAAATTCTGGAATCACAGCTCAGCCTGCTAACAACAACGGCGACCTCACCCACCTGAAGGCTTGCCTGCCTGGGCCGCCTAGTACGCCATACGAGGGTGGTCAGTTTATTGTTGATGTTAGAATCCCCAATGAGTACCCCTTTCGACCACCAGTCATGAAGTTTGATACCAAAGTCTGGCATCCAAACATCAGCAGTCAGACAGTACGTATTTTCAAATAACCTCATTGTTTTTCGGTCTCTAATTACATCACTAAACAGGGGGCTATCTGTCTCGATACTCTGAGCTCCGCCTGGTCACCCGTTCTCACCATAAAGTCGACTCTGCTATCCCTTCAAGGTCTATTCGAGAGTCCCGAGCCCAAGGATCCGCAAGATGCCGAAGTTGCTAGAATGATGATCAACGATCGAGAAGCCTTTAACAAGAAAGCTCACGAGTGGGCTGTACTTCATGCCGGCGCACCTCGAAACCCCAACTTCCAATCAGTCCAGCCTAGAACGCAGGTTGCCCCTCAGCAGGTCGATGATAGCAGGTATGGCTTCGAGAAACATGCGGTAGTAAGTATCGTAGTGGATAGGTAGCTAACAGTCTACAGATATCAGGGTTACAACAAAGACCTAATTAACAGATTCGTCAACATGGGCTTTGATATCGACAGAGTTGTCGAGGCTTTCCAATTCGTTGGTATTGACAGACTTGACGGCCAAGACTACGAGCTGGAAGAGGCATATATGGGTGACATCACCGCTCGTCTCCTGGGCGAGCCCTAGAGTAATAACTCGTACAATACACTAGTCATGGAGGAGTCCTCGCATATTCAGGTACCTATATACCTCCTAAGGACTACTTCGATAGATGGTCTTATTCGCATGAATCACACCTATGCGTCTCCAAGACACTAGCAACAGCATATACTAGTTAGTCTTTGCTTTCGGCAATCAGAATTGTCTTCACAGACTTGCATATGGGGTCTGGCGTTAGAGGGGTTTCATTTAGGCACATTATTCCTACAGGAATTAATTTACATGGGTTCAATCTCATATGTATCGGACTTGTGCATATGATTCCTTTTTCGTATGCTATTACTCTAATTTCTCTGTTGACCCGCTTCCGCCATATCCACATGGCCTTCCCAGCTCGAGTGTCACGGATTCCTGGATCAAAATCGCCTAAGCTATTAGGTAGGGCGAAACAAATCGATTGATTTTGCGCTATGATCAACTTTCAGATTTTGTAAGCTCGGGAAAGGGCCAGTTCCATCATTTCTCTAACCGCTAGTTGCGCCCAGTAATCGCGCGGTCAGAAATCCAATACGTATCAACATTCTCAGTATTGATGGGTATGAGGCGGACGGTCCTAGGCCATGTAGAAAATAGCTATTTAGTTGACAAAAGTTTACCCCTTTCTTTTGGGATTCCTACAGCTAAATGCGCACCCCACATAATGTAGTCCCCGTAGGTACTTGTTATGTACCATGTATGTAATTCATGAACACAGATCTGGAAATATTATGAGTCTCATGCAGTCTAGCGGCATAGAACGAAAGCTAGAGGCATACTTTGTACCTAGGTACTTGTACTTGATGCCGATTTAGACTATGCTGATACACCTGACAAAGTCACGTAACAACCAGGCTGGAATCTCCGGAAGATACCTTATATCTCCTAACAGAAACCCAAGCTGGAAAGTATATCGCTGGCCAATATGTCGATACCAGCAGTATGCCGGTCCTCGATCCCAAAATTGAGGAAGAGTATATCGTCTAGATAACCATGGTACTTCTGACCGCGGGCCTTCCAGCTCATAGACGTCACATAGAACATCCGATTCCGAGTGTTGCGGCCATGGATCCATAGGGGGTTCTGCGATACGCCATAAACTTGAAACGGTTCTCGCCTTCGGAAAACCATGGCGTACGGCTCATACACGCTGTGGAAATCATGGAAGGTCTTATGCTGGAAGATTGTAAAGAGGAACGTGTTGGTATCACTTGGTGAACAGCTGGGGTCTGACCGTTGACACATGGTGATGGATAACGAGTTTGTCGCTTGGTGGATTGATTCATGCTCTGGTCCTGGTTTCGGAACGTACTTCTCCATACACTTGTCATCATTATTTACGGCTGCTAACGGGGCTAGATCTGGCCCTACTGAGCCGCCGACATCTAACTTTGCGAAGATGCGCCGCGGCGCAATATCGTAATGCGCGTACATCTGGCCGTCAGGATCCCAGAACAGAAACCAATTCTTCTCAATAGGGGAGTAAGGTGGTGGACGGTGGAGCTCCGTCCCTAGCTGGAAAAAGCTCTCTTGTTCCTGCTCTTCCGGGGTTGCGCTCGCGTCCTCTAAGTTACCATCGCCGTTCCAGTTCATGAGAACTTGGAAGTCCTGGATCCACTGCCCGAAACAGGTCTCATGAGAATTACTCCCATATACTATGAATGGAGTTCGTGGGCCGTAGAGGACGCGAGCATCATGAGGCCCGACGTTTAGGCTAGCGTACTGGAGCTCGCCTTCACATTTACCTAGACCTGTCGCGACAATGGGAAGTGGTATAGGCGGGAAAAGGCAGCCGAGCTCTGTGCCGCCTTCATTGAACGCAGCATCGCATACTAATTCGACGAAGTGCGTTGGTATAGCATCGTCCAGGTCGTAATGGTTCGCTACGATAACCCACACATTGTCGAGTAGTGGATGTGGTACAATGTTAGGGTTAATAGCCACTTTGTCGCCGAAATTAATTTTAAAATATTTCCCATCCGGAGTTGAGGCGGAAAAGAGTTCCGTGTGCGTATTGATATGACTAGAATCAACCGAGTCATCGACGTTTTCGCTGCTGCTTAATTCGTTGGTATGTGGTGCTTCCGACAGGCCGTTATTGTCGCTACCTTTGTAAATATTCCGAGAACCACCCTGATCACCAAGAACCTGTTGTCCATGCCGTGTCCCAAAGATATGGCTAATGGGCAGTATTTGCTGTATCCAATCTGCGACAGTATATGAAATAGGAGACCGGCTACGGAAATGCCGAATGACGGTATAGAAGAGAAAAAAAAGAGGGAGGACAATAAGAATCAATCGTCTGAACCCCCGTACTAACATATTGCAGGACCGAAATTTCTATTCCCTACCTTGAGAAATGGAAACCTTTCGTCTGCTAAAATGATACGAAAGTGGTTATCAGCAACTACAGCTGCGCTATACAATTAGTCCTCACTTAACTACCTTCTACCCATCGAACGTCCCTGGAATAGGTAACTAATGTTGATGTGAGTTAGGTACTACGTAGGTACCTACCTAATCAATGAAAAGAATACGCCTTATTTGATAGTATACTAGGTACCTAGTAGGTTTTCATCTACATCGGGCCGTATATTGCTCTCCATGTCTGGAGGGGGGTTTAACGAATGCCGTGAATCACCAAGTATACGGGATCACCTCGGATCACATGCTCTGCGTACCTTCCTGACAATCGGCAGTACTATAGAGACTTACTACCTAGGTAGTACCAACCGTCCAAGAATGTATCAAGTGTATGTGGGTGGAAAGACGTTTACTCGCGCCTTGACAAGATGAATTATCCGCATGACATACCGTATCCAGGATTCGGATGCTCTAAAGACGCAAGGATTATCGCTAGGTGCCACGTGAAACTAATTTGAAAAGTAAGACCACGGGGCACTCTCCAAGAGTTTCAATATCGATGTAAATATCGATAACTCTTGACAATTCGGAATTGAATTTGACATGTGCTCCTCCGCGACGGCCTTACGGCCTCCCCGCATTCTGCCCCGTAATTTTCAATCAAGCTTTAAGGTGAACAGGGGTGACGGCAAAGAAGACAGGGTTTTGTTGCCCCCTCCCTCCTCCCCTGCGCTGAACGTCGGGTAACACCGCAGTATAGATATTCGGCTGCTTTCCCGATTAGGTAATTTTCTCCAAGTACTGGCTGAGTTGCAGGAAGTTTGTCTCGGACTTTTCTTAAATTGTTGGATACACAAGAGCAGGACGAAGATACTGCAAACAGAACATTTCCGGCAGATCGCCGATTAGAGTTAATATTGGACTAGTCATCACTTTTTCTTTTTCTCTCCGAAAGCCACATAACTATCCATCGGACATGGGAGAAACCTGGTTAACCCCCTGTTGGAAAAAGAATATTTTCTGCAATGAAACCAGAATGCACATCTTGATATTGTCGTTCACCTGCCTACCCTTCCGATGCCTTCGATAGGTTGAGGTAAGAGGCTCCGATACAGCCACTGCGCAAATCGTACACTGGGTTCATCCACCAACTTTGTGACAACCTCGGCCAGCCAGATGGTAAAGGGTAGAAGGATGACATGTGGCGCTAGGAATGATAACTCGAGACCAAGCGGTCCTGTTTTCGGCAATCTCAACGTGTCCACCCACCCAGGTAGGTGAGCTTTCTGGGCTTCCTCGTACCACCCGGTGGCCGTGTACAATCTGTCACCAAGCGTCCAGAGAATAGGTCCATGTACTAGATATAGTGCAAAGGATATGCGTCCGAGATATTGACAGAAACGAGTCTCGAAGAACCGTTGGAGCCATGGAATCCGGGGAACCGAGGCGACGAGAAATGTTGCTGCCCAGAACAGGTAGAACCATTTATAATCAAACACAGCCTGGGGTTTGAGGTAAGATAAGTAGTGCCATCCTCGGGAGTTCTGCAGGCGGTTGGTGTCAGGATTGACGGATGGAACACCGCCCAGGTAGATACTTAACGCGAGAAGATGATGGAAAACAAAACTTTTAGCTAGCCGTAGCCTGTAAAAGACGCGTGGGAGCTCGTTCTTTGCGGCAAGGAGATCGATGTCACAAAGAAACATGCCTGATATGAACATCGCGGCATACCAACCATCCGCCACGTACATGAAATAGAATATCAAGCCAATTTGACACCATATTCGGGCATTTCTAGCCAATCTCGAGAACGCGAGCAAGCAACTGTATATGATGATAGAGCCTTTGAACTCAATCTGAATCGACCAAGCGTGAAATTGGTAGCTGAGCCAAGGATCTCCGCCTGAATTGTATAAGAAGCTGAAATTCTTGAACTCGAAATACCAGAACCTTAATTCTTCCCTCCAGCTACTTTTTGGTTGAGAATTAACAGCCCATAGTCCAAGTACATGCCATGAGGTGATGTAGCAAAAGGTTACGACAATAAGCGGCAGATAAAGTCGTATCCACCGTCTAAATAGCGCTGATGCTATATTATCGCCCACTTTCACATACTCATGATCATGTATCAGGCTCATTGGCTTCGATGATAAGACGTAGCCAGAAATGACGAAGAAAGTAGAGACAGCGTAGTGACCACCGGAGAAGAACGTTCGTATGCAATGGAAGGCGGCGAAGTGGTATTTGTGATTATACCCGAAAGCATCTTCGAAGACTTCAGTCTGGCCGGTTGCGAGGTGAGCCCATAGCTGGTGATGATGCCAATACACAAGGAAAGCGGCAAACCCGCGAAGTCCATCCAAGTACGCGGTGGGACGTGGCTTTGCTAAAATCCCTGTCGCTGATGAACCAAATGGAAATAGATGGGGTTTAAATGATTTCATTAGTCTTTTAAAGAAGTTTACTCTTCTCCTTGTTGGATGGTTGGATGAGGCGGGTTTCCAGCCGGCTTTGATCTCCTCCCATTCTTGGACGTCTAAAATACTCAGAGATTTGGTAGGCATATTCGTATAAGATGACTGTTCTGGTGAAGATATTGTGCATTCGTGTTCCAAGGATAAATTTGAAAGTCGTTCATTTGGGGATCCTTTGGTAGCTGCCCAACGAGCATGTCATGTTTAGAAAGCCTTGACAAGCCCCTCAGTAACCTGGTCGAATACTTGTAAAAGTGTACGACAGTAGGCATATCGTACTAATCCAAAATAAGGCGAATGACGACGTTGTATTGTCAATATATCCCGTGTGAATGGGTTGGGTAATCGCAGTGGTGTAACGTAGAGAGAACTCGGTCCGTTAGCCAAACTTGTATACAAGGATAGTATATATTTCTAAGGGGTAAGGTACACGCACTTACTACGTACACTGGTGATACCTTGAGAAAAAAAGGTGTCCCGCGGCTATTTCAGCATCTCAGTCGTCCCAGGGTTGGAGATGGATACTTGAACAGGAAGGTTCCGAGATATGAGCACAAGAATTTATGCAAAAAGGACGCCCTAAGCTAGGTGGAGTATCATCTCATCAAGACATCGGTAACGCCACGTTACTAGTTAGTGTGTCCCCACGAAGCCTCCATGGGGATTATCACGTACAGGGCAAAGAATAAGCCGTAGCTAGATCAAGTTAAAAGTAAGAACGTATACCAGCCGGGCCAAATCAAGAAATCCAGCGACTGTTGTGCAACCCAGGTCATCACAAATGGAGACTTTGGGTACAATACAATACTTGCGGACGTAGTTGGATATCCCCAACCAAGCTCAACACGCATGTACCTACGTCGTCATCACCGATAGCAACCCCCTCAGCAGAATACACTTATCTCTGCATAGATAACTGAGCTCGGCGTGTCGTCAAGCTTTAAGCCGAAAAGTCGCAGCTCTAGGTTCCGGTCGTAGTTCCTTGCCAATAGGTATATCACGTCGATTTATCGTGGTTACAATAGGCTTCTCAAACCGAGTTTTCGGTCTCTCGTACCGCGGTGTGCGCCCAGACTGGTGCTTTATCAATAATATGAATCCGCCAATGTACCCATTGTCGCCAAGGTTGGCGTCAACCACTGCCAAGTTTAGGAATCGTGTCCCAACTCAACTTCGAAGAGTCATTATCATATACATTATATGCGCTTGCGTTCTATTAATCATTCTTAACATCGATTTGGTACCTTCAATGCCGAATTACAGCGGAGTACTCAAGCGGGATACGACTCCACGGAAAGCAGCCGACTCGAAGGCGCTTGGAGGGTTTCCGAGGAAAATATGGCAGACTTGGAAGATTGATCCTTTCTCGTTTGAAGAGAGGGATTCTACGACGGCCAAGACGTGGACAACAAGAAATCCGGGTTTCAGGTACGAGGTCCTGACAGACAGCAATGACATGAATTACGTTGAGGAACAATTCGGTCCTTCTGGGTTCAACCGCGAGGACATCATCGACCTGTACCGATCAGTCAATGCGACAATAATCAAAGCGGACCTTCTACGCTACCTCATCATGTATGCGGAAGGGGGCGTTTACGCTGACATTGACGTCGAAGCGCTCCGGCCAGTACAAAGATTCATTCCAGAGCGCTATAAAATATCAGAGGTTGACATGGTCCTTGGGGTTGAGATCGACCAACCAGAGTTCAAAGACCATAAGATCCTTGGTAAGAAGTCGCAGTCATTTTGTCAGTGGACATTTATGGCAAAACCACGACTTCCAGTGATGCTTAAACTGATCGAAAATATCAAGGGCTGGTTGACTGAAATTGCTAATAAGCAAAAAGTCCCAATCGGAGAAGTGGTGCTTGACTTCGACGAAGTGATCAGCGGCACTGGTCCATCTGCATTTACCGCAGCTGTCCTGGAGGAGATGAATAAGCGGAGCGGTAGCGTAAGCATCACGTGGGATGACTTCCATGATCTTGACGAATCCAAAATCATTAGTGGTATCCTAGTCTTGGATGTAGAGGCATTCGCGGCAGGTCAAGGCCATTCTGACTCTGGGAACCACAATTCAAGGGGCGCGCTCGTGAAGCACCACTACCATGCGTCAAATTGGCCGAGCCGACATCCCCGATTCAATCATCCGGTTTATGGCGAAGTCGAAAGGTGTAATTGGAATGCTGATTGTGTGAGGAAATGGGACGAAGACGTAGAAGCATTCGAGCTTCTACCTCTTGAGGTACAGCAGGAAAAAATCAAGGAGAAGAGAGCACAGGATAGCCAATTAGTGCTAAATACGAATTCACAACTGGAATTAAGAGAACCAAACCCGATACCAGTATCACAATAATATCTACCTATTGCCCACGACAGGTAGGTAGGGACTAGGTAGGTAGGTATCCGTGGATAGCACGTACAGTTCGAGGACGAGAGAAAGCCGTGGAGCCACTATTATGTAGGTGGGGTTTGGTTATCGAATATGATCACCAGCCACAGCACTAGCCACAGAACGTCATTTCCATTTGAGGGCAGCAACTTCGACGCGAAATTACAGCCGCGTCGCTTCCATGTCTAGGTACCTAGGTAGATAATACAAGGAAGGTCTGAGGTATGCAATGGCCAATAGTTACATGTATGATGGCAGGAATAGTCTCTGGATGGATTAGCACTTAATCTTGTCAAACTTCAACTTTCAACGAACGCTTTCTTTTAAATCTAAATACTTACCTACTTAGTACCTAAAACATCGTCACGGACATTGTCGTCCGATCTATATACCTTAACACTTCCGACTCCTTCAATAACTAAACCTGATATACCGAGATCCTTGCCTACATATTCCAACCAAAGATTCTGGCGACTCCATTCGTTTAACCCTGAACTACAAAAACCTATGTTTCAACCCGCATACACCATTTCTACATCGTGTCCCATATATGCAAAATGGCAGGCAATGATGATTCCTCGAGCACTAGAGCCAGAGCCAAAGCCAAAGCCAACGAACTACTGACATATGGACAACGCCAAGTCGATCGAGTCGTCAGCCCACCTACCCGACAGAAGGCCTACGATCGAGTTCACGATTTCGCAACCGAGAGACCTATTCTATTTGTAAGAACTCAAGATAAACATCTCTTCGTTTAGCTCCCTACCTAGTAGTTAGCTAGATGGCTGCATTAGTAGTCAAGTCTGGTCAAATTGAATGGAACTGAATTGACTCGGCTTTCTTCTACCACCAGTCCTTCGTCGCATTTCAATTCACCCTCTCACTTGCGCCTATTCTCCTTTTCGCCGGCTTCGCCATGACCACCATCGCCATTTCCTTAATATCCGCCGTAATGTTCTCGCTCTTTTGGATCGGCGTTGCCACGCTCTTCCTCGTGCCGACCCTCTTTATCACCTTCAGCATCGCCTTGCTTCTCTGGGCCTGGGCAGCCGCCACATTTTTCGCCGGACGTTGGGCCTACGAACGACTGCCGTATGTTTTCGACGGCGATGGCAAGATAGTAGCCAACAACGGGGGGAAGAAGATCATATTTGAAAAGAAGGACGGCGGTAGCACCGACTTCGGCATCAAAGCTGAGGTAGCCGAGGTCAAGGAATAGTTTGCCGGCGAGGTCGTGTGGATTGTGATGGAAGTCGGCTGGTTCATGATCCGCCAGGGCACTAAAGGAATTTTGAAACTTGGGTTCTGGTTGTAAATGGCGCATGTCAATTTAACGCCTTTACCCACGTAGGTTAGTACGATAGAGTGTACTTGTATAGGTACCTAGGTAGGTAGGTAAGTGTGTTGGCGTTAGGTTTCGATAGATATCCGTTGTGAAATGGAAAGGGTAGTTTACGAATATGATTATTTACGGAGTCAAGGGCCGAGGGAGTGGGATTGGCATGGAAGCATCGGTAGTGGAATATGATTTCCATCAAACTTTAACTTACCTAGGTAGATAATCATTAATATGGAGACTAAGACGCCCGTAGCCCTTGGTAGGATCAATGAAGATGTAGTCTATTAGGTATCAGTTTTATTGGCAGAGCCTTCACGCAAAAACGGGACTACCGTTTACCCTCCGAGAAAGACACAACTGCCCACTTGCCACTCCATGCCCATTTCCTAGCCTCGTCATCCGCGCTACCGCCCTCGGCTGCCCGAATCTCTTCATCCTGTCCCGGCTTCAAGCCCACAACGACATCGGCCTTGCAAGTTCGGAGGGCAAGGACATTGACTCCCGAACCAGGACCAAGGGGCCCAATAGCTTCAACAAACGGCGTCGATGGGTCCCATGCGGCCTACATAGTTAGTAAAATTCCTTAGTAAGTACCCAGTAGCTAGGTAATCAGCGTGAATATACCGCACTTACATCACCGGTGAGCTTCCGATAGTTTAAGTCACCTTTGAATATGACCACTTCACTCGTCTTCAAATCATTATAAAGATCCTTGTCCGTGGATGGAAGTCTCCAGTAACTGCCGGGATGAGTCCAGAAGGTATTCGGTCTCATGATGAGCTGTCCTTCAGCGTGCATCTGCGCCCACTCCTGGAAAAGAAAGCCAAGATCGGCCGCGTCCTTGTCTGGTAATGGAGAGGGAGTCATGTTTTGCAACCTCTCGTCATCGGATGGTGTTTCGTAGAACCTCTTGGGGTCAGCCAGGGCACTAAGCAGAGCGGCAAAGTCGGCTGGCAGAACGTCCGACACGAACCAGGGGATCGACTTCGGATGAAGAACCACGAGAGTGGCGAGCCCAGATGATAACAGGTACCCAGCTAGGATGAGATCGACGTATAACTCAAACCCAGCGTTATCTAATACAATGTCCACTCGGCGCTCCTTCTTGCCTTCGTTCTTAGCTTTCGTCAAAACCTCATATGTCGCCGCTAGGTCATTAATAAGGATATTCTTCTCGGAAGCTTTCCTAGCTTCAGAACCTTGTAGCTTCTGAATATCCTCGTAGGTGAGGCTAGTAAGGAGAGACAAGTCGGTAGCATTACCCCACAAACAAATCTCACACATCTCAAAGAATAAGATCTTCTGAGCTTCGTCATGCTCGGTGCCGGTCTTTCTATCCTGGTTGATCTGGGTTACCAGATCTCTATATCGAGAGGCCAGTTCGAGTACCGCGGGTCTGGACGACCTGAAGGTCTTAATCTTTTGCCGGGAGAATACATCATATGTCTTCCAATGAACGGATAGCCTAAAGGAGGAGTTAAGGCGTCTATAACCCATTAGCGAGATTTGCCAATATTTCCAAAAGTCTTTGATTACAATTTACCTGTATAGATAGCACTCGCAAAAGAGCCATGGTATATTGAACCAGCTAGGCGTTCCCAACTTCTCCAGTTCGCTATTATACAGGGCTATGTCGGCGCCACCGTCGTCTCTTATCGGTCTAACTGGTTGTCAACATCATGCCGTACTGAAATGACAAGAATAACGTGATGGATATGTGAAAAGTCCATACGTCAGTTGTCGATCGTGCTGAAGCTCATATTTGAGCCGAGACAGCTCCTCTATAATCCTCTTTCCTTCGTCCCGCTTCTCAGGTTCTTCGCACCCAGAGACAGAGCGATACAAATCATCTATAGCTTGCGTCTTAATGATGTAAGATCGATTATTACTCATACTCAGGAGTATAGATGGTGAGAATAATTAACTGACTACAATAACTGGCCACCGGTCTCGGGCAGATATATAAGCGAAGGATGACTTGTCGCTCGTCAAATATGAAGCTGATGAATACACATATAGTTAGCCATTTGATTATTCTTCTTCTTTTCCCCCCTTTCCATTGCTTAGAAACATATTAGTTATCTTACAGGTCTTAGTGTCGAACTCCATTTCAACGATGTATCTTAACAGTCTCAATATAAGAAATATCTTCACATGATACTTTCCTCACTCTAAGGCGTAGATCGATTGCTGGTAAAATGTCATCGTTGATAGCGGGGTATCCTAGCGGGGTAGCTCCGATAATATTCTGATAAATGGATATGTCAGGATTTAACAATGCGACGTAATATATTGCTGTATGTGACATATTGTAAATATCAGGATATGTAAAATAAAGTTTTCTTACTAAATTCTTCGATTACCAATATCAATTAGCTCTAGGGCGTTTCTGCTCGAAGCGCCCTAGAGCCTGCATATGGCGGCTGGCGCCTTAAATGGTGGTACTTAGGTACGCACTAAGTATACGGCATGCAACCCGAACCCGAACCACTTGAAATAAGTATCTGGGTGTACCGAAAAGTTCGTATCCGGACGGAGGCGTTGATCGGCGAAAAGATCTGCATCATCTAGTCTTCTTCTCGATCTGCTGCTTTTATTTTCAGCTCTCCACATCTTTCAACTTTGAGAGTAGAAACAAAACCACCTCGGCATGTGGCTTGTCCCATGTTTTACATAGCTGCATAGGTAGATGGGAGCTTCCTTCAGTCTATTTCCCCGGACTCCTTAGCTGGAACCCTATGTAGACTAAACCCCAGGTAATTCCGATCCTACGAAGATGCAGTATATTTGTTTGCTTGTTAAGATATAAGCGGATATCATCCTTTCTATCATATGATATCTGCATACTTGCCCAGTGGTTAGTGAACGTTGACATTTTCAATTCACATATCTGTTCCAAAGTCAGGATAAGTCTCCTGAGTCCCAGCACATTGATAGGTTGGCTTTCCAGAGCTATGTTTTATTCTTAGAAATACACCATGTCAGCATATCCGGCGGCCATCCGAATCATATCGATCCCTCTAGTTTTATTCCATATTGCTCGATGATCCTATATTTATCGTTCCCTCAGCTCATCTATATGAATACTAGCCCCTGAAATTAACCTATGTAGGTAATATATGGCAAATGCCCCTCTTCCCCGCGAAATACACATACCTAGGTGCGTAGGTGGATAATCAACATTAACGACCCGGGAACTAGGAACCAGGCTGCCATGGCGGAGAAATAACCTTAAGAAGGAACCAGACATGCCAACGACATGAACACAACAGGGTCTCTGATATCGCTATTGGTCTATTCACTGTCATACAAGGCTACTAATTTTGGAGGTTGTGAGACGCAAACAAATATCCAGCCACCTTCGTCTACCTAGTTGTTCAGCTCGCCGGGACGATACGCCAATGTGATTTTAGAAAGTTAAGTCCCAAGTTCACCTATAAAAAAATAATATATAAGAACGGGGAAACTCGACTGCTCATAGACATGATCTTGTTACCCGAGCGTGTTAACTCATTATCTCGGTATATTTATCATATTCATTCCCTACCTAGTACCTAGGTCCTAGGTACCTACCACTCGTCCAAATATCGCCAAAATGAAGTGCGCCGTTATTACTCTGGTTTTGGCCACATTTGCCTCTGCTCAGTCGCTCTCTGATATTCCCCAGTGCGCCCTTCCTTGCATTGATAGCGCAAGGACCAGCAGTACCAGTTGCTCAAATAGCGACTACGCCTGCATTTGTGAGTTTACCAGTTCTACTCCCCATTTTCGTTCTTTCTATGTAGCGCCAATTCTTTCATTTTATGAAAACGAATGGCGCTGTTTTTATACTGCCACTCCAACATCTTCCATGAACTGTAAATTTCTACCCAGTTTGCGCCAGTTTGCGCTAGTGTAATCATAGGAAGATATTAACTATGGTGATATAGGTAAAAATAAAGATGCTATAACCGGAGCTGCCACTAGCTGTGTCCTCCAATCTTGTGGCGCCGATGTGGCTACGGGCCAAGTCCTACCAGCCGTCACTTCTTTCTGTATTTCTGTCGAATCTGGCAGCAGTGGAAGCTTTTCGGTATCAGCATCAACATCCTCATCTTCGGCTACCACTGTGATGGACGCAACATCTACAAGTGCCAGCGCTACGGAGATCACTACAGATAACGCCACCTCCGGCGGCGAAGCACCCACTAGCACCTTGGCCATCTCTGTAACCTCTGCAGCTTCCACCACCGTTAGCGGGATCAACAGCACTGCCAGTTATACCAGTAGCCATTCCACTGCGGTTCCTGTGGCTGGTGCTTCCTCCGTAGCCGGCTCGCTTGTTATGTTGGTACTTGGCTTCGTTGCTGCCATGTGAGCTTATTTTGGAGCATATTGAACAAAGTTTTCTTAAATACGAGTTTTATGTAAAGTTTTTCAAATTCAATACTCCTCCACCAAAATAAGTCCTGTTCGGGATAAAACGGATTCAGATTGGGTGGCGTTAAAATACCTATTTCATAACATGACACAAAGTACATTAATACCTATCTAGGACCTAGGTACTGGTACTAATTATAGGAAATAAAAGTGCGATTTATGGACTAATTTTTTTTTTTCGAGAAGAAACGACCACACAACATAATTCTCTTGTGTATAGGTATTAATACGTAGCAGAGTTCTTACCTAGAACCTAGGTAAATTAGTAAACAGTTTAGATACCTACTAGGTAGGTAGGTATTTAGGACTTTGCTCGATCTACAAATAGGCCCCAAGAAGGTAAGTTGAAAATACTACTAGGTACCTAGGCTTCAACCCAGGTATTTATCGTGCCCACCTATGGTAACAAATGCGCGCTTCTTTAGGTACCTAGGTAGGTAGGTATGTAAGAGTGAAGTCAATTTGAGTTCAGCCTCTAAAATGCCAATTTCAAGATTACTCTACCAATGTTCGGATGCCTACCTACCCAGTAGGTACCTACAATTGTTACGAGCGACCAAGTCAATTTCACCTTTCATCATTTCCCCCCTTGCGATATAAATACCTAGTACCTATCACTACCTAGGTATTGACGATGGGGTACGCGCTGGAAAAGGTTGATGATCTTGTGAAAAGATATCCTCGGAATCATCGAGGGATAATTACATTGAGGTTTGTCAACCTCGTATTGCAAATACCTATGGTATATTTACCTAGGTACTTGAGGACCCGAAGCCGGGCATCTATATATCCACTGTTACTAGTGCTAATCTTGACTAATGCCAAGACACCGGGCTGGCATAAGTAGCAAATCTAGGCAAGGACCGAGACGCCCCTGCGGCATGGAAGCGACGTGGGGGGAGCCAAGAGAAATGGGCGTAGCCGATAGGTAATGCTGTACAGTACAATTATTGAACATATTAAGCAAACTTAGAACATTGATAGGCTACAGAGCAGTGTGGTATCACGCACGACAAGGATTAATCTAAAAGGCCTCACTAAGACCTGATGTTGACCCCTGGCTGATAATCTAATCAGATCATCTGATAAAATTTTTCAATTATCTCGATCTTCGGACGAGAAGAGCATTTCGGAAGGTGCCAAAATATTCTTCTTGCTTACCGGGTTTTACTACTCTTTAAGGGCTTACTACGGATCCGATGCCATATGCAATGCAGACGAGATCGGAATTTGGCATGGGTCGGCCAACGATTCCGTCTGGTGGTCTTCCGGTCGTGAACCAGAAGGCGATTCTAGCCCTGCGTGTGTAGGGATCCCGCCATGCAGCCATATAGAAGCCGCGTTGCCCATCGATCGCTGCATCCTGACACTTGAATGTCCATCTTCTCTCCCCCCCCGGCTCAGTATTCCGTACGCGTGGGAAGAATACGCTCACAGATAACCATGGCCGCCATCTCTAAAGTTGAGTCGCATACTTCTGGGGCTCGCGATGTTGAGAAAGATGTTGTCCGAGCTCAACCCGCGACTGAATTCCCGGAAGACTCTAAGACGGACTTAGACGACGACTCGACACATGTACAGGAAGGTGTTAAACGGGTGGAAGCTATCACCGCCGTCTGGTCTCGGAAATCCTTGTGGTCTACCTTCGCCCTGTATGTTATTCCGTGCTAATAGAATCCATACAAAAAAGGGCTAACGATATAGTCTTTGGCTTGTGTGCTTCGTATCCTCGCTATTGGCATCTATCGACACTGCTTTGTCGCCATATGTCACATCATCTTTCTCCAGGCATGGCCTCCTCGCGGTTATTAACATCGCGGCAAGGGTCATCGGCGGTGTTGTGACACTCAGTATCGGTAAACTGATAGATATCAGGGGTCGTATGGAAGGTTTCGTCGGCTCACTCTTCCTAATTACCATCGGAATGATCATGAAAGCGACCTGTCAAAATGTCGAGACATACGCTGCAGCTCAGGTGTTCACCTGGGTCGGCAAGGTCGCCCTCGGTTTTATAATCAGCGTCTTCGTCGCCGACATTACCACCCTCAAGAACCGAATGATAATATTTGCCATTAATTCGACACCCAACATAGCCACTACCTTTGCTGGTCCTAAGATTGCCGAACTGTTCTACACGAGGGTCAATTTTAGGTGGGCATTTGGTGCCTTCACCATCATTCTGATCGTCGTATCTTTGCCAGTTGTGTTTATCCTCTACTACCATGAAATGAAAGCTAAAAAGCTCGGAGTTCTTCGTCCGAAATCAGGTCGTACACGGTGGCAGTCGACGGTACATTATATTATCGAGTTTGATGGTAAGTCATTCGATGTTTCGACCTTACACAACATTCAATGGCTGACATGATATGGGTTATAGTCGTTGGTGCGATCCTCATATCAGGGGGCTTTACACTCATCACCCTCCCATTTAGTCTTGTGAGCTCGGCTTCCCACTCATGGCAAAGCGCCAGTATAATCGTCATGATCGTGATGGGTGTTGTCGGTCTCGTTGCTTTCGTAGCGTGGGAAAGATACTTTGCTCGAGTCAAATTCTTCCCATTTGAATTTTTGAAAGACCGGACCTTCCTCGGTGCTGTACTTTCCCACTTTGTCGTCTTTATGACAACTTTGTTAGTTAACTCCATTTGTCGTATCGTGTGCGACTTGCGACTAATACCTCGTATAGCATATGGGACGCATATTACAGCTCTTACCTACAGGTTGTTCAAGCCTTGAGCATCAGTATCGCAAACTACGTGCTCAACGCCTATTCCCTCACTTCCTACTTTACCGGTCCATTTATTGCCTTGTAAGCACTTGAAGACCTCCTCATTTTCAACCTTTCGCTAACGCGGCTCTCCAGATATATCCGTTATACTGGTCACGTCAAATACCCGGCTTTAATCGCCGTCCCTATCTACCTACTCGGCACAGCACTTCTTATTTATTTCAGAGTACCCGGCGCAAATGTTGGTTATCTTACTATGTGCCAAGTACTTGTTGGTTTCGGTGCCGGTATGATTAACCAGATGGCACAACTCGCTACGATGGCATGCGTTAGACATCAAGATGTCGCCGTTGCCCTTGCTATTTATGGCCTATTCGGCTCCGTCGGCTCTTCTGTTGGCTACGCAGTCGCAGGTGGTATATGGACGAACATCCTTCCCGTTAAGCTGTACGAATTCCTCCCCGACGATGCTAAGAACATGACGGCTACGATATACGGAGATATCAATCAGCAAATGAAGTATCCGATCGGAAATCCAATTCGAGACGCTGTGATCGCGGCATATGGGGATGTTATGAGGAAAATGGTTATCGTTGGATCTGCACTTATTCCTCTAACAATAATCTGCGTCGCCGTTTGGAGAAACATAAATGTCAAGAAACTTGAAGCCATGGAGAAGCGAGCCAGGGGCAATGTGTTCTAGAGCGAGATGGTACTATATCTCCATTAAGGGGCTCACTACCTATCGTCTTCAATCCATTCCCTCTAAAACTGCACTTAGGCAGAGTATAGGTAGAAAGCTGGGGCTTGATACAACGCCTCTAGAATGTTTATCACAGAAGATAGAGTTCCTTGATGAGAAGAACAACCATCAAAGCTGTACCTAACTAGGTAGCCATATTGAGTAGTTACAAACACCCTCCCACTTAAACCTCTAGACATAGACATTTTACCAAGTCTACCTAGTACCTGCCTGGTTATTCCACCTTCTTTAATTATAACGAAAGGTCCATAGTCTTCCATGTCAACCTCACCCCCTTTTTATGACATTATTCCCCTATAAGCGACGTCATCTATTATCCGAAGTTCGAGTAAAAACGCGCCTCTTTCAACTTAGAAGTTCTCCAAACGCGAGTAGTGACGTTGAAATCATGTTAATCTAACACAAATAACTGGTTCACAAAGTGTAGGCAAGTAAGCCTAGAAAGTACTTGCCTACCTACCTAGTACCTACTTAGTATACCTTGTAGGTGTAACCGCTTCGGATATATCAGGTACCTACTCAAAATATGTCTGAAGCTCTAACGGAATGTCCGGCAGGAGGAAGTTCGATGTCATTTCGATCGGAGCCTGCGGACATAGCGCCAATTGAAATATATATTATAATATAATTTATACCACACGCATTCGTTTTAGAGTGTGTTGGAAATAGCGACGTGCAACGATCCATGTATGCGCGCCGGCGAGATGCCTTGATGTCTCATGGCCTTCTTTTCCGAACAGGTTAATCGTCGGCCAACTTCCACCACGGAGGTAGGTATTTATAGCATTCATCTAACAAGACAAGAATTTGTGTTCCATTCATAATTGTCCGCTGTGTCGAATATGTAACAATTATGAAGAGCATACCCACCGCGGTATTATCTTTCAACCCCTCAATGCTATTCATTGTACAACCCCATCCAAACATTTTCCAGGTATTAGAATTCAAGTTTCACGGCACGTATAACAAGGTGCTCTACAGGCAGAAGAAAAAAAAACCAAAAACAAAACAGGGGCACTTGAATTGCCTTTTATCATCTCATAGAAGTGTCCATCTCAGAAAGTCTTGTCTTGGTCAACACCCTCGCTTCATGAGACTCGGGGCTAATACATAAAACCAAGAATAGCATTTATTCGGGCCGCTATATTACCATTTTGCCAAGTTCACGATAAAGAATTTCTCGGGAGATCGAGATATCCCAAGATCTTATAAGCAGTAGTCAGCATCTTGAGACGTCTGCTTTTGTCACTCTTCTTTTCGACGCCTTTGAATTGAAATCTTTCGATGTCTCAATCCTGTCTCAGCATTCTCACCGATATTTCCGACGTTTTATTATTACATACACCCATGTGGGCAACGGCGCCACGTGAAAATCACGCTGAGGCTGGAGATAGTGCAAATATGCGACTGACAGCCCGGGCAACGGCTTCTCATGATTGGGACAACAAAAAGTTTCTAGCAAGGTTTACTGCGAAAATATCGCAAAATGGCGTGGTTTCGTTTTTGGTCATTATCTCGAGGGTCTAGGGAGATTCGGAGCTTCCTGGAGATTTCAGTAAAGGTTTAGCAACCGGTACACGAATAACTCAGCTGTTTTGAAGGAAGCTCAACTTTCAAATCTATTATATCGAGAGCGGGTATGGGGCAGAAGGTTGCCAGAATCGTATAAAACCTCGTAGGTGGACAGCGATGAGACCCCAATCGAACCTCCATCATCATCCTCGTTCTAAAACCCGAACAAAAAAGGCATGCCAACCTCCTTGAGGCATACACACCTACCTATTACTTAGCCTCATCACAAACCCCTTCCAATTTCTACCGCTTGCGGTCATTACCTATATAAGCCATCACGATCAGGGATCCATCTTTTATCTACCCTATCAGCCTCTAGTCGTTTGAGACGAGTCTAGATTGTCCGCGAGGGTCCCCATTTTCAGGGACAATCTTCTTGAAGAATTAGGGGTTGTATTTCGAGCGAATATGTGCACATATTACTACCTCCATTACCATCACTTAGCTCCTTGTACACGAGAAATCGAGTACGAGCTTCATTATTCTTTCTGTCCGAATTCAACAGCCGAATTCTCAAATTTGAGTTCTCTAGGTTCGATCGGCGCTGATAGTGGCGCTCACGACGAGCAGTGGACCCAGCAACCTTGCGAAGCGCTCACTTACGCCTCAGGATACAATACAACCAACGACCTGGATTATAACAACCCTTGTGTAGCTGGTGACTGCCTCATAGCACAGCAGTGTAGTTCTGGTGGTTGCAGGCTGGAAGATCTCGGCGGTAGTTGGATCTGTTGTCAATGCAATAGTAGGAGAAATACACTCAGGCTATGCATCCGACCATTGAGGAAGATTCCCGACGCTCTTTGTTACCACGCCATATGCCAAAATTGTCGTGCGGATCACAACTAAGGTTAGAAGGTGGCTAGAAGGGATCAAGACGCGAATGTGATGAGTACATGCGCCAGGCTAAACCTACGTAAACCAGTGGGAAATTCGGCGATACAGCTTCCGTCGTAAGAATACACATATATACGTTATTTTCTTCCTGACATTGCTTTCTTCTCTTCTTCTTTACCTACCTATTATCGTGGTGCTGGGAAGAAAATATGAGATGGGGCCAAAAGAGGGGGATTCGTAGGGCTATTGTAAGAGTGAAACCTGTATTAGAATTAAGAGCCAAGCTGGATTATATTGGTTGCATTATTGGGCTCTTCTATACGAGGTCGGCGACTTCGCCACGTGGGAGACTAGTATCTATGTATGACAAATTTTGATAGTTGCGCCCGTCGCAGTGAGGTCGCGAAGAATTTTATTCTCTATTCTAGAAGTAATCTGTCTTCCCGTGCGGATGTGGCTTCCCGAGCGATCCTACATCACCGCGCGCATATACCAAGCGCCCTCTAAACTACCTACCGTACCGTGCGGATGGTTGCTTACCTAGCCCAGCTCTCTGGGTCCTTCTCTATGTGGACCAGAGCGCCGGGATATGATTCGACCATAGTAGGCGAATACATCGAAACAAGAAGCAAATATTTGTATTCTCCCACGTGGATGTATATTCAATAAATCCATATTCGTCGACAACTAAGTCACATTGATCGCCGACGTTCAGATGTTCCTCAACCTAGCCAATTCACGATATACAAATGGAATTGAAGGAGAATTCAGTACGATTAGTTGTACACGACGTAAGTCCTCGAATTGGGGGACGCCCAAACCCATAAGATAAGAATCACCCATGTTGCATACCTACCTAAGGTAGGTAGCTGCTTGAGCATTCGTCACCGGAGTCTAGACAACGAATGGGACTTTATAATATTATCCCGGGCTTAGATCTATTCCACCTCCCCTTAAGGCCCAACGCCGGAAAAACCACCAAGACGCAACACGATCACATCATGTGCACAGAAACAGCTTATACACTCCGATGTGAGCACGTCGTCACCCGAACCCTTTATTGCTCGGATGCTCCTCCGCCATCTCGGCGGTCGTGCGAAGAACGGAGAACTTGTATTAGGGTTTTTCGGAATGCTGTACCTTGGCCGCCCCCACCGCAATTCGGAACGCGATGTCCTCTGTCAAATTGCCCATTCGAAAAACGTGGGGGTCATTGGAATTGTTGTTGGTGTGGTAAGGAGTGGAATAATCAAGGCGAGTTAAGGCGAACTCCCTTCCCTCAAATCGATCCTTTCTGCAACCTCTAATGTCGCCGCAGGTCGCTGTAGCTGTGTGATGATCATTGACAGGCAAGAGTATCGCTGCGGGCACATCTGCTGTGAAACATGCGAGGCGGCTACCGAGGTTCACTAGGGAGGGTATGTAAAGCCGCGGCGCAGCACGAGCTACCTTGAGCAGGCAGGCCGACGAGCGGAATAATGCAATGATTACGGACAAGTATGAAGAGAGAAGGCTCTGCGTCACAATTCGGATAAGGCCGTCGTTGGAGATGAAAGTGGCTGCCAGTCATAGATTAGTTTCGATGTACATCCAGTATAACTGTGTAAGATATGATCAATGTGGCGGGCCTCGATGAAAGCCCAAAAACAACATTTTGCGGGAACACAGGGAACATAACAGGAAGGTGATTTTAGTGTGATAACCTAGTCTTAGTGCCTTAATCAAGGACCAGTGGGAAAAGTCGCCGTGTGATACTATAGGGGGGAAGCTGAAGCCCGGACATCGGATTCTACAGGAAAAAAAGATGGTATTCGACCAACTCTAGCTACCTCTTGCACCTTTTTGGATTAAACGTATATATTATTTAGATACAAGATAGCCGGCCCCAATAATAGGTAGATTACATGGGTGGGTAGGTAGGATGACGGAGAAAGCTATTTTGAAAGGAGGCGGGTATGAAAAGAGTGCTGACGAATGGATGAAAAAGCAACGATTCTCAGCCAACCAAATCCACATACCTGGTTGTTGGACAATTACAGAACCATACATAACGCCAAGTTACTAGAACATTGTTGAAGTCTCAGTTATGAAAAGCAACTAGCTTGATCGCCCAGATCACGCGAGATCTATGTCCACAGGTCCCTGCTCGGCATTATACGGTGTCGTACATGATGCATATGGATCTGTATCAGGTAACCAATGGTGAACCTGCCTGGGAAAAGAAGGAAGAATAAGCATAGAGGATAGACCTGGCAGGAGCGCGAATATCGCGATTGGGCCACAGATTGCTGTAGGCGGCGTCATAGTCGCACTAATTCACACTGCTACCCGAGACAAGAGATCTGTACCGCACCCATATCAATACCCTCCCTCCTAGATCAGGGGTTACGCTCACCAATACGAAAGAGGGAGCTGCTGATTCTTGCCCACCCGAAGTCTCTTTCTTTTGACGTACTGCAGAGCTGAGGCTTGCTGTTTGTGATGCACTGGATGGAGGGTGATGCGTCTGCTCTTCATTGTCGACACAAGGATGATCGAGGCTGGAACTTGTGCGTGGGAGGTAAATCTCTAGGCTACTAGTGCTGATACCGCTGCCGGAGAAATACATAGGTTCTTACGGGTACAGGTAGGCGTATATAAAAGGCTTAGGACGTCCGAGGCTTGGGTGTTATGCCGCCCGGCCTGTCTCGTCTTCTCCGTCAAAAAGCTGGCCTCGTAGTATCGTGTTGTCTTCCAAAATCCCCTCTATCGAGAGTTGTTAGAAATGTGTCACGGGCACCCTCACTACCACCCCTGCTCCCACACGTCGGTGAAGTGGCTGTACTGCCCGGAAGCCATGTTCGATCTGGACACTGGATATGAGACACCCTGCTCGAACCCGATCTACTCGACGCCGCAGCCAACCAACATCGACTGCCCCCTGCAGAACTGCAATTTTAAGGCCCTGATGGGGAGCTGGAATTGCTGTGTATGTGGGAAGGGTCCCAACACTCAGGGATGGTGCACCGCGTTGAGCCATAGGATGGACTGGAATCCGCTCACGGGGCAAGTCGAGGACATGGAAGTACCATGTGGGCATGGGTGCTGCAGCTCATGCAGCCCATCTTGTAAGAAATATGAGCTCCTATTATCATTCGTACTAGAATAGGTTTTCCTAACAGTTCATAGCGACGTCGCGAGGCGCAAGTCCGGAGATATCGTTCGCGGACGTTCGAAAGGGGAAGGGGAGCCGCAAAATCCACGGCGCTGCGAGAGGTGCCGCCGGACACAAGCGAGGAACAACGTACGACTTCGGTCACAACAATGGGAGTTGTCCTCCTGTCCCCGAGGAAACTGAGCAGGTCACGGTACCGACGGTGACGGCTCTAATCTCTCGAGGATCCCGCCGGTCTAGCCACGATACGAACACCGAGTACACTAAGAAGCCAAAAACGCAGAGTGGGAAGAAGAAATCACATAAGGGTCGTGGGCATCATTGAGTGGTTTGGATATATGCAGGTAGCCTCTCTATGTCCCGACCGAGGAAGCTGAATAAAGGCCACATTTCGTACCGGATTCCGGATTGATAGTAGGCAACACTCGTTTGGTACCTATATTACCTAGTAAGTTACGGATGATGCTGGAGGCACAACGAAGTCTAGTACTCGTGGAGGACACCAGGTAGTTAATACGCGTGCACCCGCAGAAGGAAGAGATAAATAAATTTTGGTGAAACGTACCTCCCACTACGTCGCTTGATCATGAATAGAATTTGCCGATTAACACTTTAGATGCTTCTAGATTTATTGATCGTTATCCACCTAGACACCTAGCGAGTAATAGCGGAACATTGTATTGAAAACGAAACTTCCAGTCACGTCAGTGATCTAGTCAAGAGCAAGACTATCGGACTTTCTCGTCAAAACTCACCATCGTCAGCAATTGGTTGGCGTCACCTGAAAAGAGCCATGGGGATTCATTCATTAAAATCACTAGTCTCATCCTCAAACATTTCGAAGGTTGGCGGGAGTGTAGACCAGAAATTTGAAGCTAAACTAGGTAACTGAGGTCACCATTGCTCAAAGCAATTAAGGGGCAAGAGTCGTGTTGACATTTAACGTCCGCCGGCTGAGACAGAGACTTATTCTCTTTCGTTATACGCCGCAGACTGGATCAGAAACCCTTGGTCGCGGACTACTGCAGATTCAAGGTTCATGAGTGACGACGTAAAGCGAGACGAAGCCTATCGCCGCGTAAGTGACTAAGGATTCGGCTGTATGTATAGACAAACCGAAATAGGTTGAAATATACTGTACCTACCTACCTAAGTATGTAATAGGTATATATATTTAATTGCTTGTCTGTCTGCTTACCGTATCAGCTACGCATGTACGTTAATAGGGTGCGGTCTCTAAAAAGATGTAAAAATGAGCGAATATGCCTACCTGCGTACCTAGTACCTAGGCGCACAGAACGCCGACGATATCTGGGCTCGGTGCTTCCTGACTCGCACCGGCATGTATCTGGTAAATAAATATTAAGTCTACCGGCGATTCAGCGGCGTCCCCGGAAACGGTCGTTCGTTTAATCTTAGCACCCGGGCCGGGTCTCGTGGCAATTTGGTTATAGCCTAAAGAGTCGAGGGGAATCGGGGGGAACCTAGAAGTCCATGTGGGAGAGAGGGTTGGGGTACTGTACAATATGGTACAGTTCATACATCATCATCTTCAAATTACATACCTACCCATGCAGCCCATGCCGTCTCAAGACCGCCAATGATACCCTAGGGTGGTATTTAGTTTACCTTACCGCCACGTGCTCAACCTGCAGGTCTGACGAAAGAAGCGAGATAGGCTGGACGGGACAGGGGCCCCCTTGACCATGTGTTTTGCAATTGTTAGCGATCCAAACTCCCGAAGGCGACGAGGGGTTATCCTTTAGGTCTGGTTGGTGGGCTGATGACCATATTAATTGTGATAGCTGGCTTTGCATGTGTGATAATATATGACATGCTTTATTCCATCTGCAATCGTAATTCGCGTGTCATCACATACCTACCTATGCAACGCTAAGATGCTCCGATTAGAGTCGAGCCCATCTCTTACTAAGGTATTGTTGGATGGGCTTTAGTTTTTATTTTAGTTTTAATTCTAAACAATCTTTTTTGGCTTTTGATTCGCCTGAGATGTGGCGTTCCTCGGCGGATCGACGTGACGATCAGCGGGCCACGTGCTAGACTCCGCGAAGGTCCTTGCTATCAAAAGATGGCGAGGGGAGGAACCTTGCAATTGCAAGGCAAATACCCAGATACGTTAGCTAAACTGATCAGTTTTCCCACATTCCCACATGCCTCCTCCGGGATCCCGAGCCACAAGTTCACGATCCTCACTAGCTAGCTTCCACATACCCGCTTAAGCAACTCAGCGAGCTAAGATGACTTACAGCGGAAGATCAGTGCGGTTCGTATTGTGCATACCTACCTAGTAGTAGGCAGATAGGTACGTAAATATGTAAATACATAATTGACAAGTACCTACCTAGTGTACCTTCTTGTGCACGGTACAACGCGCTAACTGACCAAGTGCGTACATATGTCCGTAGCTTCGCGCACGATGGCCATGGCGGCTTCTCGGTGACCTGCTTTTAATAGTTCAATAGTGCGGTCACCGGGTTGCATGATCAGCATAATCTGAGCTGGACAGAGATGTCGGGCGGAATCCTGCCGTAACTCCGCAGGGTAGGTTTGGGATAGTGGAATTGCTCAAGCGTTCTTTTTATCAACGGTAATACATTCGTTACCTGCTAGATAGATATGTAAGTAGCAATTAATAAAAGGCCTACCTAAGTAGGTAGGTTTGATTTTAAATGTGATGCTAGATTGCCATTCGGTCCTCTCGGTATCCCTCCTTCACTGAATCACATATTTTTCATCCCGACAAAGGTCTCCCTTCCCTCGCGACCGTTGCGACCGTTAAGACGGGGATTGTCGAAACGACACGCGAGGCCATGCAGGCTGCAGCCATAGCACTCTTGAAACTAAAAAGGCGGCTGAAGCCCCTAATAAGACAGGGTAGACTTAGCTGAGGAATAGCCTGGGATAGCCTGGGATAGCCAGAGAACTGCCTGGGAATTGTCTAGGGATACCCTTGAAGCTTTCGATCAAACATCCCAAGCATCCCAAATATCCCCATAAAGCAAGGCTTCTTAAGCGTGCTGAACGTGCTGGGCTACCCTAAACTAGCCTGCTAGCTTCTTTCGATTGAGCAAAATGCGCCATATCTGCTGCTGACTGCATGCGTACATGCAACCCTGATCCGTCGAGCCATGTGGCCTCCGGTAGTGCAGCGGGAGAGGTTGGAACTTTTGAGGAGTCGAAACCGGAATCCTTCCCAGGAAAGAGTAAGTCAGATGTTTGAAAATATCACATCAAATATTCCAATAATCTTGGTCTGAGACGATGTTAGACACTGTCATTTTTATATAAACGGCCAACAGGGATTACCTAAAAAATGTCTCTGACAGATCTACTTGGCAGTTATGATTAATTTCGAAGTAGATAGGTAGGTAGGTAGGTAATTATGAATATTGTCAAATATTCCCAAGGTTCTACCACCAGATCACTCGGGCAGGTAGATACCTACTAGTAGGTGCAGTAGCATTCATAAAGTATCTGCTATTACTTTGTAGTAAGTATGTACCTAGGTACTACATATGTAAATGCAAATACTTATTAATAGTATATTCAATGTTGCTATGCTGCTATGGTACAACTTATGTACAGCGTTATGATCATTGATGATCTATCAGCTTCTCGCAAGGTTTAGTTTCTAAGGTGCGAATTAATACATAGTAGCTACCTGTACTTACCTACCTACCTAGTACCTACCTGTTAGGTAGTAGCAGGCTGGGTAGCACAATTAATACTACCAATCCACGAGCGGACTGCACCTCCCATCACCAATCCCTTTCCTTTTCTTCCCCCCCCTCTCTAATTCGCGAACCCCTATTCCCCAACCTGCCCGCCTGCCAGCCTACCGCGAGCCTGCTTACCACCTACCTCTAAACTTTTATCTTGCGCCACATACATGATTGCATACCAATCTACATTTTCCTTCCAACCTACCTACGACCTTGAACAATTGCATTGCTCGATAACGACGTACAACGTACGAGAACTACTTTCAGGTACCAAAGTAGCCAAGCTTGTTGAGCTCGCATCTACGGCGTACAGCGTACATCGATCTTATCCCGGCTTCGTCCGCCCATCCTTGTATAGCGCCGTTTCGAACCTCGATCCACCACCCACCACACTGCCACTCTGACACACCCAGTCATCATCATCAATCGCCATTAAATCTGTCGCATAACCCTTCAGTCATTACTCAGGGATAGGGAAGAAAAGAAACAAAAGTCGGGCATTTACCAGATAGAAAACAAAGCAAGAAAAGAAGCAATGCCAACTTCTTTAGACTCATCTCGCCCCATCATGGCACCCTCCACTGTAAGTATTTCGTAACCCTTTTCTCTTTTTTTCTTCTCTCTCTCTCTCTCTCTCTCTCTCTCTCACGTCTTGGCTCTTCGTCAGCATCGTCTATCCCTCCCTTCTATGTGCGCTTACGTCCAGGCACCGAAATAAAGGTTTTCATTGTAATAGCATCGTAACCCTTAACTCGCATTCGCCATTCGTCATCGCGAAAATCGATCGCGGGAAGTTTGTAATGCTGACGTATTTTCTCTAAAAATGCAGATCGGATCCAATCGCGCCTCGGCGCGCTACAGCACGTATAGCACAGCACCGTCGTTGGCTGCGACGGTACAGACGACCGACTCTGCACAGGCCGAGATCCGCGACATCGAGAGTGGGCTCGCGCGTATGGAGAATAAGGCCTTGTCGCAGCAGCGCGTCGTCCTGACCGAGGAGAAGTCGGCCAATCTTAACAAGCTTGCACTCGGAGCGAAGCTTGATCGTGCCCTCGACCGTCGCATGACGAGCCAAGATGCCGTCATGAGGCCCAGGAACAAAAGCCTCAATGAGAAGGGAGACCCGGAGAAGCAAGCATAAAACATAAAAACCTACGACAACCCAGACGAAGGAAGTAATCGGATGTATGTATCTACGGGAGGAATTGAGAAACTAGAGATGATACCATGCGGGAGCGACGACTCTAAGTTGAAGTCTTTTCTATCTTCTCATCGCCGTTGCTCTCCTTGAGCCAGCCAGTTCTTGTATAAGTAGACCCCGATGAGCGTATAGGTCATTTTTTCACATCATTGAAAGCTAGGTAGCCGTGTTGGTTCTTCTCTTACTACGGGAGTCAGAGCCAAGATTCTAAGTCCGTTGGACGGGGCGATGTTGGTCAGTTGGTCTTAATCAGACGCGGAAGACAAGATATGTCGGGATCTTTCTTACTTTTGCTCGTCACTAAGCGGCATATTGGAGGTCTGGAGTTCGTCTCCACCAAATTGTGGTTATTATTAGAAGGTCAAGGTGTACGAATAGCATGAATGTATATGCATGCTGTAGATGTCGAAGAACACCACGGGTGCGGGGCACATAAATTTAGCTACAAGGCAATTTTTCATCACGGCAAACAGTTTCTTTGCGTGTGAAATTGATTGATCTCTCTTGACCCCCACGATACCGCCCAGCTTGATTTCATTTTGAAGGAATTGTCAAAAATCGGAAGCACAGAAATCCATACAAGGCAATCTATAAAAAAAGGTCCTACCAAGTAACTCCTAGAACACCTTTAGAGCATGCCGAGAACACGGCAGGTTCTCTTCATAAACTTCGTGGTATAAAGAGTACAAGAAAATCAAAATTACCGCAAAAGGAGTTGGATATCACGAGCTACCCTTTTCTCCCAGTTTTTCATTGATGTCCTTTAACAATGCCACCAGCTCACCCTCGTCACCCTCCATCTCCAGACCTTTGCAAACCCATTCTTTAGCTTCACTCAGCCGTCCCATCTCAGCAAGACACTTGCCACGCCTCCACCAAGCCTTGGAGTTGCCGACACGTTTGGCCTCAACGCTGGCTTCGGCATCCGAGGCACCCTCGGCCCAGCTCTGGAGGGCCATATGGGCCTGCGCGCGGTTAGCGTACAGCGCGGCGACCTCCTCGCGTACGAGCTGCTGCGGCTCCCATAGGGGCCGCGTCAGCGCCATCTGTAGGCCTAGGCTATAGAATTTGACGGCCTCGGCATGCTTCCCCTTCCGGTACTCGCCGTTGCCGCTTTCCCGCAGCTTGCTCACGTTGGCGGACCGCTTCGGGTTTACGGGCACCGGGGGTGGTGGGATTTGATTCGGGGTCTCAAGCGCTAGAAGTGATCTATGTAGCGTGTTGAGGGAGGCGAGCTCGGCTTGTAGCGCACGAGAACTCGAGGGTGTCGTCAGCGCCTTGGTTTGAGGGTCTATCTGCAAGGGCAGCATGGTGAATGTTTCAAGGTCAGACGACATAGTTGCGATGTTCCCGTCGATTGGGATCCGGCGAAGCTTGAGAAGTATGGAAGAGGTGTTTTCGTTGGTGGACAGTGCCTATAATACTTATAGCTTTGCGACGAACTCGAGTAGCGTAGGTTTTCGGAAGGTATAGATCAGGTAAATAAGCGGCCAGGTATCGATGACAGTTATTAGTTGAGCAGATGAGTAAAGCGAAATTTGTATGACAAGTCGTAGAATTATTGCAATTGATGCGATTAATGTAGTAATGGATTAATGAAATCTGGCGACTTTCAGTTGGTTAGGTAAGTACTTAATAGTGGGCATTCTTTTAGCTACATGTAGTATATGCATATCGATAAGATACCACCTAGCAGAATTCAAGGTTGACAAGCATACTATTACCTAGTACTATGTAGGTAAGAACGGTACGTGCTTAGGTACCTAGGTACCTTTAAGTAATATAAAATTCCGAAAAAGGGATATGGATATCCATTGAACAATCCGAAATTGAATATCTCATGTGGAACTTACTACCACAGGCAAACCTAGTAGGTACCTAAACTCCGCTACCCTTTTCTACCTAGGTACCTACCTTTTCCTGTTTTCTACCTACCTACCTACCTACCTAGTACCTACCTAGATACTCAGCCATCCCTAGCAAGGACCTAGAGTATGTAGGATACACATCTCGATCCAGAGTCATTTCACAGTCGTTGAGGCTATTGAAACTGCCGAAACAACTTCCAGTCTCAAGGGAATGTATTAATCCAATGAACATAATCGTTCTCACCGTGGATTCAACAGCTACTATTGGTGTGGCTAAAAGAGTGTGTTGGCAGCAACATGATAACATAGTCTTCTCCCTTCACCTGCCGATAAATCGACGTCGACATCGACATCGGCATCGAACAATCTGAACCACTATTACCCGACCTACCTACCTGAGCACTTAGGTAGGTGCTTATGGATGTGGATGTCTTAAACCCTTCGATGTCTAGGTGTGTAGGTATATACCTAGATTCAAACCTATTCCGCCACGTCAACCCTTTTGACGAACGTTGGCCTCGGCCTCCAGCCCTCCTCGAACATCTGCGAGACGAAGTAAAGATCGTCTTCCCACACCAAAGGTGCTAAATTCTGGTCCTCTGCTGTCAACGTTTGTTAGTCCCACAGCCCAATCAACTAGGAATTAGACACACCCCTCTCCCCGACACTATATATAACGGGGCTCTCACCTCTTTCCTCGTATGCCTCTCGCGTTTCGATGAGTAGTTCTCTTTCTTCGTATTCCAGTTCGCCCCACACTACCTTTTCCATCTTCTTCTTTTCTTCCTCCTCATTGGATTGCTTTTTCTCTTTCATCTCGTTAACGTCTCGTTTATAGTAATGCCAGTGGCTCAGGATTATATTCGCCGCTTCTTGGTGCCTTTCGACAAATTTTTCAAGGTCATATGGTTGATTCTAGCACTTGGTTAGCGAAGAAGATGGCAAATGGTAAATTACCACTGCCGTTATCACCTACTTGGTCCAAATTGTTATCTCTAGCACGACGGAACCGATCCCTAGAGGTGATAGATACTTCGTGCAGTAACATGAACACGGTAATGTAAATAATGAAAAAGTCTCGCGGGTTCTTACTCGCCATCATCTTCCAGAGCCCGTCGAGCACCAACTTTCTTAGCGTTGTAAGTACTACCTGGTGTCCGAGGGAATCGAATTGCGCCGGTATCATCCGCGGTATGCATACCTTTCCATTGTACGGGCACCCCTCTTCATTCACCGGCTCCATGTCAAGTTTGTCGTCGCCCACGAGAATCGCCGATCCAAGCATATTCCCTATCCCACCGAATAAGTGATCAGATCAGATACGTGGGATGAAAGATGAGCACTAACGTGTCGCAAACCACAGGCAAAAGTACTGCGTGAGAAACTGCAAATGGTTTACCTCATCTCCTTTCTGTTGGAGGGTGCACTTATCGGGAGTGGATTCTTAGTAAAGGTACGACGAGTCGGGTGGGTTGATGATCTCACGATGAGCTTCCTATGGCAATCCAACCTATACTTGGGTTAGCGTACAGAATACCATTTCCAGGCAGAGAAATCTCATTCTCTATAGAGGCTATAAGGTTGGATATTATAGATTCCGTGTGGAGTGGGAGATGGGAAGTGGTTACTAACGCTGCATTATACGTTCTTCGCACCGAATCATCGACGTGGTGGTCGTGGTCGTCGACGTACTCAGCTACTGCTATCAGGGCATAATTAGTGACATACTTCGAATACTGCCGAGAAGTCTCCCAGATATTGGCAAGTGCGTAAGGCTCGATGTTGATTCTCCTCGTAGTTCCCTGTGCATCAACCCAGCACTTCCAGGTCACGTCCCCGTTAATGGGCCTAAACTTCCTAACGGAAAGTTCCAGTGGTGCTTTACGACATCCGATTACTATTTTTATTGTACGGATTTCATCAGTTTCCCAATCTCGCGGCCCAAGATCTTTCATCTTGACTCCAGACCATCGTTTCGTCAACCCCAGACCGCCATCGCGATAAAGAGTGACTTCGGCGAGCTTCCATCGTAGACATGGAAGCCTATGTACGACTTTCTTCGATTCCGGATTTACGTTCTGGCACTTTAGGCATTCGCCGTCTTCGTTTTCTGGGTCCGCATCGCACTGGTTCAAATGTGAGCCTAGGGCACTTTCGTGGTATCAGATAGGATTGCCGGTGGACATACTCTTATTTTCTGCATACGACATCGAATACATGCCAATAATTCAAGTCAGCGGAGACGATACGTCGGCCTTGTTTACGGTGGCAGGAGGGGACAAAAAGAATAGGATAAAGAGAACACCCACTTTTAACTTCCGAGTCTTGCTCGTCTGTGTACGAGCCTCTCCGGATAGATGGGATCGGGTGCGTCTTTCAGGTCGAGACGATAGATCCCTCACGTCAGCGGCAATCTCGTCGACTATCTGAGGACCTATATAGTCCCAAGAGTTCTTTTCCAATGTTGGATTGTCTCCCCAGTGTAAGCTGGAAGCTTGGGCTTGGTCATCGTAGATGTGAGGCGTATCCGCCTTTTGCTGCTCGTGGTGGTAGTTAGATGCCTGCGCGGACCCATTATAAGGGTCGCCGTCTTCTGCCGGTTGCTGGCTCTCAGATTGCTCCGGATTCACCATAAGCCAATCTTCATATTGGTCACCCATCCTGTTCCTAGGTCTTGATAAGCATGGAGAATCGGGTCCGAACGGTTGTGGTCCTTGCCGGGAGGTGTTGCCACCCAGATATGGTTGATCCTCCGCGATCAGGTTTGGCTGGTCCACGGGCTCGAAAGGCTGGTGTAAGGGATAGGTACCGAAGGAGTGGGTCGTGACACCTGAGAACGGCACCAGGCAATCCCTCGACGAATTCTCGTGCGGCAAGTTTTCGTGCGCGGGTAGGTAAGAGACTGGTTGGTGACACATTGGGTATGGCGGGTTACTATAGACTAACAAATCCGGATGATTAGGAGGCCAGCTGTACGCATTCGAGTCTAGAGTCTGTGGAAGGGTTGTGGAAGACAAGGCGAAGTGGTTCCTTGGTTCTGACACGGTCAACTCTCCATTATAGTTAGGGGGATCCGGCGGTACGGTATATTCCCATTTAATTTCAGGGAAGCCGTGACTAAAAGCATTAGGTCCGCCTCTCGTTTCGGTGGGGGAGATAGAGGCCGCGGCGGTAACGTCGGCAGCGGTGCTCTCCCTTTTCCTGAACGAGGATCTGGCCAATGGTGAGGACGATGATGACGACAGAGACAATCTTGGCCCGTACCTCTTAGATTTATTGGCCTTCGTGATCCGTGAAGAGGGAGAAGAGGAAGAACTGGGGCTATAGTTCGCTGGGGGAGGGACGGATGCGATCCGAGGCCGCTTTCTCGCCTTACATGACGTACGGTCAATTAGCATAACCCCGGTATGAGGAGTCAAGCCATATGGGTCGGAGGGGACTTTACATTTTTGGAATCGGGCTGTAGGGAAGCGACGTCGGTTCCATTCATCATCATCATCATCATGGTCTCTCTACCTATCTAACAATGATCTGATCTCATTCCCCGGGCAGCCCAGGCTGACAACGAAACGGTGGTCCTAGGACCCCCGGGTGCCCTGGGTGGGTGGGTGCGCGTGTATCGAAAACTGCCGGTTTCTTTCAGTATTCTGCTGTATTGTACCGTCACACTCACCTCGGCCGGTGAAAAACAGTGGCGCAGGGGGTAATCGTTGCTCTCAATTGGAAACCGGTGAAATGACTGTGTAGCGGAACCAGTCGTAAGGATTTGCTGGTCTGGTAATACCATAATATGCGTACGGGTTTCTTGCCCGGTCAGCTTATTCTCTCATCACAGGAAGGACGCAGAGTACGATGGGTTTCTAAGGAGTCAATATCATAACCCTTCCTCACCGGATGAAAAAATAAAAAGTCAAAGACTGTTGCTTTTGGACGATCCCTGAGCCGGATAAGTCGCGCAGAATTTCCGCATATGATGGCTTGACGTTGCGCGATGATCCGTGGCAAGACGTAGTGAGAAGTAAGCCGATGCATCATCCAGACATGCGTATATACCTGGTACATAACAAGCAATGGTTTTTTTAACCAACGAAACCCCCCAGCTCCTCAGCCCCCCTCTTCAGTACCTGTAGTTATCGGCCAGTCTGTACCGATGTAGAAAGACCAACAATTTCCACCACACCGAGAGCGAGATAAAAGCAAAAAAAAAAAAGAAAAAGAAAAAAGAAACCAAAAAAGTCAAGCCACTACTGCATATATCATCAGCCACTCGTCTTCAAGACAATACATTTCCCCGCCGACTAGACGCCTCATCGACCCTATTGCTGGCTCCAGTCTAATATTCCCATTCCCATATTGATACTAGTTTCTATGTCGTGTACCGCGGCCCCCCCAAATGAAAATACATGGGTACATTCTAACGTGCAATAGCAAAACCCGGTAAATCAGCAGAGAGAGAGAAAAGGCTGTCTCGCACAGAAATGCTGCAAGCTTATCTTGGTTTGTGCATGCTGATAGTCACGAGAATTCCGGTTACCTAGTAGCTGGCCCTACCCTCAGCCCGGTTGGCAAATACCTAGGTCCTAGGTCCTACCATAGCTGTTGGAGTTGGAGCTCCTCTGCGGGTTATCGTCATAGATTCTCCCATTCATCAGGCAAGCTATGAATGCAAATACATATAAACTCGAGAGAACTACTGTTGAGTCGAAATCATCCTCGTCCTTCATTACTATTCCATCGGCCAATGCTGATTCGCACGGGGCTTCTGCCGTGTTATGCGCTATCCTCAGCTGAGGTCCGTTGCGATATGCGTCGCCTCCTTCACCGGTTGAACTCTGATCATACCATCGACCAGGTCCGCGCATCGCCTTTACTAGTAGCCTCATGCGCGATCGACGTGAATAGGACGAATCAAAATCGTCCGCATTCGCAATCCCGTTAGGCGCTCCCCTTGGAATCTTTTCCGAGAGGTGAATTTCCAATTAGTCGAGCTTTCCAAGGGAATCCTTCTCCCATCTTAGTCTTGCCTCACGGAGATGGGTGTCCTTTCCGGCTTTCCCGGTGCTACGTCAGACCAAATGGCTGTTCGGGCTCGTGGGGGAGGTGGTGTGAAGGAGTGCAGTACGCCTTCGGCTCGAGCACTTAGGGCCTAGGTACCGTGTATCATATTTTCTTTTTTTTTTCTAAAAAAAAATCTTATTTTATCTATTAGTTGAGCGGCTGTTGACTTAAGCAGGATGAATCACCCTGACGAGGTCGATCCTGTTTCCTAACATCCGGAATATGCTAATTTGGACCACCTACACTACGTTGTGGTTCATACACCGCCGGATTCTTCGTCATCGTTAAGATAAGGGAAGAGCGGTTCCCGATGTAGGTTGGACGAGACGTTACCTACCTGACCAAGAGCTCATGAATGAAGCCGGCTTTCATGAGATGAGAATTCGCTCATCCGCCTAAGCCGCTATTAGGCATCGCCCTGTACCCTCCATCCCGTCTCCCGCGGCGACAGCCTACCTTTCTCGAAGGAGTAGTAGTCTATCTTTACAGCAATGCAGATTTTCCTTCCGGGAATTGGCCCGATGAGACCTCGAGAACCGCTCTTGTCGTTAAGTGTTACCACATCTTTCAACGCCTCGTTTGTATGTCTTGCTACGGACTATCAGGTAATTCATGCAAGGTTAACGCGATTGTTCTCTCCTCGCTTCGTGGCTCAAATCCAAGACTTTAAATTTCATGGAAGAAGGTGTCCGTGGAACCAATAACGAGTAATATAGAGCATATGTTTGTGTCGTAATTATATCGTTGTGTCGCAGATAGTTCGAAAGGAGTGATTAAAGTAATTCCCGTTATAAGTCGAGAGGATGGTGATGCTCTTTCTCTTCGAGGTTCGCATCTATCATTTTGCTACGCGTAGAAGTTCGAATCAGAGAAAAAAATGACTGCTCACGTACTTCCGCTCGTTTCTGAAAGCCTTGCCGGCCTGCAGCCCTGGATGCGCCATGAGGAGCATGGCCTTGCCGCGGAAGACTTGTCCCGGCAGCAAAGCAGCAATCCCAATCCATCTCAGCAGCTACCTAGTTTTATCGGTGGCTCTCTCAACTGGTCTAGACTCGATTCGGCTGAGAAGCAAGTACACCGCCTAGAACTAAACGACTCCGGTATTGCCGAGATAGAACAGGCGTTGGAGGCGTTCCACGGCAAGTCTCTCTTAGTAACACAGTTCTAACCTGCGGTTTTCAGCTAACAACCGTATAGAGTTAGAATTAGATGGTGACGAGGTAACACGAGAGCGGTTCCCGCTGCCAAATCTCAAAGATCAACTTGAACAATGTGCTCTCGGGGTTCACCGTGGTAGTGGGCTCTGCATCATCCGGGGGCTGAAACCGGAGAAATACACGATCGAAGATAACATCGTTCTATTTCTCGCACTTTCGAGTTATTTCGGGGAGGAGAGGGGTATCCAGAACTCCAAGGGTGATATGCTATGTAAGTTATCATATATCGTATTTACTCCCGTCGCTCGCTGAACAGAATGGAAGCCCATGTTACGGAGTCTAAATCATGGACTGCACCAAAGGAGAAACGCCACGGCATACACACCAATGATAGATTAGTAAGTACCTAAGCGGCTCTCATCATGCAAGAGGAGTACATAGTAGTAAGTAGGCACCGCCGCCCAAGCTGACACACATTAGCCTTTCCATAACGATATGGGATGTGAAGTCCTGGCGATCCAAGTCCGCGACCGCGCTGAAGCCGGTGGCCGCACCTGCGTAGCGTCCATGACAGACATCTACAATGACCTACTGCAGTCGAATCCTTGGGTAGTGCGTGCTCTCGCTAGGCATGATTGGCCGATCCAGACGTAAGTAAAACTCCAAATCCAGATTTCATGAGGAAAAGACCTATTCCAGGATACAGCGTAGCTCACACTCCCGGCAGAAGCTCGCGAAGAGCGGCCTCTTTCGTCCTATCTCCCCTCTTAGAGTATTATGCCGACAACCTGCTAATTTCGATGGACCCTGCTCGCATCGGACCCCACCCGTTATCCCGAAGCGGATCGATTCCACAACTCACAGTAGAGCAGCGTGAGGCTCTCTCCGTGCTTCAGAATGCAGCTCACAAGCATCAGCTACAGCTTGAGACTCAACCCGGGGACATAATCTTCCTCAATAATTTAGCCCTTCTACATGCTCGTGAGTCGTATCAAGACAGCGTGTCTTCTTCGAGGCATTTAGTACGGCTTTGGCTTCGAAATACGCGATTGGGATGGGCAATCCCCCCATCTATGATAATGCCGTGGAATGCGTCTTTTGGAGATGGAGCCCAAAAAGTAATGAACAGATATTATCCCATAATGCCAATGCCCGAGTACATGGAATGTAAGTACTCAAACGGCACGGCAGCATTTGTTGCCGATGGCGATGGCGATGCCGACGACGATGACGACGACGATGACGATGAAGATGGTAATAAGGTTATCACGAGAACTACAGAGAAAGATGTTGATTTAGAACGTAGAGAAGATACTTAGTGGGAAGGTCCCTTTTGTTTAGTCGATACTTTAACTCTGCAGATTAGGTATCTATATCTAGGTACCTTGGGAGAGATGAAATTCCGGGCTGGTAGTGTTGTGATGGTTCACGAGTTATGACATAGAGCGTCGAGAAGACAATGTCCAGACATTATTTATGATTCACGTTGTTTCATTAGGTACCTACCTAGACATCTAGGTTAGATATTTTCCAAACGAGCTTAGCGATTTGTATCTGAATAGAAAGTTAACGATTGGATCTTTGATGGCAATGTAGCTTAACTACCTTAATTACCTAGTAATTGTCTACCTACTTTTACATTTACAACATTGATGTCTTGTACTTTCAAAGTTCGTGCGATGTGTCTACTTAATCATACCCCCAATCTTCGCGATTTTTTTTTTTTAAAAAAAAAGCCAGCTATCCTCAACTCGTAGGTAGCTTTAAACGAAAAAATATCTGTCTTTAAATATCGACATTTACAAAACCTATTTCACCCGCAACATCGGACTTAGATCAAACCTCTTATTTGTGGTACTGTCAACAACATGATCGGCAACTTAACTTGGATACGCAACTTCCCGGGCGGCAAGGAAACGTCACGAATAATTGGAAGGAAAAGGTATCGTTGTCCACGATGCCAATTACAAAACAACTTTATTCTAAAGGATGCTTGCCAAGACAACAAACTCACCTTGGGAGTTGACATGAATTAACATGAATCCATAACGGCGCCGGAGATTTCTATTTCTGAGTCAGCTCCAAAGTTACTCACCTCCTTGATGATATAATAGACAAGGGTATTCTAAGGCATGGGAGGGTGAAGTAATTCCTATTGTGAATGGTTACCCACCCCAACTAGCCCAATTAACCATTGACATCGGCTTCAATACCCATGTCCATCATCGGCACCATCTGGCACATGTAGGATACCTGGGTACTTCCCAGCTTTCCTACTTGCCTATAACCTAATACTAGGTACATAGTAAAAAAAAAAAATCACTTTATCTTCTGTTTATCGAATGATGATGAAAATGCACGAGGTTTCGAGTTGTATAAACAGATAATACATTATGGCGGTACCTTAACATTGAGGTTTATAGGTATAGTTTTAGTTGTTAACTGATAGGAGTAAGGAAAGTAGGCACCTACTTACCTAGGAGGTTAATAGAAATTTTTTATAATGGCAAGCAAAGGCTTGATTTTGAAATATGACCGTGGTTTAGTATGCTTTATTAATGATAATAAATATCGAGGTTAAGAGTAGCGGTATTCGGCAATGATTATTTTAATTCGATGTAATAGACATGTAGTCTGTATTGACCGGAAATATCGCAACAAATGTAATTAATCGTCAACAGTTACATACACAGTCTGTACTATGTAAGAGCATAACCGAACGGATGCTACGAGATATTAACTATTATCGTGATTACAGGACGGGCTCGGAGCATGGTTATGGTCAGTGTGGATAGCTCGGAATAAGTAGTAATCTCTATTTACGGAGCCGGCCGGTGCTAGTGAGGGATAGCTAGATTCCCACACTTTCCCGTCTCCGTTCTAGTATGTTGTAGATAATATCGGGTTTCAAAAAGAAACGAAACTAGAAAAAAAGAACGCCACGGATTTTAGTCCGCAATTGGCATCTTGGTGATACAAAGGCATTGAGGGCTAAGTTGAGGTTGAAGAACAGTCAGACGGGTACAGCTGCAGACCGGATCCGCTCCCAAGCAATGAGAATCATCTAGAGCGTCACGGATGCGCTTATCACGTCTCCTGAAAATATTATGCGCGGAAATAGACAATTTCTCAAACACTCTTAGGCTTGGCTTACCTAATACATAGAAATGCCTAGTAATGTGCAGAATCCGTGCAGAATCCGAGCAGATTGAAGATATGTTGCTTTTGTCTTCCTTGTAGTCTTGCCAGCCTTATCTCGGTTGACCCAAAAATCAAAATTCACGTCATGCACGAATAGAAAATGACGGAAAATGACGAGAGAAAAATCTCGCATTCAAGGGCATCCCCAGTGAAATGGAAGATTTTCAATCCAGGCAAACCGGTCTGGGAGTGTTTGCGCAAGGGAAGCTCGACGATCATGCGAAGTGATGCGAAGTGGGTAAAGAAGGATTGCAAATCGCGGAAGATCATTATTAATCCCGTGCTATTCATTACCTACCTAGGCAGATGAGACCCAAGACAACCTAAGATAATCCAAGAAGTTCGGGTCAGCGACAGGTCCGACTTTTAATACACGGCGGCAGCTGGGCACTTGGGGAGAGTCTTGGGAGAGTATGAAAGAATGACGATTGGCTGGTTCCTTGGCACCTTAGGTAATTACATACCTACCTAGGTACTAGGTACCTACCTAGTAGTAGCTAGGTAAGTTATTCAGTAGGCTAACAAGATTAAGACGCAGTATACAAGAAATCTTGGTGCAATTATGCGTATCAAATTTGTATCAGGACGGCGCCGAGAGTTAACGTCTCATAAAAGCGATGCTGCGCCTCGTCCAAGGTAAAGCTAGCAAACTGGGAAGTCCCACTAAATAATCTTGGGAACCATTTTTTAGTTCTCGGCAGACCGCTACCAATCCTAGCAACGCCCCTGAGATCGACAGGTACAAGTAAATAGCGTCAACCTAAACGGGTACTAAATGGAAAAATACGAGCCTTCGCTACGTTCAGCCTTTAGAAGGCATGTCGGTTATATATGTGAGTTTGAGCGTTATTAAGCGTACAGGATACTTGTCGAGCAACAATTTACCTAGGTATCTAGTAGTTACGAGTGCCATATGTTATACTATATCTCAAAAATAATGGAAAATAAATACGAATCGTTAAAGCTGCTCTAAGAATATTGTTAGTAAAGTTCTAATAGTATCACATGTTTTATATAAAAACTTCGCGAAAAAAACAATGTGTGCGCGTAGAGAAACAGTGGTGGTCAGCACCTTGTTCGGATGGAATCAAGAGAGCCCCCTTGCTACCCCTGTCAATCTACCATCTACCCGCAAAAACCCCAGTATTAACTAATCTACATCGGTGCATTTTTGATAGAAATGGCCAATCAGATGCTTTGTTTAAGCAACTCCATAAATCGGAACCATTTTTAATCTCTCCTGTTCAACTGGGAAGCTGTTAGGGACCCCTTCAGCCCTTCTCCTTTACTGATATCTCCTGCCATGTACCGTTCTGTCATTCCTCCGTTCCATTCTTCCCTTTTTTAAGTCGAAGCCCTTCATCCTTCGTGCTAGATTTTCTCTCTCTTCAAGAATTCTCTTTTCTAGCCTTTGTAATTGCTTGGCATTTGGGGAAGGACGCATTCCAACTACGTACACTCATTGATACAGCCGTCGACTTATAATACACTCTTTTGCTACAACTATTATATCATTCAGCCTCGGCATCTAAGAGGAAAAGAATAGCTAGAGAACGGGATATCGTTACGTCATTCCAGAGCTCGATAAGACACTATTGGGAGGGTTCATTGAACAGATCGATTATTCCACACCACATATCATCAACCAAGCGATCCCGGAGATCACAAGTAATTTAATTAGGTCAAGATGGGTTTCTTACGATCAGCTATTACCACGTCGCTGGTCCTTACCAGCAATGCTGTCGCATTGGATCCCATTATTATGAAGGTGAGTGAGCATAAACTGAGAGGCGGCGGTGATGTCTTGTACGGTCATAAGACTAACATATTCATAATGACAGGGGTCGAAGTTCTTCACCAAGAGTGGCGATCAATTTTTCATGAAAGGTGTGGCTTATCAGCAAGAGGCTGGCGGCGGTCCCAGTGGCAGCACAAACTCCAAGAACAAGTATGTGGACCCTCTGTCCGACGAAGACACTTGCAAGCGTGATATCCCGCTGCTTGAGAAGCTGGGTGTCAACACTATTCGGACCTACGCCATCGACCCGAAGGCCGACCACAGCGCGTGCATGTCATTGTTGGACAAGGCTGGCATCTACGTTGTTGCCGACTTGGGCGAACCTGCCCTCTCCATTAACCGCGACTCGCCTGCGTGGAATGTCGAATTGTTCGACCGCTACAAGGGTGTCGTTGATAACCTTGGCAAGTACGAGAACGTTATCGGCTTTTTCTCTGGTAACGAGGTTACCAACAACAACACGAACAGTAAGTGGCGTCGTGATATCCAGTATCTAGCCTGGTCATGGAGTGGATCTCGAAACGTAAACAGGACTGGTAGTATCTGAGCATGTGCTGACTTATGCGATTGTAGCCGACGCCTCTGCCTATGTTAAAGCTGCCACCCGAGATGTAAAGAAATACATTTCTGACAAGCAGAAGAACGGCGGCCGATGGATGGGTGTTGGGTACGCTGCGAACGACGATGCCGAAATTCGTGCCAACATGGCCCAGTACTTCAACTGTGGTGAGCAGGAGAGTGCCATTGACTTCTGGGGTTATAACATCTACTCCTGGTGCGGCAAGAGCAGCTTCACTGAGTCGGGTTACGACGTACAGGTCAAGTTCTTCTCTAACTTCTCCGTTCCCGTGTTCTTCGCTGAATATGGTTGTAACGCACCCGGCGGAGCTGAGGGTCGTCTCTGGGACGACACTACCGCTCTTTACTCCAGCCAGATGACTGGTGTCTTCAGTGGTGGCATTGTATACATGTTCCACCAGGAGGAGAACGACTATGGTGAGTCTATTTTTTGCCGTCTGATTGAAAAGCTTGAGGTCTAACATGTGTGTTCGTAGGTCTGGTCAAAGTTAGCGGTAACTCGGCAACTCCCATGAAGAACTACAAGGCTCTGCAGTCCAAGCTTGCCGACGTCAAGCCCTCTTCTACTTCTATGGCCGCTTACAACCCAACCAACTCTGCCGCTGCGTGTCCTGCCATCTCTGACAACTGGAAGGTTGCTGGCGCTCTCCCACCTACCCCTGACAGTGATCTCTGTGATTGCATGGTTAAATCGTCGTCTTGTGTCCCCTCGGATGATCTTGCTGCGAAAGACTATGGCAATATCTTCGGTTACATCTGCAAGAACGACCCATCTGCTTGTGCCGGTATCAAGCACGACACTGCGACTGGCGTCTACGGCCCCTACGGTATGTGCAATGCTAAGGATCAGCTGGCACATGTCCTCAGCGCCTACTACAAGAACCAGAACAGTGCTTCGGACGCCTGCGACTTCAACGGTGCCGCGAAGGTTGTATCTGCCAAGACTGACTCGAGCTGCGAATCGTCCTTGGCTAAGGCCAACTCCGCTGTTGCCGTCGCTGCCACGGCTACCGCAGGTTCAGCTGTTACTTCGTCCACTGGCGGATCTAGCGAGAACGCTGCTGCCCCAGCATCCGTCCGTATGACCCCCTTCCTCACTATGGGAGACATGGCCGTCGGTCTTTACATGATGGTGGCTATGGGCGTCGGTGCTGGTATGGTAATGTTGTAAAATGTTTACTTAGTGAGGTTGGATATGCCTGGCTATCTGGTATCGTAATATCTAGATGGTCATATTGGCATAATTATATTGAGTGGTAGAATTCGTGGATGAAACCCTCGTGCAATCGGTTCGTGTTCGTATTGACAAGGCCTATCTCTATTGTAATCAGTACTAGATTTTGCAGGCTCTCGACTGCTCTCATCAATAGACTAAGATAGCAGAAAGTCATAAAGATCGCTGTATCGATATAATGTTGTCTTATGAGGGTATATGGCGTATTATTTATAGCTTAAACGTATTAGATGAAACTAGTTGCTTGAATCAAGTCTGGAACATATTGATGGAAAAAGTACCTTCATTTTTTATGTCTGATTCTTTCTCGCACTCAGGTAACGGGTGCTTTGCTCCTATTGGCGCATGCTATGCGTTGTGTATGGTACGATGTTTCTGAGGCTGGTAAGGTACTTGTCTAGATGCAAGGAAAATAGGTACCTAGTTAAACCCTTTTGAAAAAATATATATATATATATTTGGTGATATATTTTTCAAAACAGATGCTATGTGATCTGTACTGAACAGCTAATTGGTACCGTACATTTGATTAATCCATGTGGCGACTTTTTGCGCAACAATTTCACTGTCATCTAATACACTGATGTTAACTTCTTACTTAATCTGCCAGGGAGATTTCTTTCGTTTGAGTGCTTACTTATACAGAATGCATGTGGAATATTGCCTTCGTCCACTATTAACCTTGTACGGTCGATTTGCTTTTCCCTCGTACGGATGAAGGCATCTCGGTAGTGGCTTGCTACCCAGTGGTCGTGTTTCTTTTTATTGTCATATGTTAAAGGTCGGAAATTCTTGCGCAAATCAATGGGAGAGAAACTTACGCCGAAGAAAAAGAAGAACTTTGGTACAACTTTGTCGTGGGCCTTGGCATCGTGGGCGATCTCCCATAACTCGTCGTCCCAACAGTCCTCACCGATAACTTTCATCTCGTCCATGCCCATGTGAAGCGCCTGCCACACGCCGTCACGACTCTTGAGCCAACGCGTCGTTATCTCTGCAGCATGAGTCGGGAACCTCATGACCTTGCTCACGATCCAGTGGAGGGTACTCTGGGGAAGCAGATGCAGAAATGTCTGTGCGATGCGGTACGCGTTGTCGCCGAGGACCGGTGTCCGGCGTAACAAGTCGAGTTTCTGTCCACTTGGAGAGCTTGAGATATGGTGGATGGTTGGGAATAGGAGGATGCCAGAGGTGAGGTTTAATTGCGGGGCCAGTTCTTGGTTCCGGAGTAGCCGGTGGAAGAGCTCGAGGGCAATGTAAGCGCCTACGGAATGTCCTATGAGTAGAACTTCGTCGTAGGGTTGTCCTTTTCGCGAGCCCGACTCTACGCGTAGCTGGCTAAGTGCAGTGAGGGAGTACTGGATCTGATATTCTAGGTCGTGTGGCTTCCTCTGTTGCGTGAAGGGCTCATGGTCGTCATCACGAAAACCTGCCAGATCTTGACCATATATCTGAAAACAGCTAAGTTGTTGTGAGATTGTCTCATCTAGGAGCCCTCGAAGAGTTGATAGGAATGGTTCGTAGTAGTCAACAAGGCCTGGGTTCCCGGAGATGAAAAATATGAGGATGTTACGGGATTGCGACTCGTCAACTGTGTTGTCATTAAGTTGTCTAGGAGGAAAGCTTAGACAATGGGGGTTGACCATCGTCACGACCGATTTAATGATTTGGAGGATATCATGAGTTAACAATAAAGGGCATAATGTATCTCGTACCTAACAGGCCTTCCCTATATTTTTGTTTATATAATTACTAGAGTACTTAACCTTACCTAGGAACTTAGAAGACACGAGCTACCCGTGCCACAGCTCATCCTCACTTCTTTAAGGTCCCTTGGGAATTTCAGCCACAAACAACACTTTTGTGGCTAGTTTCCGAAGATATACCGAATCATGAGGGTAGATTTGTACCTATGTACCTTCGTCACTGGATCACTGATTTAGAAACATCAAACGCAAGTTGTCATCTTCGTCTGCTGGAACCCCTAGCGAAATGTTCGCGTGATCTGATATTAGTAAGTCAGTTGGCCATCGTTGGTCTATACCTTGCCATAGGTGTGTAGATATTGTACCTAGGCTGCTAGGTACCTGCTTGGTACATGAGCTTGCACTTTCTTCGCTATAATATACCTAGGTATGTACCTAGTAATGTTCACCATCACGTGAGTAATTATCGACTGAGTCAAAGATTGGAGGACCTGGAATAGCAGATTACACAGACACGAGGTAAGTACAAAGTATCCAAAAACCCCACGTCAGTCGAACTTACCCACCATACATACCTAGGTACCCACGTAGCTACTAGGCTGCTAGGGATAAGCTGGCCATAATCTTGAAGCTTGGGGTTGAAGGTCTTGCATTGCGTCTCATCGCATCATCGACTTAAACATACATACCAGCAGTCGCTGACCTGTCCTGCCTGTCTGCCTACCTACCTAGGTACCTACCTAGTACTTTAGTATGTATACACTAACCCTAAGCTAACCAACCATCTCTGTTGTCTTAGTGATCTTGGTCCATATTGAATCACGCTGCCCAAGGTCCCCCCCCACATCGTAAATCCACTTTGCGTTTTCACTTGGATGCTGAAAATGTCACGATACCTACGATACACCAATATGGATCTTGGATACTGATGGACTATTATATTCGGTCTTTATTTTAATAAAAAGCCGGTAAGTTCCTGAGCATGATTTCCCACATACAATCTCTTCTCTTTTTTCTTTTCTTTTTGCTATCTACTATATCGCAGCATGCGATTCATCAGCAACTTCGGACTTGTACGGCTCATACGGAACCCGAGAATCTTGACTTGACTATGTACTTGCCTACCTAGTACCTAGGCAATCATATTCTCCGCCTTCTTGTTCTCTAGTTTGCTCAATCCCTAAATGCCTAGTTTTTATGTACCTATTAATTCTTTGTTATTCTTCCCATTAGCAGGCCGAGGCAACCCCCCACCCACTTGCTCTCGTGATATTCAGCTACGATACTTAAGTCCCCGATACTACCATCGAAGTACCTACTCGACTACTCTTAACCTCTTTGACTACATCGTACCTTTTACGAAACCCGATATCATATCGATTCCTACCATTCGCTCTCCGCCGCGCCGTCGTTCCGTGCCACTATGACCACTGCCGAGCTACGGCACCGTCCGCCACCTTCCGACGACGTCCCAGAACCGAATTCAAAAGCCGACGTTACCGGCCCCGTATTGGACACCATTACCGGTCATCCCGCAGGCGAGGCCAAGTATGGCCGTTTTAGAGCATTCATCCGTGCCGTATCCTTCTTGGTATACTTTACGAGCGGTTGCCTGACGTACGACTCCCCTCTATCATTTCGTCTTTGATCTATATGAGAAGAGGCAATTTCGTTCTGATATACGATCTCTATAGTGTACATATTACTCAGATCCTCGGCGCACCGCTCTACTACCTCAACCGCGACCTCTACTATGCCTACATGTCCTTGACGAAGGCCTCGTTTGGTCTGCTGATCACCACTATGACACAATGGTGGGCACCGACAGTTATAAGAATAAGCGGCGATTCCTCAGTTGCCGGACAGTTCAGCTTAACTCCGGATGGCAGGGTTCAATGCGCTTTCCCGGAGCGCATGGTCATGATTGCGAACCACCAGGTCTGAGCTAGACTGACGCCCCATACCGACGAACGCAAGTAGCTGACAAAAGTACACTGCTCCAGATCTACACCGACTGGCTGTATCTATGGTGGGTCGGGTATACGAACAACCCTCATATGCACGGGCACGTCTATATCATCCTTAAGGAATCCTTGAAGTGGGTTCCTGTCATTGGACCAGGCTGCATGTTTCTTGGCTTCATCTTCATGTCTCGTAAGATGGCCGTCGATCAGCCGCGTCTTGCACATAGGCTTGGCAAGCTCAAGACCCGGCATGCGGACCTGGACGGTAAGCGCTATCTGAACCCGATGTGGCTGCTCCTCTTCCCCGAAGGTACCAACTTATCTTCGAACGGGCGAGTTAAATCGGCCAAATGGGCAGCCAAGACCGGTCTCCGAGATATGCAACACTTGATGCTCCCTCGAAGCACCGGTATGTTCTTCTGTCTCAACGAGCTCAAAGGGACGGTGGATTACGTATATGACTGCACCGTCGCCTACGAAGGTGTCCCGTAAGTATTCCGCCATGTGCCACCCTTTTTATTTTACTGTCGACATCGACAAGCTAACATGCCCAATCTGCCAGTCGCGGGAATTATGGCGAAGATTACTTCACGCTGTCAAGCACTTATTTCCAGGGCCGACCTCCTAAATCGGTAAACTTCTACTGGAGACGTTTCGCATTGGCCGACATGCCTTTGCACGACCAGGAAGAGTTCGATAAGTGGCTCCGCGAAAGATGGTACGAGAAAGACGCCTTGCTCGAGCAGTACGTCTCGACAGGACGATTCCCAGCCAATGGTGCAGGCATCAAGGGACATATCGAAACGGAAGTTCGAACGAAGAATTGGTGGGAGTTCATGAGGATATTTGTCATGCTTGGCGTGTTCGGGTTGATCTTTAACTTCATGCTTCGAACCTTTCGAATACTCGCTCGTCGCTAGTCGTCAACTCCTATCCAATCACTTCTCTTTCTCATCGAGAGGGGTCGAGGGGTCGCCGCAGATCATTTTTGACACGGATGTTGTATACGAAACAGTCCAAGAGGCAGCAAGATTAGAGAGTGTGCTTGTGCCAGATACCAATGTTAATAGATTACTCAACGATACCATGGAGAATAGGAGTTTTCGGGCAGGCTGATGGTCTTGCATAGCGGCATACGGTAGCATGAATATTCATCTCTACTCATATTTTTTAATGTGGCGCTGAGTTTCAGAAGATGGTCCTAAAAATGTCCTATGGAAGAGAATAATTTATAGGAGTGGCGAAACAATCACAAACAATTTGTTATATTCTGTGGTGGAATATCTGTGACTACTGTTTCCGAACCCGCGAAATTCTGACGTTTACGACTGTAATATCCATCATAATTTTATATACATATTATAGCATTTCGAAAGTGAATCGGCGGGCTAAAACTGAGTTCTTCTTAAGATAACTGCACTTCGCGCCGACTCCTTGCGCTCTCTTTGGCAGCTTCGATGATTTGGAGAACATCCCTTGCTTGAGAAGCCGGCACGGGCACATCTTGCTCACGATTCTGGATGATGGCCTGACCGAAAAGCTCGTATATTTTGCTGTACGTTTCGGGCTCAACATTCGGGCAGTCCTGTTCTTGGGTGTTGCCGTTGCCGTCGACGAGGGTAAGTTTCCCGTTCCACTCAGCGCCTTCTCGTCCGAAGTTGGCATCGCTCGTCTTCATTCCAGCCTTCAGCTGTGGCTCTTGCGTATCTAGGCCCACCTTGCGGTAACTGCCTTTGGTACCTCTGATCCGAAACCTTGGCTGGTGCACCTCGGCGCTCGCGACGGCAGCACGCGCGCAGGCGATGAGGCCGTTGTCGTATGATAGCTGCACGGTAAAGCTGTCAGGATCCAGGTTTGGATTCTGCGGCCCTACCAAGAGACCGTCTCGTTGGCTGGAGAGAGTGGCGAAAACACCCCGTGGCATCCCAAACAACACGTATATCTGATCGATGAGATGAGTACCCAAATCGTAGAGCGCTGATCCTCCCTGGTCTATCCCGAGTGAGCCCTTCCAGCTAGTGGGCTTCTCCAGGCGAAAACGATCAAAGTGCGTCTCAAACTCGACTATACGACCTAGCTTGTTGCCACCGGCTAGGAGTTTCTGGACGGTCAGGAAGTCGCTATCCCACCGACGGTTCTGGTAGACACAGATCAAGCGACCCTTCTCCTTGGCCAGATTTATGAGGGCATCTGCCTCAGACATGGTTGGTACAAATGGCTTCTCGACGAGCACATGCTTGCCTGCCTGTAACGCTTTTTGGGCGAACGAGAAGTGCGTTTGAGGGGGGGTGGTGATGATGACAACGTCGAGGGCGGCGTCATCAAGGAATTGGTCTAAGGTAGTGAAGTGTTTCACATCGGGGTGGTCCCGAGGAGCGGATAATGCAGAGTTAGCGGGATCGCGCTGTAGAATGGAATGAAGTTTGAACGAGGGCGTGATTGTAATGAATGGAATATGGAATATGGTGGCCGACAGTCTGGAAGACGAGTGAGTTATATGATTCTAAAAACTCAAGTACGTAGGTAGAAGACTTACCCGTAACCAATGACACCGACATTGAATGTCGACTTAGTAGTGGAATCAGCCATCGTATTACTTGTAGATGTGGGTTGTTCGTTTTATCCTCTTCCCATAGTCCTTTAAGGATTGAATTAATTGAGAAGAGATAAGCTTGGTTACTAGTAGGTATTGATATTTATATATTCGAAGAAACGGCGTTAGGTAACGTACGACCTGGGCCTCCTAGGTATGGAATTCGTTTACTCTAGATTTAGATTTGTAAGGTCATGAGTTGCGGGGGAGTTGATTGTCACGATATTCAACTAGTCCAACTGGTATAATTACCTATTTCGACGAATAGCGGGCCGAATAGTCTCGTTTTACGTACTTCGCCGAAAACACTACCAAGTACTTACTTATGTAGGGAATTATTATAAATACACATGAGGTCATCAATGGTAAAATATTTTTTTAATTAATTTCTAGAAGACTTAAGAGGATCTAAGTAAGTATGTATAGACTGTAGTCGTCCTTTCGGAGCCGGACACCTAGTAGCTTAGCCCTGGACGTGGACGTTTATCCCACCCCGCACTTAGTGGCTATGACGTACTGAGCTCCCGGCGGGGACCCCTGTAGAAGGCTTAATTAATGCTAATGTCGCATCCATAAATCTTCTTAGCAACTTAATAGTAGGTCTATCTGTTAGAGCTACACGCTACTTTCAAAGCCGTCTAAGCTTTAAACTTTCTTCTTATTTTTATTTTTTTGAATCTTAACCTTGTAGAGCTTCTATCTAAAAGACTATTCGGAGTGCTTCCATTCTAATCAATATAAAATGCTGCCACAATCTGTTCCACATTTCCCTAGTCTCGTGGAGTCAGACTACTAAGATCCCAATGTTAGCATCATGACCACGCCATCAACATTGGTTTCGGATTCGCATATTAGAACTCGCTTTCTCATCTTCTCAGATACGCATGGCATGAAGTTCTCGCCTGAAAACTACCCCCATCACCCTGTGGACGTTGCCATTCACTGCGGCGACCTGACAGAAGAGTCTAAAATCGCCGAATTTAGAATATCTCTCAACCTCCTCAAAAGTCTCAACGCATCTCTTAAACTTGTTATCGCCGGGAATCATGACTTTACGTTAGATATACCAACGTTCAAAAGAAAAGTTGCAGAAGCCGAGCCGTCCTTGGAGCCAGACCTGGTTGCAAAGGAATACGGTACGTTCGGGGAAGTGAGAGGGTTATTCAAAGAAGAAGAAGCAAAGAACGCAGGGATTGTATTTTTGGATGAGGGCACTCATCGATTTGTTCTCAAAAATGGCGCCACACTGACTGTTTACGCCAGCCCATATACCCCATCACTTGGAGATTGGGGATTTCAATACCATCCGGAAAAGGGCCATACATTCTCTATACAAGATGGGACGGATATTGTCATTACGCATGGTCCCCCAAAGGGAATTATGGATCTAACACATTCACGAGAAAGAGCTGGCTGCCCGGACTTGTTCGCAGCCGTAGCTAGAGCCTGTCCAAGGTTACACTGCTTCGGCCACATTCACGAAGGTTGGGGCGCGAAGTTGGTGACCTGGAGAGAGAAGATAAGTGAAATCCCTTCCCATTTTGCAGACATAGACAATGATAAGTCTGTTGTCATTGAAACCTTGAGGGGATTCCGGTATTCCAAGGTCGACGAGGACAAAACTGAAGCAGCCTCAGAGAAACAAAACAAGACTCGACTATGCACCGAGGGAATATGTCGCTACACAAGTCATTGTATCGGAGACCATAATCAACTCTTGGGAGGAAGCCAGACTCTATTCGTCAATGCGGCAACCCAAGGTGACGAGGAGTACCCGGTTCAGCTTCCATGGCTGGTAAACATTGAACTTCCAAAGGCGACTATTGACGATTACGACAGAGACTTGGCTCGTAGCGTAACGGTAAGCTCAATGGGCAAAATTACAAAGGAGTCTACATAGTAATATGTGACTGAGAACTCTCCGCCTTGAATTAACTTGGATACTTCGTACTCCAACATGGTACTATAAAACGGAGTACCGGTCTCCAACATGCATGCACCAAAAATAGATAGATACAGTATGAATTATATCATCAAATATACGGATCGGCACTCGGTACCTACATATGCGTGTACTAGGTACCTAGGTACTCCATTTTTTCTAACTCTTTTTTGATTTAAATTTTTTAATTCTTAATACATCATCACATCAAAGCTGTCTACTCCTCCTTGCCCTAATTACACCTAGTTAAACGACCACCTTGTGTGCCTTGTACGTGAGAGGCGAAGTTTTAAATACTGTCCGCTCTATACGATCTACCGGCCAGATTAGGAGAAGCTTTGGCTCATCGACCATGGGGTGAACTGGCAAATAAGAAGTACTGTATTTGCGATCATTCTATCTACTTCGTCTTACCCCTTCGTTTATTACCGGGAATTGTATAAGGCCTCATCTTTAGGGTGCTACATGTGCTTTCTTGTCTTTCGCCTATATTACCTACTTTTCTATACGAATCATGCAATTCACCGCGACTCCACATCTCTTGTCCATCCGCCACTACATTGTGTTGTATTGTCCTGAAGTCTGAGTTGTTATTGATAGGAGTAGTACTTGCGGTAGAGGTGTCCGGAAGAGGGGATTGAAAGGAAATATGTCTCGACTGGCGATTTCTCGAAGTTGTCAATATAGAATCGCACGATGTTTTCCGCTTGTGCGATCTTTCTCGACTACTCACTGTCGTCACGAGATCCTCGACCTTTCCACTCTTCCCGATCGCATATCACCCAAGTATAAGGAGAGTTCGACATCTTCACTATTATCTCTCCAGTGGCCGGAACCTCCTCGGAATATACTGATCATCCCTAAGCTTCTCGCCCCGAAGGTCACCGCTTCCGCCGCCTCCTTTGCGAGTCATATCCATAACGAATATCCTAAACTGAATCTCGTCTTTGAACGCCGGGTCGCATCCACTATCCACGAGTCGCTGCCTTTCCCCATCTATACATCTGATCCGACCCATTTCCCTAACAAGATCGACCTCGTAACCACCTTAGGCGGCGACGGAACCATCTTGCGCGCAGCTAGCCTTTTCAGTCTCCATTCGTCCGTGCCTCCGATATTATCTTTCAGTATGGGAACGTTGGGCTTCCTTGGCGAGTGGAAGTTTGAAGAATATAAGCGTGCTTGGCGTGAGGTATACATGAGCGGTAGTCGTGTTGCCGTCGCCGACTTGCAGGACCCTCATACACAGGTTGCCACTAATAGCCGGTCTGACGAGGACGAGGGCGATCTTCATAGTAGTTGGGGCGGCGTTCGTGGAAAGAGTATGGGACTCACTCGCTCTAGCAAGATTCTCCTACGCCATCGGCTGAAGGTTGGGATCTACGATGCCGCTGGCGTCAACGTGAATGAGCAACTCATGCCGACCTCGACTGCCGAGCCGCAACAGTCCATTCCGAAGATTCCGGACCTCCGGCACGTAGGAGGTGTGGTAGAACAACCACTTGCATCCCGACAATTCCACGCCGTGAACGAGCTCGTCATTCACCGTGGCCCAAACCCTCATCTTGCTATCATCGATGTCTATGTCAACAACCATTTCCTGACGGAAGCTGTAGCCGACGGTATCCTAATTAGTACACCGACAGGATCTACTGCCTATTCCCTGTCTGCTGGCGGGAGCATCATGCACCCATTGGTCAAGACGTTGCTGATCACCCCGATCTGTGCTCGTAGCCTCAGTTTCAGGCCCCTTGGTCTTCCTCTGAATACCAAGGTTGTTCTTAAATTGAGCGAGAAGAATCGCGGACGTGAAATCGAAGTTAGCATTGACGGCAAGCGGAGGGCCGGGGTAACTATTGGAATGGAGATCCGTGTCGAAGGAGAAGCTGTCGGTCGTACCCCTGACGGTAGCTGGGCCGGCGGCGTACCTTGTGTTATTCGATCGCCAAGCAAAGCTGACGGCGACCGAGATGGAATCGCCGAGGACGATGACGGATGGGTTGGTGGGTTGATCGGCCTGCTCAAATTCAACTATCCATTTGGTGAGGGACAATGAACCTCACGCCCATCATGGAGACTGAGGCACAGCAATCACGTACTATAGGTATTCATCGATGGCGGCTCCGGGTTGATGATTCGACATAGGTCGTACTATTACTGACGAACCTAAGCGCATAAGTTGGGTAAAAGGGGAAATGAGGTACGGGTACAGCTCTCCACGTCTTTTATCTCTGCTTTATGAGCTAATTGGCTAACCCCCACTTTCGTATAGGATTGAACATACCCGTGAAGGTTGATACAAATTTGGTTTGGCCTAAAATAGTAATGCTACATTGGCATTCTATAGCTTTCTTATGGCGATCATAGCCTTCTGGTTACACATATATTGAATGTATGTCTGGAAGAGAGTAAGTGGGAAATGTAAATGTGCGGGTGCGTAGGATTGTTTATGGGTGTGTATATCTTCCTTCCAATTGGAGCTATACCTAAGCATCATGCACTATGTACCTATCTACTAGGGTAGAGCGGTTACTGCAAGGCCGACAGGGTACTAGATAACCTACACATCGACTTGTTTACCACCGCCGTCTAGGTATGTAGCTGACTACTAGGTGATTGTTTCCATACTAATTACAGGCTAGACACACAATCTCATTCCTGGGGACCTGGTGGGGTTTGCAAGCTAACTCGTCTTATGTACTTGACTGTCTCTTTAGACACGTTCTTGTTGCGGCTGATGCTAGGCTCTCGTGCGCCTTTACTCAAGTTTGCTGAACTAAAGGTCAAGTTTGTGCCGCATATTCGCCAATCAAATGGATGGGATTCGTAAGATAAAAGAGTCTTCCATATTCCAAACTTTCGCACTGCATGTCAGAGTCTTCCCGGAGACTCTGCGCCGCAATCCGTCCCAGCCTATCGTTAGGAGTTCCTTGTCTTTTCTAATATAAATATTCCTGGGTCTGGAGAGCGGTGCCGATAAGCGTGGCGGTGGTCTGTAACGCCGACTTCTTCGACTTGGAGGATGCTTGCTTAGACGAATGCATAATCTCCTTCGCATTTGCCTGTAAATATAGACGGGCTGTTTCCTGCCAGACCGAAGTCACTGCTGCAGAAGTATCGCCGTCCTGGACCCTGTCTTTCGCGCCGACGGCATTTATCCACGGCAGAAGAGCGTACTTCATAGTCCAGGTTCGTACCTCGTTGTTGTACTTGGTTGACTGTGTTTTATTTTCGAGTTCCTCCCGACCCGGCTCGTTGTACCATGGCTGCTCGCAGAGTATCATGGACTGGATGCTGACAAGAACCTGGAGTATAGTGGATTGATCGGCTCTCCAAGGCTCCCCGGCCCACGTACCGAGCAGGGAAAGGCATACTATTTAACCTTTGGCATCAGCAATAGTCCCATATCCCACATCCCTATAGCGAGATAACGCATTTGTGATAACGTAAAAAGTAAAAAACATAGGTGGGTAAGAGAGATGAAAGGGAAGTAATATTTTTTGGACTTACTTTTGCCATCTTCATACAAGTTGGGGTTGAAACGAATCTTACCGCTGTTCGTCGTCTTGAATTTCATTAAGGGTGGTGAGTTAGGGTACTCTAGGGGACAGTATAAGTCGAACTCGAACAGGCCGTGCTCGTAAGGGGTATGCTTGGGTCCAATGATCAACACCTTCATGATGTCGAGTCGGGAAGATCCATGGCAGATGAAGATTCCTTCCGGCAGCGACGTCTTCAGTGTCGATAATTCTGTGATCAATCTCTTCATACGTCCACGAGCTGGGATGGTATTGACTGCTCGTCCTGCTTCCCGTGCGCATGCGAAGTCCTGCATGAGGATCTCGTCTTCGACATCGCTAACGCAATTCTCGCGGTGCCATTCGGCAAAGTTGACCTCCGGTTTGTCTTCACTTATCTCCATCGTAGTGCGGAGCCGTTGCATATTGGCTTCGTGCTCTGTGCAGAGTTGGCTTATTCGCTGGCTGATGTTTAGTAAATTCTTTCCCTCGCCATTCTGGAATTCGGCGCGGTTAGTCTTAGCGTGTCGGAGAACCGTCAGGGACTGAGCTGCCAACTTGTCTAACAACGCGAGAAGAGATTTGCCGGTGTCCTTGGCGACAATCCTACTCTTGCTTTTCATGGGACCGACGGAAACCTCTAGTAAACTTCCGCCTTTTGGATGATACAGGTTGCGGTCGTTATAAACTAAGTCTGCAGTCACTGGGTGACTTCCTAGAGTATGAAAAAGGTCTAGTACGGCATCATGGACCTGGTACTGGCGAGCAATCTCACCAATAGAATCATTGCTTAGCATTGTTGCAGCCTTTTCTATAAGTGGACTGCGCGAGAGCATATGTGCGAGGAAAGTAGGCGGCGAGACGTCAAGAGGGCTTGCCCGTGTATAGGACGGAAGCAACACAGCCACAAGCCTGAAGTAGGCCTCATGTAGAAGATACTCTTGGACATCTACGGGCTTCTTGGGTGTGGGGCGCGTATGCGATCGTCCGAGGTAGGGGAAGGGGAAATACTCTAATCTTCCACCACCACCATAGCCAACTCCTCTCGCATTGGCTTGAGAATTTGATGGCACTAGTGAATTCTGCGCCACGGCGGATTTGGCATTGGTTCGTTCTCGAACCTTGCCAACGACGCGGGTCACGGTCCGAGACTTCCAACTTGGGGCGTCCCAACCACAAGCAAGGGCCCAGATTGCGGCAAGTCGTCCGGCATCGCAGCACCATCTTACAGTGATCCTTGTTCCGGAGATATAAAGCTCAGCATTCGATCCGTTCGTTGCGACAGAAGAGACCGCCCTCCCACAGCCGAGACACGTCGACACCGTGCAAAATACGTTCTGGCATGACACACCTAGCAGTACTTTCCCTCCAGCCTTGGTCCACCCCGTAGTCATCTTCACAACATCATTAGGCTCCATGGGCTTGGGCTTATTCTTGATATTTCTGCTACACCTAGAACAGGTTTGGCCAAGGCACCCGCGAACGAATTCTTGTAACGGCTCCAACTCCTTCAAAGCCAAATTAACCGCGACATTGTCCTCCGGAAACTGTTCAAGGTCTGCCGAGGACTCGCTGCTATTCCCGGGACTTTCGACATCTATTACCATCTTATCAGCTCCAGGCTCCTTTGACAGCTCAGTTGAAGGAATCGGGAAAGCTGCGTTGTGTCCTGCCCAACCCCATGGCACGCCCATATGCTGAGCGGGCATCTTATCGGCCGAAGTACTCTGGCCGATGGCTTGTCCCGGTGGTTGCAGGTAACTACCGAACTGTGGTGTCTGCATAAACCAATTATCCGTCATAGGCAAAGCCAAGAGTTCCGACGCGGACGGAAAGTCCGACACAGGGGGTGGGACTAAATTATCCGGGAGCTGGTTTATAAATTCCCACGGACTGCCCGGATGAGACTTTTCCTGTGTCGATGGGGTTGTAGGGTTGAGAGGGGGAGGAAGAAACGGATTGGCCTGAAATGACGAAGACCATAAAGGTGTTGGATGAATAGGTTTCGTTGTCCCGAAAGATCCAGTGGAAGACTCAGAATAGTCAGGGAACTGAAAAGGGTTATATGTCGAATGAGTAGTCGAAGTATCGGTTAAGTCAATAGGGTTAAATCGGCTACCGAGATTGCCTTTTTGGTCGTTGCTGTGCATGCCATGTCCTTTTGATGTAGACTTATGCAAATTTTCACCAAAAGATGTTTTTGCAACGAGGAAGGCATTAGATGGACCAGGAAACAACGAAGAGGATGCCATGTTAGGGGGTGCTGGATTATTGGCCGCCATAGGCGATGATTTCGACGGCTGCGATAAGGTGTGTCCTTGGGTTGAAGGCATCGCAGATGGCGTATGAGGTGGAGGAAACGCCCCTAAACCTTTCTTAGATTGGACCTGGTTAGCGGCTAGCGAAGTCGTAGCTGAGGCTGATGCTTGATTCGGATTCTGAGACGACTTCTTGCTAATGTGGTTGTTGTCGTCGGTAATCTCTTGATTTCTGTGGTGTCGGAAACGAGTAATCCGATTCGATATGTTCTTAAATGTCTCTAAATTGGGACCCATGATGAAAGGACTTCGCAAAGCTGCTTAGTTGCGATAGGATCCATTCAGAAATGAGATACAAATCCTCTCGGTAAACACCTGCTGGTCACATTCGACGACCATAAGGCTTTAGAAAGCCACCTCACATGGGTAGATTGGATGGTCCGGGCAATCTGACGCCACTTCAAGCCTACTCTGGTGCCCTTAGGAGCAATGGAGGATGAAACCTAAGAGACTCTGATTAGCGATGAGATTTCTGTGCCATTCTAGAGAATATTGGAACTTGGAATTATAAACGAGCAAGCTGTCGTGGATGCGGTAAGGCGCTCGAGTTGGTACGATAAGTTGTTCGCTTCTGCCTTACCTACTAATACAGTTTACAAAACTAGATGTATGGGGGGCGCACGTTGACTATTCCCTTTCCTAGGCGGGGTAAGGCGCAGCCTGGAGGTGAATCAGTTAGAAGACGGATACTCCTTATTTAAGATTGAATATTGAGATTCAGAAGGCAAGACGTAATTAAGCCATTGCTGAGAGGATACATACCTTCGTTTATATTTTCTCGAAAATGAACTGAAGAAAACACAGAGGATCGGCGGGGAGAAGGTTATAGAGTGCCTAGGTAGGTAGGTATCTTGGTAAGAATGGATGCCGGACTAGGATGGTCTCAGCGGGTGCATGCGGATCCAGTATAAGAAACCAATTACTTGTCGCAGCCCGAAAAAAGCAACGACGAAAATAAAAGCATTGGTTACAATGTGGGTTGTTTAAAGAAAGGATAATGGAGGGACAAGGCTGATGTAGAAAATAGAACACCAAGTGTTGATGTAAAACTGTGAAGTAGACAGGAGCCAAGACCGTGCCTACAAGGCGTCTGTGATAAGAAGCCCGTGGCGTGAAGCTTAGAAGTTTACAGTAGAACACTAACATAAGTTGGGAAGTTTCGGACTGTGTTTGTGGGAGAACGCAAAACAGGTAAAAGCGGACCTTGGCGGACCTTGGTAATAGACATGAATGTAGAGGAGGTGAATGAATGATAGGATGGTCTTGTTGAATACTCTATGTACCTAGTAGGTATGTATTTTGAAGATATTAATTGATGATGTTGTAATTGTAGGAAAAGCGAGGCTGCCGCCTAAGTTGCCTTATGCCATATACACGACAGTACCTAAGTCTGTAGGTAGCTACATACAGCAATGCAAACGAAAAGATAAACTATGCGGATTTGACCAGTTGACCATTACGGATATCTACATACATACTGTACCTAGTATCTGATGCCTACCTAGGTACCTGGGTACATAATCTAGAGGGGCACCTGACTGTGTTCAATGTCATGTACTAAGGAGGTGTTGACTTTAGTAATGTTAATGCAATCAGTGAATGCACATTGCATGTAGGTATGTAACGTGTAGATACATGCTTGATTGTATTAGTGCACCTCGATACAAGTAACAGCACAGGCCTTCATACCTCTGGAGTACTTGCGTAGGTACCTAGTAGGTAGTGGGGAGAGCTCCAATGGATGTTTAATATTTAACTCAACAATACTTCTACCCCATGTGTAGAATCATCTAAAATTTCATTTTAATGAAAAGAGGGTAATAGGTCACTACCATGATATCCGAATATCTATAGTGTATTACGAAACCATTCATTTAAGCTATTTCCTATTTTCTATGTAATGGATTTTAGTAGAAATCCATGTAATACAAGGTATGGAACTAAAGGTACAATACATACTCATGTACCTCAGCCGCAGCGGGCAGGCGGGGTAAACATCCATGAATGACGGAAAGTGCGATAGAAAGATTCTAGCCTGTCAGCCCTACGAAAAAGTGGGACTCTTGAAAGTCTAAAAGTTTGAAAGGTGGGTACCTACTAAGTAGGTACGTACCTAGGTACTTTCTAGAATATTACACGACATTAAATAACACGCCTAAAATTCATCTATTTTATTATTGCAAATATTTTCTACATCATTTCAAGTTTTCTTTGAACATGAAAAACGGAAATTTCCACTTCTTTTCCGTTTAGATAGGTACCTAGTACTATAGAAAAACTAACAAGGCCTCACTAGCACTCAATGTGACCGTTGCTTGCCCATTAGATACTGCTAGAGTCTCATAAGTTTCGGTTCCAGCAATCTTACAATCTCCGTCCGTAAAACTCTGCCCCCCGTAAGTCACTTTCGCTCCTTGATCAGCCCTAGATTGTGCACTATCTGCTGTTAATCTCTTGGCCTTTAGTGAGCTTTCTGCCAGCCCTTTAAGTACGAAGGATTGGCTGGATCGACTGCCGCTCCCACTAAAATAATCAGATTTATATAATAATGCTTTCAGCGGCGCACCATCTGAACCAAACGAAACGTATGCAGCGTAGTTGCTACTACCGTCGTCAAGGGCCGTGAGGTGCGATGCCTTTGCGAGAAAGTCCGTTGCGGCGTATGCGCCATAATACGGTGCACCCATGCTATACCTTCCCCAAAAACAATCTTTTCATTCATTAGTAGGTATATAAAGGGCAAGCAACTCTGAAGATTGAACTAACATTGGCAATTTCCGACTGTGCCGTGGTGGAAATATGTTCGAGATATATTGCTATAGCTGGCTCGTAGAACGTAATCCATCGTCCATAATCCCGCTCCGAACGTGGGCGAAACTGTGGCTGCCCCTCCTCCGGATACTATTCAGGTGTGTCAATGTCAACTTGGTTTAATTGTTAATACATGGAATTTTACCAGAGTTTGTCTCGCCGAAGACGTACGGCTTCTTCTCCTTTAAAGCAGCTGCCACGTCGGCGTCAAAGACATGTAAGTTGGTAGAAATGCCTTTATGGCTCATTAGAGAGTTTACGCTACCCCCTGGATAGTTATGATGGGCATACGTCTTCACGTATTGCTTAACGGTTGCATTCTCCGTGGCGATCAACTCGGCCGCGCCCCATGTCGGGGGAGAATCGTTAGAATTGCCAGCTTGGATAATTGAAGTTTTTTTCACCGCGGATCCAACCAATATATCCCAATTATTCTGCGAAGCCGCGTCGATCGCAGGCGACCAGCTTCCCGAGGCGATAGGTTGCCCCGCCCTAGAATAATCTATAAGATAGTCAGCTACTGTGATGCGTCAACATGAATAGCTATAACTATGTCAGATATACGCACATTCCGGCTCATTCCCTAGCTCTATAGCAAGCAAATTCTTGACCTCTGACACGACAACTTTGGCAGCATCGATCGTGTTCTGGATCTGGTTCTTGCCCCTATTCAAACCAACCACTACCGTACCTCCATAAGATCCCGCGAGGGTCAGAAATCTTGAACCGAATGTTAAGCTTGCAGGTGCATCAGCTGGACTAGAAACACTATATACAACATATGCTGAGGTTGAGGAATCGTATAGAGCCCGATCTTGTGTTGTACCTCCAATGCGAATCGGCGGCCAAACCCCCGTCAAGTCCTTCCAATTAGAAAGACATTGAGTTGTGGCAGTGACGTTGGTGAAGTAGGAAGGGAAGGCGAAGAACTCGAAGCTACGGTGGTTTAGTAGGTAGTAAATGTTGGATATTCGAATCAGTTCCTAACGACTTACGATATCCCTACCGGCGCCGGGTCTAGAGGCGCGTATCTGTACCCTCCTGTGTGCACCTTACTAGGAACGGTAAACGTGACAGCTGCGATCGCCCCCTGAATCGCAGCTATGGAAAAAGCAAGAATTCCGAAAGAAGCCATAGCGTTCATACCTAAGGGACCGCGATCTGCCTTGATCACGGGTATTTGTACTAGCAGGCAGCTATTAGCCTATTTGAATCTCTCTGGAGCTCAGAGAAGGAGTTCCTTTGATTATATACTCGACCCTGGGTTGCTTGCATTGGTCTTGGATGAATTTAGAAGCGTGTGGGACATGTTACATCCATACTTCTCTAAGCGGCCACACTACTACATACGGGCGAGGATCGGCTATAGATGTGTAGGAAAAATGACCAAAAGTTCTAGATCTCCGCAGGAACTCGCTTCCACCAATCATAAATTAATCTGCTAAAATTAACAATGCATTCAGTTCATGGTAAAACTTCCCGCTATTCGTAACAACGCATAGACTCATAGAACCCCCTCTCGCTTTCTTTTCATACCACCTTCACGAATACTCAGGATGAAATTTCATGATAGTCACCTAATTAACTACCTACGTACCTATTAGGTACCTAGCTAAGTGATTCGTCTCTTCGTAATTTCCTCTACTCCGTATTTGACCGTGTAACCTGAGTATGTAGGTAGGTAGGTACCTATTATGAGGAGTACTTCACTCGAGCTTAGGACTTGTACCGAAGCACGAAGGGTACTGACTCAACTATATCCCAATCTTCCTCTTTAGAAGCATCGCCAAATACCCGGACTGCGCTTGTGACGAATTTATAAGTACCTTCCGGGACAACAGTATTATCGTCTAGGACACCATAGAAATAACTGTTCCCCCCGTTTCGCGGAACAAGTGTGATAGGGAACCCTGACAAAGAGCCAATTATCTTATATCCTTTCCAGTCAGTTGTCGGCAAACCAGTGTCCGTTAACGCGACGACATCGGCGCGGAGCTGAGGTGCACCTAGTGTCGGCGCGATTCTTAGTTTCGGATACACGACACCGCTTGAACTCGAATTTCTACCTGGACGGTTCAGCGTGAATGTAGTATTGGCTGGGACAGGAATATTGAAGTGCCCGTCTGTATTGGTCAGGTAGACTCCACCGTCGTAGCCAGCCTGGATTACGGGTGTGTTGTATAGACTGCCAAGCACGCCCAAGTATGGCAATACGAGTGATTCCCCCTTCGTGCTGTTGAGGGTTATATAACCGCTATAAATGGGCAGTAAGGTTGAATTTAGATTTTTCGGGGGCGTAAGCGTGAGCGTTACCTTGGAGCTTCCGCCGGCCGGTACGGTTATTTGGTCGGAGACGAAGTCCAATTCAGCCCAGCTATCTGCCGTTGGGTTCGGAAAGTATGTTGTTTTGAGGACGGGACCGCCGGAATTGGCGAAGGTGTACATTGTCAAAGCTTTAGTATGGCCGAGAGCATAAGTCACATCCTCTTGAGCAGTGTTCTGGATCGTGAAGCTTCGCTCGCTAACGAAGTGGTCGCTGTCATTGAAGGAGATGCTGCTCTCGCTGAGGATTGTGGACGTGTGCGCTGCATCCCATGCCTGAGCAATTCCTGCACCTTGCTGTGCCACTGGCGCGAGAATATCGCTGTGGGCATTTTCTCCGTCAAACCAGACTCTCGGCTTCGCTGTAGCAGAAACCAAGCTGCGAAGAAATTGGGGATCACGAGTCCCGCGGACTTCTGAGATGAGAGCGAAGATAGCCGCTAGTAATGGCGTTGCCATTGAGGTACCCGAGAGGACGGCATAGCCACCTAAAGCTAATGGATATGTCGATAGGATATCACCCCCAGGGGTAGCAATTTGAGGTTTAACATTTATTTCTTGGGTAGGACCCCAACTGCTCGACCGACTTACGTAGCCCCCAATAACTGGGTTATCCAAGTTATGGACGAGTTGGCCCGCGGATGTCCAGTCATTGATATTCACGGTGATAGTATCCCCCTTACTTAATGACGATATGAACTTGCTGCCCTGATCAGATGATATTGTGCCAACAGCTTTAATTGATCCGTTGGAGATATAAATGTCCGCGATGCTTCTGTAATATCATTATAAGTAACTTAAAGGTCGAGGAAGCAATACTTTAGGCGATGTGGAATTTGACGTACCCATTAGATCGGCTGTACCATAGTAGGTATTGACCTCCTTTAGCAGCAACATTTCCGGCTTGAACTTCTTGAGTACAGGTAGAACTAGAATTAGGCATACGAAGAAGGGTGACCCTGCTAGAAAGGTCTGGCGTGCTATCAGGGAGCGCGTCGCAGGCATCCGCTTCCGAGGTCGTATCGTTACTCGCAGACCAGAGCGGCAGGGTGACGTTCACTTGATAGGTAGGATTGCCATATCTAATACCGAAGCGTTCCGTCCTAGTCCCGTTTCCCAGGCTGAATGAAGCCGCCTTGAGAAACGTTGGCAAGACTATGTTTTCGATGGAACCGACTGCAGTCACATTCACACCCGATGCGGGGGTGGACGGATACCACAGACCCAAGTCGCCCGAGTTTCCGGGCGCTACTACAACCGGGACACCAGCGGCGGCAATCCTCGAGGCTACGATAGCCCAAGGGTCCGAAGCCCAGCCAGAATCATCGCCTGCAGAGCAAGATATGATGTCACTCCCATCTTCGAAGGCGGCATTGAACCCAGCTATCAATATTTCATTGGTAGTGTCCCCGCCACAACCGCTCGCCTTGTACATGCCCAATTTCACTCCAGGTGCGGCACCAGTGAAATTGTACTCGTTTATCTGAGCCGCAATAATCCCAGCGACGTGGGTGCCGTGCCCAACACAATTATCATACGGATCGGGATCTGGTATCGGAACAGGTGATGTATCGTTATCTCCGTTAAAGTCATACCCATACTCAACCAAGCATCCTTTCCCGAAGCAACCGCCGAGAGCTGGATGTTTGTAGTCGACACCCGTATCAACGAGGCCGATCCGTAGACCCTTGCCTGTGAAGCCTTCCGCATGCAGCTTGTCGACCTGGGTCATGATATGCGGGGTGAAGCCAGTCCCGGTGCTGTCATCTTGGCGCTTGACGTGCTTGAGAAGTTCAGAGACATTGTTCCCGACAAGCTTCGCGTCAGGTTTCGGGAAAGAGATCTTTCGCACAGGCCAGATCGTCTTCACTCGCGGCGTCGCAGCGATCTTATTGGAAGTGACCTCTGGGTCTGTAGTAGTGTTCCCTTTAAGATGAAAAGACGCGCCCTTAAAGAGCTGGAACTTTAAGTCCATGCGATGTTCGACTTCGATGCCATCAGCGTTAAGGTCCTGATAGAACGCATTGGGATCCTCATCACTATGGAATTCAACGATGTATGCTCCTGGGACTATCGACTTGTCCGTTCCCGAATCTTCCGCGTCGGCCCCAAGGACGACGCTTGTGGTATACGCTAGAGCCCCGAGGAGCGTAATTAATCGAGACTGGACTTTCATCGTGTCTAGGAAGTAAAGAGGAAGATAGCTCCCTTGTCGAAGACGAAGCGGCGTGAAAACTTAGAAGCTAGCATCATGAGGCGAGTTACCAACATGCCCTATTTAACCTATGTAATCGCCAATCTTGACCCACTGCCCAAAAGGCGATATATAGGTAGGTAGGTATCTAGAATTCCGCCAGTCACCCTTGAACTTGCTCATTTCTAGTGTTCGCGATGTTGACATGGGCTTTCGCTAGATGTGCCCATTCTGTCAAACAGCTAGGGTATTGATCTCCACAAATTAATGGTTATTCTCTTCCTACGTTGGAATTTCTCGTATGTAACCGTTGCCAAGGCTTTGTCACGAGAAGCTTGTGGATATAACCTAGATATACTAGGCTCGTTATGAATTATGCAACCACAGCGTAACGACTTCCCGTATGCCATTTCTGCCCGATGTCACATACATACCTACCTGGTACCTAGGTATTGTAACTCGTTTTATTATTTTGACGGGGAATTGAGAAAAAAAACGAACTTAACGCAATTTTTCATAAACCCAGTCTCGTAAATGTTGGTTTGGCATTGATAGTACCTAACTAATACGGATCATAGGTCGAAAGTTCGTCGCATGGATTAGCCCGTATGTTCTCTAGACTGGAAGACGCCATAGTCGTAGATGACGGTCTCATACCTACCTACCTATCTAGGCATGCCCTTATTAGTGAATCAAATGATTTGCTCGTATCGAAAACTAACTAGACTGCGACGAAATTAAATGCGTTTTATAGGGAAATGCATCACTTAGAAGATATGGGGTTGTTAAAAAGAATGGCCGTGGAGAATAGGTACCTCCTAGTATGGAGGGATTTTTAAACCCTATAAATAGTACCTAGGTAGTATCGCAGTCAGGACCGTATGATCGAATCAACGTTATTTTGACTCCTCAGATCCGTACCTACCTATGTAAGGTAATTATCTCAACCCGAAATATATTATTACCTTATCAAGATACCTAGGTACCTAAGTACTTATAAAATTGCTTAGCATTGAATTTAAAGGTACTAGTGATCATGAAGCCTTGGTTCAACGTTGTTCTTTATTGTGATTACTCGGGGATATTGGCTTTATTTGTACCTACCTATTAATAGGTACTGTACATACATGCATGTAATGCCTCGAGAGATCGGTAGGTACATACCTAGGCAGTTTTAGAAGAAACCCCCATTAGAAGAAGCTGTGTTATGTTCGATATTACCTACCTACTTACCTAGGTAGGTAGGTACATACTTAGGAACGAGGCTTACTGGAGGTCGGTGGAGAGGTCCGTTAATATTTGAACTACTAATGTGGTTATAACATACCTACAAAATACTTTCCTGGCTGCGATAATAACATCCATAATGGGTGACGGCCTTACACCGAAGACTTAAAGATGTTACATGGTGTCAGTAATATTCACCTGGAATTATACCAAGTAGAGTACTAGGTACTGCGCTACCTACACGGATTGAAGACTTTTTTCAATGTTAGAAAACCATATCAACCATTACTCACTTACTTCCAAATGCGGCAGCACCCAGGAGACCGAAAGCATTTGATTGGCTATTTACTTACTTGGAGGTACATACTTACCTACATACGTACCTAGCCTTATAAGCGGGCTAAGAACAACAACTACTCCACTGTACTTCAAATCGACTTATGAGCTCATCATGCTCATCATGGAGGAGTGAGTAGGTACATACCTACTTCATAAACGAGACCTAATTAGGCGTGCGCGATTGTTAATTCTCCTATTCATTGCCTTGGATGGACTTGAGGTGATGCGCTAATATTGATTGTGAGGTTCAAGGTTAGAACTCGAAAATATCCTTGGCTAGTATGCTTCCACAAAGCTGTTCGTTTCTAGAGCGTCAGACAGAAAACTTACTCGATATTTTTTTAATACTTACACACACATACACATAACTATATGAAGGAACCACTAATAAATCTTGTCATGGTAAAGAAACGATGAAATGAATCAACTTGGAATGATCGTTCTGGCACGCAAAAAATAACGCGCAATCTCAGCTAGTTATAGTGGGGGTTTAGGGTGGGGTACTAATGACAACAATATTGACAGTATTGTATTGTATTGTACAATACAGTACACAAGGTACCTAGGTACCTAATTAACATGATGGATCCATCTTCTGCTTTATCTATTCCCTAGATCAATCCTCATTCTAATAAGAATCCAGCGCCAGTCTAACCTCAACTTCGCCGTCGACGTTAACGTCGATATCGAAGTAAGTGGTAGGTTGGTTCTCGTCAAACTCATCTCCGTCTTTGAGGTACTGGCTAATGAGAGAATCCTCAACACCCCGCTCCACAGCTCGTGCAATGCTACGTGCGCCAGTCTTCTTATCGTACCCATCATCCGCAAGCTTAGAACACACGACTGCGTCTTTCTTAATGCGGATGTTAATATTTCCGACATATATATCGTCTTCTTTATTCGTGGATAGATGCACACGTCGGGCTACTTCCCTTTCCAAATCCATTAATACTCTATGGACGATTACAGCTGACTCATGTGGAGAAAAAATAAGGAATGGAAGGATTTCAGTAATGCGACCGGCTAACGGTGCACCAAAGTGTCCGATAAACTCTGTGCGCAGTTGACGGAGGAGCTTCTCTACAAGCCTATCCTGAGCCTGATCATCTTCTGATTGAAAGATAACATCCTTGTTTGCGTCGCAGAAGGAGTGGATGCTGTCATCCAATTTATTCGTAGCAAGTATCCAAATAGTCTTGGAGCAGTCAACAATTTTACCATTTCGACGGTCTTCGTACCGGCCTGTCTAAGCTCGTTAATATAAGAAAATCTAAGGTATGGCCCCTTGGTCTACTGACCGTCTTGGAAAGGTAATAATAAAGTGTTGTGTATATCATCACTTGTCTTTTCGAATTCGTCCATGAATACAATGGCCCGTTCCCCCGCATTGAGGACCAGAAAGTTATTCAATGGTGAACCATCCTCGTGTCCCGAGTATGGGGGACGTGGTCCGAACAATTCATTGTCATGCTTGAAAATGGTACAGTCCACCACGTGTAAGTTCGATGAAATGAGATCTCCGAATCTTCGAGCGAGTTCCGTTTTCCCATGGCCGCTAGGACCTGCAAAAACCAATATAAACGGCTTCCGCTTTTGCCGAGCGAGATTGCTTACGCGGGTTAGCGACAGGAAGTGTGTTCATAATATCTCAAACCTACACGAGCAGTTTTCTCTGTAGCCACCGGGCGGCAATCGACTGGGCAACGATCATCTGGCGGAGACCCATAACTTCTTCAGCGCTCTGTCGAAACAACACCTCTTTCTCACGACCGGAATATGGTTTAGTCTTGCTGGATCTGTCGAGGTCGTACCTCTGCGATAAGTTAAGAGCTCCGGCAAGGCAGGCGCGCACCTCAGCCGTGCACCACCGCTTGTTCTGGTCTTCGATATCATGAAGTTCCGCTCGAGATGGCCCATCTTCCGGTAGAACTCGACAATAGGGGTCATAGAAAGATTGAGGGATGACCCGACAATCCGCGCCGAATCTGAGGAGCGTAGCGAGGGTCCTCCAGGCTTCGTACATGGTTTGGCCTCCATTAATAATGGAAAAGGCGATCAAGGGGAAGTTATTGGGCCCCCAAGTCACGTTAGGATCTCCTCCGTGTTTGATCCATTGGCGAATGATGCCGATATCATTGGTGGCGACGACGTAAAACATCGCCGGATACCCATCAATATCGGCATTCAGGATCGCATCGAGGATATCTTTGTCGTATAAACCTAAATAATCTCGGACTCTGTGCGCGTCGAATTGACCGGCCTGGATTGCTCCAAGAAACTTGCGAAGCTCGAACACAGATGGGTCGTGAGGAGACATGATAAAGCCCTCAGACACTGAGAGGGTCGGCAGCTTGGGCATCCAAGAGGCACCCTTGAGTGTCTTGTTGCGCTGGTCTTCCAAATCCAATTCGCCAACCAGTGCGCTGATCTCAGATTCGCTTTTGTCGTCATTTTGCTGACTTTGAGTATCATCATCGTCAGACGGAGGGTCTGGAGGAAGAATTGCCTGGTTACTAATTAGTGAGTGCTAATTTTCTTTTCAAAAAGTCAAAAAGTTTGAACCTCAATTCCTTTGTACATCCGAATTGCTTCCTCAACATTGTTTCCGCAGAGCTACATGGATATGTTATCAGCACGCTTTACCTATCAGGGTTGATTATTTCAACTAACATATAAGCAGTTCGATGCAGTATCCCGAGAACACCCTGGGAATTTCGCTGTAATCTGATTTATATGGTCGTTAGATTGAGAAGACATAGCGGTTGGGCGTATTGCGTAAGTGTAGGTAGGTAATAAAGAAAACACACGTTCATTCAACCCGACACTGAGTGGAAAACTTGAAATTAACTTGGCTACTAGATACCCTAGGTAGGTGTCAAATGCTGCTGTTATCGTGTCATTTTAAACTACTTGAGCATTACGGCTCGGTCTATCGTTTGGAATGACGTATCAAGGTGTTTTCATCATTCTGGCGGCTTCTTGCAGATATCGGCGGTTGCTAAATGCGTGCTTTATAGAATACCCAATGATAAATTCGAAACTCAAGAAAAGACAGGGAATAATTCCATGCATAGACCCGTTACGAGATTATTCTGTTTTAGGCAACGATTGTAGAAAAGTATAAGGTGAATTTTTTCGGTTTCTATGCTTGTCTTCGTTTGTATTATCTTGTTCCGTTTGTAGGAACCTCGTCCGGGCTGATACACATAACAAAAAATACAGCTTCAGCCAAACTGAGACCATTTATGATATGTACCTACTTGTACTTAGGTACCTACCTAGATTAGAAGAATCGGTTTCCCTATCTCGGTGGTCATATACCTATGGGGTCCTTGTGTGCGTGTTCTTAGTCTGAGATTCACCTTGACGATATTCTAGGTACCTTGGACTAAACCTAAGAAGTGATGGCAGACAGGTATGCGATATCTCATGATCTGGGAAAATCCTAACAGGCTTGTCTGTTTGGGAATATCGTGCTTTTAGGGCATGATTGAAAATTCCAACTATTCCTTAGGTACCTACCTACCTATGAAATATTATTAACTTGGTCATTTTTAGCGATGCACCCAAAATGCCACTGGCGGCATCCAGCAACATGGCGATGAACATGTCGACTACATCAACTCCAGCGCCGAAGCCCAGCGATGCTCCAACAAATTCTGTACCAAGCCGAGATTCTCAGGCGACCACTAAAGAGAAGTCCCATTCCACTCGATCCGTATATTCTCAACATACGGAAACTATTTCGAGCAACCACGCTTCGAAAGCTGTACGAGGTGACAAAACCCATACAAGAGAGAAAGCGTTCAATCTTCAGCGGATTCAACTGGCGGAGCAACTCAGCAACGAGCGTAAGCTTTCTGTTGATTTGGAAGCTCGTATTGCTAGTTTACGGGATGAGTTGGCTAGACTCACGTATAGCAAAGATGCTTACGAAGCTGAATGCGCAACACTCCATCGTCAGATTAACGAGACACTTGAAACTCGGGCTGTCGTAGAAAGTCAGCGAAACGGCGATATGTCGAAGAGAATTAGTTTTCTAGAGTCTAAGCTTGACGAAGCGACCGAGAACCTGGAGGAGTCCATACTCAATTGCGACCTTCTCCAAAGTAGTCACGCTGAGGCTGTGAAAATAAGCGACAAACGGAGCGACAAGATCAAGCAGCTGGAACACGAGCTAGGGATAAGTCATATCGCAGTCCAAGATCTCAATAGCAAATACGGTAAACTGCAGGAATTGTTCGAGCATGATGTGAAGCACAAAATTTCTGGTCTAGAGGAGGCTCAGGAATTACGCGCCCGCGAGTTTCAACAACGCCTTACCATCAAAGAATTGGAGACTAACGATCTCAAGCAAGAGATAAATCGCCTCCAGACTGCCTTCGAAAATGCTATCACCGAAAAGAACGCGGCGCAATTGGCACTTGTCTCTGAGACCAAGCGTCATGAACTGAAGATCTTACAAGAACAGAAGAAACTAGATGATGCGGTGGAGTCATGGGACGAGTATCTAGCGGAATCCGAAAAGTTACGACGAAATCTCGAGGAGCTGGAGAAGTCAACTAAGCCCTTCAACCAGATAATAATTATCTGCGTCGACGTCAGTGGCAGCACCGCCGGAGTCATCCACGAGATCATGCATGCTTACAGAGATGTTCTACATATGATTAAATCCATCAACAACGGTGCCAAAGTTGCGGTTGTGATCCATGGAAATTCAATCCAGCATAAACCTTCACCCATCCAAGAAATATCCAATGCAACATTTCGAATCGTGGACTCTGTATCTCTCCCAGGACGCGGAGCTACTGAGAACTATGCATTTTGCCTTGAACAAGCTTACGAAATTTTGAGAACCAAGGTCGATAGCCAAAATTTTATAATACTCATTGGGGACGGAAATGCGTCGTGCCAAAATGCTTCTGCCCTTCGCGACATTTGCGAGAAACTAAAATCCGCAACGATTCAGGCGCATTCGGTTATTGTTTCTGATGGTTCTATATTCCCCAACTCCATCTCTTCTCACTCAATGCGTGGTATTTCGGAGGCCGTTGGTGGTGAGGTACAGTACAAAGACACATACTTGTCGGCTTTTGAAAAGCTGCTTCTTCGCGAACGCGAGCGGCATTTCGAGGGCCTGTAATTACCTATATCGGTCATTATTGTTACCAAAGTAGTGTTAGTGTTATTCTTTCAGAAGGTGCTGGGTTCGAAGATAGTAGCATTCATTTGATGTACAGTAGGTAGGTAGTTTATGCGACCATAGTATAGAAGATAGCACTAGTATTATGGATAGTACCTACCATGTCTAGCACATAGCGGCCAACCAACAACCTTAGAACCTTGGAACCTCTGAAGTACCTAAACGTGGGGAACGTAGGAAGGCCTAGCAAGTACCTGAGACGAGGACCTGGCACGCTACGTCTACAAAACCTAGCAGAACTTAGGTACTTGTACAACCTAGAATGCGACGTTAATTCCCCCGCATTAGCCCAACGTACCTACCAACCAACATTCTAGCATCGATTTGGCTGATCTATTCCTTCTTACCTAAACTAGACCAACATGCAAATGATGGCATCAAATTTGTGTCGGCATAATCAACTCGAAAAAACTCTCGATTAAAGATAACGATACAATCGCGGCGGCGTACGTTAGCGGTGAGTTATCTCTTGGGTCGTCTGTCTGCTTGGAATTACGCTGCGTGCTTATTTGTCATCTCGGCATCTCTCCTGGCAAGGGATAGAATGGCGAGGGCGGCGGTGCTGGTTTATTGGGATCCGGATTCAACAGATCCATAGCTTCTTGGTATGGTTTGTAGCCCGGATCCCCCGACTGGAGCCCCTTCAGCATTGTGTACGTTGCACGAACAACACTTTCTAGAGCGCCAACGATCCAACCATGGTGAGAAGATGCCGCCTCGCCAACTAGGTAAAGCTGACCAAACGCATTCGGCTTGATGATCTCTTCCCACATGCTGGAGAATTGTCCAGGTCCAAAGTAGGCGAAGGCTCCAGACACTGCATGTAAAGTCAATATGATTAGGCCACTTGATCAAACTGCAGATTGTCCGGAACAAGTTTCTAATCTTGCTTCTAGAAAGAAAGAAAAAGGCCAGGAAATGAATTGAGAAGTTGCTCACTGTTTTCGTCATGATACCAGTCCCATGCGTGATGTGTCACATAATCTCTCTGGAGCTCGAAGAGCAGCGTATCATACGGCTTGGCGTCGTTTGCATGAAGAAGCGCAAGGCTATGCAATACGACTGATTTCAGCTGCTCCTCGTCTTCTGGCGTCCTACGCGAGATCAGAGAGCCCAATTTCTGTGCATCTTGGCCCCAGGTGTAAGAACATAGCAGGACGGAAGGCCTCTCTGGATCCCATGCGTCACCCTCTGCCATCTTGATATTGTATGATGGATAGACGCATACTCTTAGCGGTAAATCTGTCAATGTTGAATGGCTCAACCTGCCACCAGGCTCTGCTGAACTTGATAGTCACTTTGCATGAAGCACCGTACCCAAGCGTTCTTATTGCTTGCTTGGTGCCCCAGAGAAGACCGGCATCTTTGATATTCATCTGCTGGAGTGCACCTAGCGTGGTGGAGTTAAAAACGGCAAAGTAATCTTCGGCTCTTGTCTCCGTCTTCATTGCATCGGGGTCGGTCTTCTTGATCGTAAGCGTCATCGGTACGTGTTCTTTCGTACTCGCGCGTTTGGATATATTAGCATTGATGGCGATAACCCGGCTGTGGAGCTGCACAGGTCGCTCTATTTGACTTTCCATCAAATGAGCGACCGTTTGAGTCCCGCCGTCAATACACCAGAGGGCTTCATCATTGTCGACATCGAAATCCAACTCCTCGAGCACACACTCGCTCAGAGACTGGTTATACCAACCAGTACCACTTTGCCAATCAGCAACGTCGTATATCTCGATAGACTTTTTTCAACTCACTATATTGCTGTCTCGAGCCATTCAATCGTGAAGTTGTAGCCCGGACCTTGAGGCAACAAAGGTCCATTGTCAATGCTACGACCCGATGTCTTAGCGCATAACCAATACACGGGATTCTCGTTATATTCAACTCACGAAGCAAGGAACTGTCGGACGCTCATATTATCTGCCTTCATAAGAAACTTCCAGAATTTTTCCTCTTTTTGAAAGTCATCCGGAGGGGCAGCTCGACGCTCGTCAAGCTTTCTGTGGGTCATCTCTATGAATTCTTTCAGCGCATTGCTGACAAGTGTAGCGGTGTCTACCTTGAGAAGTCTAAAATTCATGTGTTAGCAGAGTCAGAGACCTAGAACATGAAAGAGGCGATCATTTACTCCATCGGTATCTTTCCTTCGTTAGGTAGTCCACTGTTGATTTTGTATGGATCACTCACGCCCTCTGTTTCCTAGATGCGCCCGATTTGGTGAACATCGTTAAAGTATGAAGGACAGACACCATTGCCGTCTCCTAGGTAGCAGGGGATCAGACCACCCCCCGAGTCTATCCTTACATGCAGCTTCAATCAAGTCATAATCGATGTTCAGGCCCTTAACCGTCGAATTGAGCCAGTCAAAGAGCATCGCGGTAAATAGTCCGGCCACGCCAGCGCCGATGATGCCAATCTTAATATTACCCTGCTCAGGGGCTACAAGACCAAGGCCGGTCAAACTTTTCGTCTCTCGGAGAAACTGGTTAACGGACGTATGGTGAGTCGGAATATGAAAAGAACCCGGAATTGTGGAACGATCCGATTCAAGGACTGACCGAATGCGTACCTTGACATTATCGAGGTCTTCTGCAAGTGTACGTCTCGCAACGTATCGAGCCCATTCGCACTTGTAGCCATTGCCCCTAGCGAGAGCCGGGGCAGCATGAGATGCTGTAGCCATAATTCAAGAAGATAAATAGCAAGAAGGTAAGTTGTGGTTGCTGTTATGGCCAACGCTATCTGTTGAGCCTCGCATGAGTTGTGATGAGTAGCAGCTCCTCAAGCGCGACTCTACGACAGAAAGTTATAATCATGGATGGGGGGGGGGTTTAGTTTCTAACACAGTTTTCAAATGTTCATGATCTTGTGCTGGGAACGCCGCGAGATCTGGATTCTCATGCCGGGGTGCCACATCCGTCATATCAACCGATAGCAAAAGCTGCCAAGAATTAGGGCTGAGCTGAATTGTTTCACGAAAAACGCATTTACTTGCCCATATTGCTTGCTGTGCTATCTCAAAAGAACCATCGCCGGTTCTAACACACATATCGTGGCGCGATGCAAGCGTCTAGTGCCGTGCAGTCAATAGTCTGTGGAACTGCGAACTTGTACGTGGCCACTTTTCTTTTTCGTTGAATGACGAACTGCACCTGGGGGGTTGAGACCGGTCAAGGCCCCGGCCAGATCGTCGTTGAAATGTTGTCTCATATTAACTAGTTCCCCGTCCGAGATGGCGACACTGCCTAACCCGGAACAACCGATGACTACAAATCATAGAGATTATGAGGCACAATCCTAACGCCGTTGACACAGGGATCTGCACGTAATTCTATGTTGGTGGAATGTTAACGATAGACGGGTACTGATTGCCACTATCTTTTGTCTGATGATTCGATTACTGAATGATATTAGGTAGGTACCTAGGTAGTTAGGTATGTGAATTATGTCCTTCAAATATAAAGATGATTAACAGGACCGAGCGATCCGTTTAATCTCTTACTATAATGCTAAGCTTCTAACTTATCATGTGTATTATAGTAGATCCAAATATACTTACCGAGGTAGCTTCAGCCATACTAACCTACCTACCTAGGTAGGCAACCTTGGAAGTTGATACCTAAGTAGTGTTTAATCACTTGAGGTATCTCGTAAACGGATGTAGTAGTAAGCGCATTTCGTCTCTTCATAAGATGGCGAAATGCCCCCTTGAGATCGTACACTGAGAAAAACCTTTGTGACCACTTAGATAACGGTAACTCAACCTTTACTACTGCATACCTAGGTACTAGGTAGGTAAATTCACTTACACTACACATAGTCTCCTACCATTCCCCGCCCCGAATACTGTCGTGGAAATTCACTACCCCTATTCCGTTTTGTTGGGGCGGTCCCAGTATCATTCTTACCATCTACCTCCCCAGGTACCTACCTCTCATTTGAGCTTTGCCCGGAGGAGGCTGAGAACTAATGATGATCTATACCTAGGTAGGTCAGAGCGATGGGTAAAGAGGAGATGCTGGAGATATTTCTACATATGTTACTCTGACGTGTACAGTGGTAAGTAGAGATAAAGATGTCATATGGAAACAAAATTGATTGCGAAGCTTGAAGCGACGTCCGTCTGTCGAGAAGCACGCACGTATGCGGCGATGTGAAGCCACCATATGCGGGTTATATGCTATTACGACGCAAGTGAGAAGCGAGGAATCCGACTTACTCCACCCATTATGACAAACTCACATTCAAAGATATACCTATGGATTATCTCATTGATATTCCCGATGGGGAGGAATATCGGATGGTCTTCTGATCGAGCCATAGGGTTAGGGTTAGGGTTAGGGTTAGGGTTAGGGTTAGGGTTAGGGTTAGGGTTAGGGTTAGGGTTAGGGTTAGGGTTAGGGTTAGGGTTAGG